CCCAAGAGATTTCGGCTCACTACAGTCAGGATCCGGGCAGAAAACAAACATTTTAGTTTTGGAGCAAAAATGGTCCAAATCTGCAAAGTTTTCCATATCCGCGGTCATCAAAAATACTGATTTTGGGCTAAAAAATCCAACTTCACGAAACTAAGTCAAATGTTCACACAAGGTGTGTAGATGCCAGCAATGAATCCCCAAGAGATTTCGGCTCACTACAGTCAGGATTCGGGCAGAAAACAAACATATCAGTTTTTGAGCAAAAATGGTCCAAATCTGCAAAGTTTTCCATATCCGCGGTCATCAAAAATACTGATTTTGGGCTAAAAAATCCAACTTCACGAAACTAAGTCAAATGTTCACACAAGGTGTGTAGATGCCAGCAATGAATCCCCAAGAGATTTCGGCTCACTACAGTCAGGATCCGGGCAGAAAACAAACATTTTAGTTTTGGAGCAAAAATGGTCCAAATCTGCAAAGTTTTCCATATCCGCGGTCATCAAAAATACTGATTTTGGGCTAAAAAATCCAACTTCACGAAACTAAGTCAAATGTTCACACAAGGTGTGTAGATGCCAGCAATGAATCCCCAAGAGATTTCGGCTCACTACAGTCAGGATTCGGGCAGAAAACAAACATTTCAGTTTTTGAGCAAAAATGGTCCAAATCTGCAAAGTTTTCCATATCCACGGTCATCAAAAATACTGATTTTGGGCCAACAAATCCAACTTCACGAAACTAAGTCAAATGTTCACACAAGGTGTGTAGATGCCAGCAATGAATCCCCAAGAGATTTCGGCTCACTACAGTCAGGATTCGGGCAGAAAACAAACATTTCAGTTTTTGAGCAAAAATGGTCCAAATCTGCAAAGTTTTCCATATCCGCGGTCATCAAAAATACTGATTTTGGGCTAAAAAATCCAACTTCACGAAACTAAGTCAAATGTTCACACAAGGTGTGTAGATGCCAGCAATGAATCCCCAAGAGATTTCGGCTCACTACAGTCAGGATTCGGGCAGAAAACAAACATTTTAGTTTTTGAGCAAAAATGGTCCAAATCTGCAAAGTTTTCCATATCCGCGGTCATCAAAAATACTGATTTTGGGCCAACAAATCCAACTTCACGAAACTAAGTCAAATGTTCACACAAGTTGTGTAGATGCCAGCAATGAATCCCCAAGAGATTTCGGCTCACTACAGTCAGGATCCGGGCAGAAAACAAACATTTTAGTTTTTGAGCAAAAATGGTCCAAATCTGCAAAGTTTTCCATATCCGCGGTCATCAAAAATACTGATTTTGGGCTAAAAAATCCAACTTCACGAAACTAAGTCAAATGTTCACACAAGGTGTGTAGATGCCAGCAATGAATCCCCAAGAGATTTCGGCTCACTACAGTCAGGATCCGGGCAGAAAACAAACATTTCAGTTTTTGAGCAAAAATGGTCCAAATCTGCAAAGTTTTCCATATCCGCGGTCATCAAAAATACTGATTTTGGGCCAACAAATCCAACTTCACGAAACTAAGTCAAATGTTCACACAAGGTGTGTAGATGCCAGCAATGAATCCCCAAGAGATTTCGGCTCACTACAGTCAGGATCCGGGCAGAAAACAAACATTTTAGTTTTTGAGCAAAAATGGTCCAAATCTGCAAAGTTTTCCATATCCGCGGTCATCAAAAATACTGATTTTGGGCTAAAAAATCCAACTTCACGAAACTAAGTCAAATGTTCACACAAGGTGTGTAGATGCCAGCAATGAATCCCCAAGAGATTTCGGCTCACTACAGTCAGGATTCGGGCAGAAAACAAACATTTCAGTTTTTGAGCAAAAATGGTCCAAATCTGCAAAGTTTTCCATATCCGCGGTCATCAAAAATACTGATTTTGGGCCAACAAATCCAACTTCACGAAACTAAGTCAAATGTTCACACAAGGTGTGTAGATGCCAGCAATGAATCCCCAAGAGATTTCGGCTCACTACAGTCAGGATCCGGGCAGAAAACAAACATTTTAGTTTTTGAGCAAAAATGGTCCAAATCTGCAAAGTTTTCCATATCCGCGGTCATCAAAAATACTGATTTTGGGCTAAAAAATCCAACTTCACGAAACTAAGTCAAATGTTCACACAAGGTGTGTAGATGCCAGCAATGAATCCCCAAGAGATTTCGGCTCACTACAGTCAGGATTCGGGCAGAAAACAAACATTTCAGTTTTTGAGCAAAAATGGTCCAAATCTGCAAAGTTTTCCATATCCGCGGTCATCAAAAATACTGATTGTGGGCCAACAAATCCAACTTCACGAAAATTTGAATTATTCTACTTTCATTGCCTTTGGTCAAATTATAACATTTTTACGTTGGGACACGTTTTTATATCTAAATTCCAACACGAAATTACAGGAAAAGTAGATGTCTGAATGGGGCTTATATGAAGAAACAGTCAGGTTGCAACATTCTTTCCACCCCCAGTATTTTTTTCATAACCACGCCCATCTCACCAGATTCTCGGAAAATATAACTGAAGGAATTTCTTCTCTAAACACTCAGGTTCCAGTGGTGTTTTCAACAGTTCATCAACGTCAGAAGTATCTACAGTAATTCTGTCACTCCTACCTAACTTTTGACGGCCAAATTTTTACATTTTCAGGCCATTATTGGCAAACTTACTTCGACTGTTGTGACGTCTGTCGAAAGTCCTCCACCATTTTGCCCGGCGCCAATTATTACGAAGGTGCAAAGAACCACGTGAGATTGGCATTGTAAACAAAAGCGCATTGTCAAACTTAGGTGGCGCTCTTCACAATTAACGGTGTCAAGTGCAACCTCGTTTACATGGTAGCAGACCAGTAAATAAACTTCCATAGACCCCAATGGTAAATGCTCCCACTTCAAAAATTCGGGAAAAATACTCACAACTCTCCAAGGTGTTCGAGACATACATCAAATTAAAGCTTATTTCATCATCTTTCATTTTCTTTTCAATTTTCGGGGGGTCAACTGATGACTTTTAGGAGAAATTTTCATCTGAAGATGATCACCCCTGAAAATAGTCCTGAAGCCCATCGCCATTTTGAAAAACGATGCCTACACTCCATTGCAAAATAGAGCGCTTTTAGGGTCCAAATTACATCAAAATTACACAGAACTGCACGCTCCCAGTCCTGTGCACGGCTTCCACCCAGATTTTTTACAAACCCTGAAGTTCATGGCCCACCGCATGCTCAAATACCGAAGATTTTGAGGGCATGCAAATCGTGATTTGGCCGGCGCAGGCAATTTCGGACCGATTTACTGGTCTGCACCCACATGGTGTTGAGCAGTACACCTTCACGCACCAGCCTCGACTCCATGGGCACGTGCGCGTTCCTTACACAAACCCCTGGCCGTGATGATGACGTAAGTGACGCTGATTGGCTATTCACAGCGTACTGCGCGCGCATTTCGAAGATTGCACGCCGGGCGCGCCCATATTGCGCTCGCGTGCTTTGCACCCGCTTAGAGTCTGGGTGCTGATAATTACCCGAGCCGGAGTCGAGGGTAATTATCAGCACCCAGTCTCTAAGCGGTCTTTAAACAGAGTGATAAATACTGACCGAGCACATATTTATTCCCATTCATAAATACCTTTTCGGTAAAAAAAAAATCAAATAATTAGTTCAAAAAATCCCGATTTTGTTCAACAAGTTCACTTCATGCTTTTTGAAACATCCCTCTAGCCAAATAATGGTTGCAATAATGAAAACTACGCAAATTTCTTTCAGTATTAGCGCTCCTTAACATTTTTACTCATAAATTTGTATTCATATTTTATTTTGAATCATGTTTCATGTAAAGCGTTCAAAGTGTAACAACCATGGTCAAGAGTTTTAAGAGGTGTTATTTTTTTTTATACATGTATTTTGATATTCAACGTCTGTGCTTATACACACATTCCTGTGAAGAGTGGATTAAGAAATAATGTGTATATTTTGATCTACAAAGAAATTCTTGTGAAAATTGTTTTAAGATTTGACGAGTGAAACTCTCACGAACAAACCAAAGACTTCTTTATTTAAAATTCATTTTTTGGAACAATTGTTTGAAGTGTAAGTGACTAGTTCAAAAGTGTTATCAATTTTTCAAATAAAAGGAAATTCACCTTTTTCAAGCAGACTACATGTATATCGGACTTCTTTTCCAAATCAATGAGATAAGGGCCTGAAGTGTGCCAGCATTTTGAATCAAGTGATTTAACCGCTTGAAGAGATTGTACCATTCATACCACATATGTAAATTGTGCAGTTTGCCTGAAATCAATCAAACAAAACGTTTGGATTTATGTGCAATTTCTACTCTACTGTCAATATGGTGTTATTATTCTGTTCAGAGTCTAATAAAAAGGCTAGACAGTGCTATTTTTAGACCATGTTTTACAGAACATGCACACAAACGCACATATTTGTTTTACATACGCTATGTGGACATTCCTTTGTTTTCGTGTAGTTAAGAAAACTTGGTACACAAAATAACTTTACTTAAACTGTGAAAACTCTGTCAACCCCAATTTTTTTTCCAGAGAGGGCGAAACAATATGTGGACACGGCTTAGTCCACAGAACGTCAACACAACCTGCATTATGTGGACATCTTTGTTCACATGTCCACACAGTGACTGTATCGGTTTTGTTTATGGTGTAAATCGAGGATTTTCTATTGTTCCTCTTCCCTTTTCCTTTGTTTATACTCAACTTTTTTGCAACCGCTCTCATTGGTTTTGTACATGTTTTCTACCCGAGGAGTCCTCCATTTGGTTCCTGTCCTCAATTCATCGATGATGTTGCACATGTTTGTCCTCGAATGTACACCATAAACAAACACTGTACATTCTAGTTTTCATGTGCAGAACACAGATGTGATGTTCAATGTCATTCACCAAAACACAATCTTTAAATCTGTACCACAACTAACAGCTGGGCACGGTGTTGAATAACTCAAAACGTCAAAATAGCTCGGGTAACAACTTGATGAATATCTTCAATTTAAATTATTTTATTTCAACTCAAAAATCAACAATCAATTACAATTACAAATATATAAATAAACTTTTTATGCTATTATTTACAACTATAATACATCACTTTTAATCTACAGTAAGGCACAGTTAGACACTGGATACTTTCAGTCAAAGAAAGCAGTATCATTAAGCATTTGCAGCGCTTTCTATACATGTGCAGAAAGTTGTGGCACAGAAAATGTGGGCGTACCCCTGATGACCGCTGTCATGGATTTTGTTGACCTGGACAAAAAAATAGGCCATTACAGTGGAAGGTCTGAATCATCAGAGACCCATGGGGAAACAGAGTGGTAGCTGAAAATAGTAACAGAATTCCAGCAACCTACTTGAAAAGGTAAACTTTAAAAAAGAAACTATACCATTGCGGTTCACCAATTGATGTTTAAACAGTTTGCTACATCTGTGATCTACATATTTGTCATTTTTGATGATCCTGTTAAAGATAGAGTAGACCGTTTACAGCCATCCAAAAAGTAACCGAGCAAATTATTTTGAAAAAGCTCACTTGGTTTAAAGATAGTAATGACACTAAACTCCCTGTGAAATTATTCCTTCTGGCATGCTGTCCTTTTGAAGAAAACAATGAAAGAAAGTCATTTCCAAAGATGTGTCAAGTGACACATTATTGGAATTTTTTTGCGAATCCGCCCCATTGCGTTCTAATTTGTGTAGTTGGTTTGCAAATTGACCTATCGCGGTAGAATTGCGTTGGAATCGCGTCAACGCAGCTTGTGAAATATTGTCCAATTAAGGAATATACAAATGGACGCGGAACACGCAAATTCTGAGACAAACAAAGCTTTTTGTACAAAAACTCCATAGGGTTGTCTAAGGGGCGTGGCTAACTCGCAAACGGCGATAGGTCAATTGTGCGAATCTGTGAATGAGAATCATGTCCTGAATTGATTTCGGGATTGTGTCATGGGAGGACACAATTCAAAATATGATACTCGGCAACTTTGGAATTGAAATCGAGACCCAGAATACTATGTTTATGTTATGTAATAAATGTTCTGTTTTCTCTAAATATACAGCATTCACAGAGCTAAAACTTCATCAGGTTTAGTTATTTAGCACCCATCTTTAGATCTTGAGCACTTGTTTGGTTCAAACAAACAAAATGCACAAATTACAAATGGTGTACTCTAGTAACTCTACCTTTAAGTTGACTGGTTATTGTGAAACAAACAGTTGTATTTTTGTTTGAGTAGAGAAACTGCTGAAGTTCCATATTAAATCTAGAAATCTGTAATTACTGAGGCTAAAAATTCCATGTGAAAAAAAACTGGTAATCTTTATTGTTCAATATCCTAACATTTGATCATGCACGTTAGTGTCATTTGCTGTTTTTAATGCATAAAATCTGTTAAAAAATTTGTTGCGATTTTAAATACAGAAACTTGCAGCACAACTATTTTGAGTACATTTTTCTCAATGTGAGGTTTGTCTTTACATAGTGGAATTGATAAACACTGTGAACAGAATTTTTTTTTCAAAAGTACAATGTAGAGATTGGGAAATTGCTCATACACACAACAAAGACAGATTTTTAAAAAATACTAATAATTTACATGCCAATTTGTTCTTCAAATTGTGGACTTTCAAATCCGCTATCCTGTCGTAGTAAATACTCTAACTTATCAGTAGATCTCAGCGTCCATTTCTTAGAACCAATGTTTGACATGGAAGGCAAGGTAGATGCCCCATTAAATTTCCTTGAGCCTGAAACACCGCTGAGCTTTGTTCGGGTATTTTCTAACTCAATTTTACTTTTTTTGGCAAAAGTTCCCCTAGGGGGCTCATCAAATCGGACGACTTTATCCAGCGGGAAATCCCGGGGGTTGTCGAGAGGGAAGTCCTGTATGGTACCCAGACTCGCAGGCAGGTCATTGTACACAGTGTCAAGGGAACCGCTCGAGATGTCTGTTGCTTTGTAAGGTCCTAGCGAAGGCAACTCAGTGTGTCTTGTGACTTGGAGCACTTGTCTGAGAGTCGGTGCGGAAACGGTCGCCAGCATCGCTGCCGTCTTTTCAGTCGGGGGTGGGACTTTCACCGGACCCTTCCTAGGCTCGGCACTTCTCTTGTGGTCTGTGATTGGTCGCTTGAAAGGGCTGTGCTGTGACACACTGCCGTCTCGGCCAATCGTAGAGGGCGTCTCATTTCTCCGCGATCGGACGGTGATGTTGGAGCTGGATTTGGAGGGGGCAGAGTAATTCTTGGTTGGAAACCTCAATCCGGGAGACCCATTGCCTGAAGACTCTGGGGAGCTTTCTCGTGACTTTGCGGTCACCCAGTTCCTGACAGAGTTGCTCGTGACATTCCTGTGTGTCGGTTCTGAGAATCCATCTTGGTTCTTTGAATGCTCCGTACTCTGAGCAGTAACAGGGGAGGAATCAGGAGAGCTTTCCCTGGATTTAAGAGTCACTGATCTACTGCTTGAGTTGGACACCACTTTTCTTGCACCACTGGATGAATTGTCTGGTGAGCTATCCCTAGATCTAGCAGACACACTCCCTGTTGATAATGAGGAAGTTGTGAGGGAAGGATTATCTTCTGTTCTGCCGTGGCTTTTGGAAGCCAGTCGCTCCGGTTTCGGATTGAACTCTCTGGGTTGAATGGGCAGCTTGCTGAGTGCGATTCCAGTCTCCATCTCGTCCCAAGAACTTCCCAAAGACGTGGGACCGAATTCATCAGATGATCTCCCGCTTCCGAGTCTGTCTGATGAGCTGTCGGGTGTTGAAGACGGCATTGCCTGATCATTTGCAGATTTTCTGAGACCAGAGGTAGAGTAGCTGGCGATCTTGTTAGAGGAGACATGCGGATGCCTTACCTTGGCTGGCAGGCCTTGAGACACGTCACTCTTGGGCTGGTGATGTTGTCTATCCTCAGTAACTGTCTCTGCCACGGCTGTTGATTTGTTTTTACCCGTGGCACTCTTGGCACTCTGGCTAGGACCTGGGTCTTTCTCTTGGCTCCTGGATGGGTCACCCTGTGCTGATGCCACCGGTTGTGGGAGCTTTGTAGCCAGCTGGTCCGGGGGAAGCTCCAAGGCCTTTGCCATGGCGGCAAGCTTGCTGGCCGTGGACTTGGCTTTGGTCTTGCCATTCCTGTCACAGACAAGAGGTAACAGGGAACTGTGAGACTTCGAACGATGGAAATTTCATGATAATGATTAATGTACACAGTCTTCAGTAAGCTAACTCTGGCAAGCTCAGTGGTCGAGAAGTTAAATGTGTACACTACTAACAGGTTTAGGGATCGAGCCTTAACTGAGCAAGCTTGTGATTTTTTTTTTCTGATAAGCTCTCGGACAGCACTGAAGAGGCAAAGAAAAGTTAGGAAATGAAGCAGAAGTATTCAAGAACGCTCCTAATCCTTGATGGCTCCTCTATACAATAATGCCAAAAGGTTTTGAACAAGGCATCAAATCTTACCCTGTCTGATTCTGATCCTCTTCAAGGAACTTCTGTAGGCATTCTAGGTAGTATCTGCGTAGCTTCTTGGCCGTGTTGTGCCGTTCCTTCATGACTTCGCTGTGCACGGTGTGTCGACAGTTCTCTCTCATGTCATTCATTCGCTTCATTACGTCAACTGTTGCACACACAGCAAAACAAAGATGCGATATAGACTTTGGCTAATAGATTTGGCGTGAGGGGAATATATTCTAAATACTTGCTGATGTTTGATAGCTTTACTCGGCATTTCACTAACTAGGTAACACCAAAAAAGCTAAATAAATCAACTAGAGTAAAATTACTTGTCGATTTGGTGGAGCTGCTAAGCACAGACAATATTTGCTTAGCAAAAACAGGGTACCAGCCGTAATGTCATTGGATTTATATTGCTGGTGGCCAGATCCCGGCTGATTTTTGGCACCAAGGCAAATTATGGAGGACACCAATGTACATGAGGACACCAAAAAAGCAAAATAGTACTCCACCTTGTCTGTACAATCCAAGCTTGAAGAAAAAAGAAAAAAAAAGCCAAGAAAAAAAAAAAAAAACGCATCCCCGCATCAATTCCGGAACTTATGGTCTGACCAAAAATATTTTTTTTTTGGCCTTACCCTCAGTTTACTCACCTTTGATTTTCTTGACCGTTCTGATGTAGTGAGCTTTAATTTCTTGCAAGGCTTCACTTGACACGCTGTCATCATTTTGCCCAACGGTCTGCAAAGAATAAAAAATCATCAAGCATTTCTTCACAGGAATCAGAATGCAGATGCTTACTTTAAACGGTATTGTAAAAAATGGAACTCCAAAGTACGGAGGGAAGCGACTTCTTGACTTGGATATGGTAAATAAAAGAAATGGATTGTCTGCTTAAAGTAAAAATTAAGAGAAAGTCGGATCAATTATCTCAAGAAATAAATATAAATTGTAGAAAGCCAAATGAGTTTTAAATTCTTTAGGTGTAAGTTTGAAATCTTTTTAAAGAATTAAGTAAAAACTGACAACTTTGCTAACCTGTGTTTCCGCATCAGCCATCTTCTCTCCGTCTCCTCTCTGCCGTCGGGCTGCTTGTAGCTCCTCCTCATATCTCCTCTGCATCCCGGCCATCTTGGCCTCCAAGGCCTCGACAGCGGCCGCGTTGGCCCCCGTCAGCCGCCCCTGTAGCTGCTCCAGCTCCCGTCGTAGGCCGTACTCCGTCTGTTTCAGCTCCCGGTCCGCGTCCTGGAGCTGCTCTCGCAGCGACTCGATCTCCTTCTCCAGTTTCTGCCTGGCGAGGGCGTGCTTGCGGCGGTGGCGTTCGGCCTGTCGCTGGTGGTCGCGGAGCTGGGCGGCGGAGTCGCTGAGCTGCTCTTGCAGGTCGTTGCGTTCTTGCTTCCAGATCTGCTCCTTGCGCTCAAGGATCTCGTCGCAAGCTTTCCTCAGTTCAGTATCGCAATTCTGTCGATGGTAAAGAAAAGGATTTAAAGCTATAGTCCATCATTTGCAGCCATCCGAAAAGTAACTGGTGTAATTACTGTTGAAAAACAAACTTGGTTGAAAGATAGTAAGGGAACTAAACTCCCTGTGAAATTATTCTTTCTGGGAAGCTGTCATTTTGAAGTAATCAACAAAAGAAGGCATTTCCAACGGTGATTCTTAAGAAGCACCATAGGAAAATTTAAATTAGTAGTTCGTTTTGTTATTCAGCGCAGCGCGCACAAGTATTGGAACGACGCACACGCGCGCGCGGTTGTTATAATTCGTCGGATCCGAGTGCGCGACGCCGCGTATAGCTGCAATTCAAAACAATTCAAAACATGATTCAGTAACTTTTGATTTGAAATTGAGATCTTAGAATGCTGCTTTTCTCGGAATGTACAGCTGAAGCTTAGCTGAAACTTCATCAGGTTAGTTGCTCAGTATCCTTCATTAGATTTTGAACACTTTTGTTGCTTCAAACGAACAAAATGCACTAATTACAAATGATGGACTATAGCTTTAAAGATGAAGGATTGCTCACAATCGTCTACTCTAAACATGGGTCGCTTGTCCTTTGATTCTAAGCAGGGGATGGGGAGCAATCTAGAGCAATGACATTTCCTAACTGGGGAGGGGGGGAATTAGGTTGGGGGAATTGGGTGGGGTGGGGGTTATTTGTGCACAGATCCTGCAGGATCATGTTTTTTATAAACAAATGTTCACTTTTTGCAATGTTCAATATATTGGCCTAATGTACTTCTCACACAAGTAGCCAAACAATTACTGAATTTCAAATTAGCAATGAACTGAGGGCATCTGTGCGCCCTTTTGTGTCGAGGCTGAAAAAGTCAAAGGTCTTCGATGTCCTGCAATGGCTCATCACATTTTCAGCTTTAATGCCAATTTCAAATTCATCTGCACATACACACAAGTGTTTTCGGAGGTTGTCATTCAATCTGACCTTGGACCACTGATCTCTCGCTGAGCGGACCGCCTCCTCTATTCCCCTCTCTAGCTCCGCCTCATATTGGGATCTCAGCTCTTCCTGATCAGCTTCAGTCTCGGCCGTCAGGGCAACCAAGGCAGCCTTCTGAGCATCCAGCATGTCTTGCTTCTCCTGCAAAAAACACATAACTAAAATTACATTTTTTCTCACTTTAAAAAAATAAAAAAATAATTTTTTTTTAAAAAAGTGGGAAAAAAATCACACATTTGGCACTGACGTGAGGCATGACAACACTTTCTTTTGGGATAAAAAGTTATTGTGTCCATCTAACTTTTTCAGCCTCACTCTTGCGGCAAGTTTGCTATGATAAGGAACCTTCCACAATTTTTCAAAAAAAACCAACCCTCATCACTTTGCAAAAATCAATGGCATCAAACCTATTGAAAAAGAATTGTGACTTGGTTCTTCCTTCTTGAATCCAGTAACTCCCTCCAATACACCTGGGGGATTGTAAGGACCTTTACTACAATGTATTACATTGTACTACATTGTATTACAATGTATTTATTCCCTGATAAATTCAGACAGCCATAGAGTGCTGGATGGTTTGGGCCAGTACAGGTGGAACATGGCCCAATTTCACGGCGCTGCTAAGCACAAAAATTTGCTTAGCATAAAAAAAATCTGGCTTATAAAGCAGGTTACCAGCCAAAAAAACTCCATGTGAAATATATTGCTTGTGATTAGTATTCAGCTTTTGTTCGCTTAGCATGAATATCACATGGAGTTTTGGCGGGTAACCTGCTTTTATAAGCCAGACTTTTATTGTGCTAAGCAAATTTTTGTGCTAAGCAGTGCCGTGAAATTGGGCCCTGGTAGGGCGGTTTGGGGCGGTTTGGGGCAGTACATGAAATAATGGATTTACCTTTTGCCATTGGTTCTGCGCCTCCTGTGCAGCTGGAACAGGTAGGGCGGTTTGGGGCGGTTTGGGGCAGTACATGAACTAATAGATTTACCTTTTGCCATTGGTCCTGTGCCTCCTGCAATGCCTTGTTGATTGCGTCTTGCCGTGAGTTGATTTCCTCATCCAGTCTGGACTGCCAATCATTGGATGCACGCTCCAAACGTTGACTCTGTGTTACAAATTAAACAGGGAAGAATGCAATGAATACAAAAGTGTGTAATACATTCATGTAAACATTTAGTCAACCTAATACAGACATTTTTAAAGACGGATTGTGAATTTAAATGACAATCACAAATATTTAATGACAAGTGCATTAAGTTGTGTCTAGAGTCTAAATTGATACAAAGCCTCATGCACAAAAACCACAAAATATCAAAGACAATATCAAAGAGCTTAGTAAACTATGACATAAATGAACAACAAATGTTCCCAAATTTGAACAATATCAAACACCAAATTCCTTCGTAACGTGTTTCAACATGAAGACTTTGCCAGGAAAACAGTATCTGAGCACTTGCAAGCGCAGATCCAGCTAGCCCCTGGCACATTTGTCTGCCCCACTTTCGTCAAAGGGGGCCTTTTTGTTTAATTGTAATTTGAACACACTTTCCTGACAATTTCTTATCAGTCAACATGATATTTCCCCATGTTTTTCACAAAAATTGGCAAAATGCCCAAACTTTTTCAAAACAGAAGTTCACAAAACAAAAAAAACCTCAGATAAGGAACACACATTTTAGTTCTTCGTCAATTTAATTTTGGTAATCACGAACTGCTTTTTTTAACTTCCTAAAATAAATGACAGATTTTTTAAGTTCCAAAATCTGATTTGAGTATCCCGTACTTGGTCCTTCTCTGCCTTTGTTTGAGCATCTCTCAGCATCTCCTCCATGACTCGCTGGTGTTCCTTCTCCATCCGTGTCTTGGCTTCCTCCACGGCAGCTGCTCTGTCCCTCTCTGCCTCTTGCTTCATCTTCTGTCTTCCCTGCTCCAGGATTGCTTGCAGGTTGGTGATGTCTGTCAGGTGTTTGGACTCAAGTGACTTTGTTCGCTCTGCTACTCCCTGTCCAAGATTCAAGATGGATAGGATTAGTTTCTTTGTTCTTGGTTGCACAAATAATAATGTATCTTAAGGTCTGAAACAAGTCATGGATTACAATCTCAGCTACTATGCCGAAGACAGAAGTCGATGAATAGGAAAGGTTTCGGTTTTTTTTCTTTCTTTCAAACTTACGGAATAATCTTACAGAAATAAATAGAGGGCTCCTTTGGGGTAGAAAGGAGTTTTCACAAATGATCTTGGCCTGTCTCTGCCCAAGATCATCCAACTTGGGCAGAGATAAGCAAGATAATTTGGAATAGTTTCTGTTCATGGTTGCCAAAAAAATGTTTAACGACTGAATTCAGGAATACAGTCAAAACCACAATGTTCCACTTTTTTAAATAGAATAATTAATTCACACACCCTTCCTTTCCTGAGAATTCCAAGTTGAAGCCACTAAGCTTGACAGGCAAGAGCCAAAAGTTATTGAAAATGCTCCCCAAACAACAAATCACATAATCAAGTCATTCGATCGTTCTCTAGAATCGTTATTCCCTGCCAGTAAATCAAATTAAGTAATCCTTGAATAAGTGAAAAAAAAAATGCTCGAATAAGTAATAAAAGTAGTCTTCGAATAAGTAGCAAAATTAAGCATTAACTTTATAAGGGAAGCATTTTTCTTTTATTGTACCTTTGTGATTTCTTCTTCTCCCTTTTCTTTCATCCACTCTTCTTTGACTTTTTCCCAGTCCACTTTCTCGTCGGTCCACTGTCGTCTTGCAGCCGAGATAGCTTCGTCCAGTCTCTTTTCAGGATCTGTAAAAATAAAAACCACACATGTAATGATTGTTGTATTCTGCCCCTTACCGACGTAATTTTATAAGCACTGTACGCTCAGAGGAAACAATTAACATGCCTGCTCGGGTGGGACTCGAACCCACGACCTCTTGCCTTCTTACGGAAAAGTCAGTTGGCCGATTCAAGTCTAAGGCTGTGTCTAACAGGTATCTAGAGCTATGACCATGGCTATGGTCAGCATTTGCTCACACAGTTGTAAACGACAAAGACCTAGCCAACAGCTCCAGACAAGAGATTTGGACGTGGCCTATTGCAGCAGTCGTAGATTGGACTGATTCAGTATGAATCTTAGAAGTTTTCAGTGTTTTAGTGTGTTTAAGGCCTTGTGGTTCCAAACTCGATTTGTGAGTCATAAGCCGTGTCTGAATTACTTGGCTACGGCTTGCAATTACACATGTGTCTATGGGAAGAGGCTGCAGCCGCTCCCCATAGACACAGTGCTACTTCCAGACGTAGCCAAGTCGTTCGAATGAAGCCATGATGTAAGATTAGATGGGTACTAGTCCTTTGCACACCTTCTTGCATCCACTGTTCCCTAGCCATCTCAATAGCCTTCTTCAGTTTCTCCTTGGTGCCAGCCTCGGCAGCCTTAATCCACTCAGTCTGAGCCTTAGCCACAGCCGTCTGGATAGCCCCTGCCTTGTCCATCACATGCTCAGCCTCGGCAGCCTTCATCCACTCAGTCTTAGCCTTAGCCATAGCCATCAGGACAGCCCCAGCCTTGTTCCCCTCGTGCTCGGCCTGTAGCCGCTCCTTCTGCTTGCTAAGCTGCTCTTGGTGGTTGGTTTCCAGATCTTTCTTGGCTGCATGGAGAAAAACAAAACAATTATATCTGAAGTTTTTCAAACCTTTCATCGATATTGCCAAACTTTGAAAGGACAAGTACAGTTTTATCCAGTTACTAATGAAAACTTCCTCAAATTTGAGAGAATGAGTCAATTGAAATGTTTCAATCATTGTTCAAGTGAATTAAAAAAACAGTTTGAATTTCCACTACATCAAATTTTTGAAAATTATAATAAAGTACAAGGACCCAACAAGCTAAGGCTAAACTCAGCTGAACTAAACATCCAAGTCACAGAAGGCCACGTGTGCAGGCAACATGGAGGAAACTGAATGCCTTGCAAGCTATTAAAAAAGGAACTTTTCCAACAGTTAATATAGAAATTCATCGGAGCAAACTCCTCAGAATTTGCCCGTCGTTTCCCCTCAGAGATTGCCTAGTACAAATGGCCAGAAAGTTGCCTCGTTTGAGAAGAGAGTACAACACCACACTCTGTGACATGGGTGGCGTAGTGCAAAAAACGTTTGCCTCTCACTGCTGTAGCCAGGGTTGGATTCTCAGATTCTACTGTTTTTCTCACTCTGCAAAAATCAGCACTTTCGATCGGGCTGTGCTTCGTGCTAAGACATGGGTCGTATGGTGGCTGCCTCAGGGACCTTTACATGCCTTCAGCTCGAACATGTTGTAGCTGCGTCCTTCGCAATTCAGATTCTGCTTCTATTTATTTATCTATTTTTTTCAATTGAAACCTACAAAAGTCCATCAGAACCTCAACGTCATAACAGACATAGTCAGCACACACCTTGCTCAACTCTCTGTTCCAGCTCAGTCTCCATTTTGACTCGCCACTCGGCATCGGCAGCAGTGAGGGCGCTATTCCCAGCCTCCTTGCGCGCTGCCTCGGTCCACTCAGCTTTGGCTAGGGCCAACTGTTAAATAAATCACATGACAAAAACCAATTAAATCAACTTTCATGAAAGAATATCACTGCTACACTTGGTGAGGTGTGGGTGGCAATACTATAATAGCATGCGAAGAATCACTGAAGATCTCTGTTATCTTGGAGATCTTCACTTTTGGGTTTGAGTGTTGAGTAAAATTGACTTTGCTTGATGGCAGAGGTATGGTGCATCAATTCAACAATGGTATTGAAAGGCCCTGTAAATGTTTTCCGTATTCGACAGGTTCAGAACTAGGTCAAGTATTCCTAGGTTGATTTTAGTAGCCTTTCCTTAATCTTAACACTGTGACATGCTTCAAAACCCATCAGGAGCTATGGAAGAATTTTGAGAATTGAGGAAGGCACGGCCCAGCAGCATGGAACTTGATGCCTCTTGAGTAACGATTCCTTACACAGTGACTACTATTTGGGGAAGAGTGAGGGGAAATCGGTAAGGGCCGTAAAAAAAATGCCGGGGGAATTAAGTTTAAAGATGTAAATTCTACAATCTTTCCTACCTGCTCCTCTACTGTCTTCTTATTCTCCTCCTCCGCCTCTTGTCTCCAGCCGCTCTTAGCCATCACCAATTCTGCTCGGTGACTACTCTCCAAGGAATCTCTGAGCTCCTTCACGGCTGCATCATGCTGGGCTTGCCAAGCCTCCTTGGCCTGAGCAATAAAGACATGCATGGTATTACATTGTGTTACAGTGTATTACATTGTATTACAATGTATTCATTCCCTGATAACTTTAATATAAAACCATACACTACTGGACAGTTTGGGGCCTTTTAGGGAGTAGTTTGGGTGGTTTGGGTCTGTGCGGGAACTAGTTGGATAATACCCAACCATCGCAACAGACAAATTTGTGAACCACGATCACAAGTTACTACTGATGTTGTACCTCATCCACACATATCACACTTGTACTTAATTTGCGGGTAACATTTTGGCAACCTTTTGGTCAAAGGAGTATTGGTGTTCATACAACCAATACCTTAGCATCATACCACCTCAGTATTGGCTTTTCACTATGATCACAGGACTAGTCAAAGGGGGCTCAAAGCACTATGCTGTTCTCTACTGTTTAAGATGTGTAACAGTACGATTAAGTAAAGGCACTTCATCACCTAATTATACTGGGTGCGGAGAAACAGGTGCATTCAACTCTCCAAAGGGACACCTTAGTTTACGCAGAAACAACGTGGCAGTCACATTGAATAAGTTTGCCGCAAGGCTGTGGCCATAACTGCAGAGTCCCATGATCGGAGTGAAGGAACCCACGCTAAATTTTTCAAGACATCACCCCGACCATTATCATTTCTCTCACACTGCCAGATGTTTTTTCCAAATTATTATTATTATTTTTTTGGGGGGGGGGACTGTTTGGGGGGTAAATAATGAAAAGAAAGTTTGATTTTCTCACTGCTTCTAGTTGTTGAGAAGCTTCAGCCCTCAGTGTCTTGGTGACGGTATCCTCGATCTTGTTCTTCTCTTCACACACATCAATGTAGAGTCCCTTAACCGCGTCTAGCTCCTTCTGAGCTTGCTCCAACTCCGATCTAGCACAGACACAAACCAAACTTTAATTTCTAATCCGATTATCTCAAAACTTCCTCTCATCTTCTGGGATTCCACTGGTTGCTATCAGCCGCCGTACTTCGCGTAACATTCTTGTATTCATTTTCAGTAGCTCTTCAAATAACATAAAGCCTGATTGCCTGAAGTATATATTCAATTGTTTTTCGTTTGTTAATTTTTTTGCTAATGAGGTACCACACAGGGGTGGCGGTAAGGCCAAGAAAAAAAAAGTCGGTCTCTGGTCAGCGCGCGCGTCGATTTTTTTCATGTACGTCGATCTTTTTTTTCCCCAAAATATTCTGCGGTAGCTCCAACAGCGCCCTCTATTTCCGCACCTCCTCAATTTTTTTTACCAAAGAGCACCAAGGAATGGGAAATTGCACCAAGGCAAATGATGAAAGCACCAAGGCAAATTATGGAGGACACCAATGTACATGAGGACACCAAAAAAGCAAAGTAGTACCCCGTGTGGCCGTGTGGCCGCGTCAATTCCGGAACTTTGGTCTGACCCGAGACCAAATATATTTTTTTGGGGGGCCTAACAACGTTTTTTTTTTTTTCTTGGGTCATAAGCCCAAAATAGGGTCGGTCGGAAATGAGAACCATAGAAATAAAAAGGGATGCCCTTTTAATATTTCCAGAGTCAGGTTGGCTCAGTGGCCCTTCCCAAGCCTTTCACCTCTGTTGGCCAGTTTGAACACTACCCAGGAAGACAAGCGGATAGGGTTTTTAATCCCTATTTGATTCCTTAGATTTCCCCAGAATGTTAATCTTGAATTTTCCTCTACCTCAAAAAAAATTTGACTTTTCTTCCTTTCTCTCCACAAGATTCTTTGGGTTTGCGACAATGCTACAAGTGCTATGAATCAAAGGATTGGAGTTCAGGAGAAAAGGGTTAGGGCAAAATAAGGCACTTTGAAGGCCAGAAGGAAAATCTCATCTCTTCCCAAGACTGCCATGTACTCTATATAACACAAAGTCCATGCCAAAGTTGGGAAGATTTCAGTCGTCGCTGTGGCGTACCTGAGTTCCTGCAGCTGGTGTTGATGAGCCTCCTTCAGCATGTCTCTCTCCGATTGGAACTCTGTCGCCAGCTCCTCCCTGAGATGACGCGACGAGTCCTCGTGGAGCTGAAGACATGTCTTCTGCACTCTGTCAACGGTCAATAAAATATCAATTCATCAATGATGAACCAACAAACTTTTTTAATAAACTGTTTATAGTAGACACAACAATTCATATGGATCGTCTTGTTAATTTGAAATGGTGATTACTACAAGTTTACGCTGTGATTTATATGCTAAGTGGAAAAAATGGCGAGTGCAGTTTTTCTAGTTCTCTGTGTCTCCCATAGTTGTAAAAAGTCCATCAAGAGTCCAATCACAACTAAATTCATGAGTGACAACTGAAAAGGAATGAACGCTGATTAAGGAATGCCTTTGTCAAAGCTTGTTTGAAACACTGACTTCAGACTGGATGAGTTTTGATTTACCTAGGTATGACTTGTGATGACTAATTCACAACTCTGTGATTTTGCCTGTGCTCAACTGTGAGCACTCTGGGCCCAATTTCACGGCGCTGCTTAACAGTTAGCAGAAAAGCTGTGTTTAGCATAGCAGAAAAATTTGCTAACCTTAAGCACTATTTCACGGCGTTTGTGTGCTAACGGTCGCGCGTGCATGGAGATTTCTATTGTTACGTCACTAAGTTAAGCAAATTTTTCCTCGGAAGTAAGCGTGCCTTTTGCTGTGCTTATGCTTATGGTCTCCATGAAATAGACGGAGACTCTGTTAGCAGAAAATCGTGTGCTTACCAGCGCCGTGAAATTGGGCCCTGCTCATTATGTACGAAGGAGAGAGCCTTTCCTTACCTCTCCAAGTCAATCTTCTTATCCTGATCCCACTCTGTCACCATCTGTACCATCTGTTTCTTCAAGTCCGAGTTGGCCTCATTCAAGCGGCCCTCCTCCGCCTTGAGTGCTTCCAGCGTCTTGCTCATATCTTCCTTCTCCGTCCGCAGTTTGTCAATCTCATCTTGGAGACGTCTGGATGTGGCTCTTTCGGCCGTGGGTGAAGCCTTGGTAGTCTCCAGCTGGGCTTCCAGGACCTTAAATCGAACCTGTTCATGAAGGAAGCAGTCTTGCTTGAAATGACAACAACCCTCAATAAACTCAAGAGACTATCTGACGGCTCTATTTAAGGGTTCACAGACACATTTTCAGAAGCAAATTTATTTTGTCAGCATTCATAAAACCGGACCCAGAATTTTAACTCTTCAGTGCGTGTTAAAGTGGGCACAATTTCACTCACTCTCATACTATTTATTATGACTGAAGCAGCGAGACTGATTGGGTGAGATAGGAGAAAAACCAAAACTCCTGAAGTAATTGGCAGAGGGTTTGGGGGATGCCGAGGACCGAAAAGCAACATAGGGTATAAGATATCTTTGTATCTGTCTAAGGCTCCACGTAAAATACACATTTTTGAGTGTTACATAAACCTTTATAGTAAATGACATCTTTATGGTAAGATCTCAGGAATTCCAAATTTCAAGAGGGACCTTTAACAAATCCTGGCATTGATCTGTAAGGCCAAAAAAAAAGTCGGTCTCTGGTCAGCGCGAGCGTCGATTTTAATCATGCGCGTCAATCTTTTTTTTCCCAAAATGTTCCGCGGTAGCTCCAACAGCGCCCTCTATTGCCGCACCTTCTCATTTTTTTTTACCAAAGAGCACCAAGGAATGGGAAATTGCACCAAGGCAAATGATCGAGAGCACCAAGGCAAATTATGGAGGACACCAATGTACATGAGGACACAAAAAAGCAAAATAGTACCCCACCTTGTCTGTACAATCCAAGCTTGAAGAAAAAAAAAAAGCAAAAAAAAAAAAAAAAAGCTGCGTCCCCGCGTCAATTCCGTAACTTTGGTCTGACCAGAGACCGAATATTTTTTGGCCTAACCTTGTTTTACCTCTTTATCCTTGGCAGTAGTCTCCATGCCCAGCAGCCTAGTCTTCCCTGCCTCCAGATCCGTCCTGGCTGCCCTGAGGTCTGCCTGCAGCTTGGAGACCTGTGCGCGCTTGGTGCGGTTACTCTGCAGGGAACGCTCCAGCTCCTTCCGCAGGCCCTGCACCAGGTCCTCCGGGGACAGCTTGGGGGCCGAGTCTGACGACGACCTGAAATCAAAATGGTAGGATGCCGGACTCCGTGAATGAAGAGCATTGAGAGCTCCTTGGGAGAGACACATCGCTTGAGCACACTGGTTCATGTGGACATGGTGCACAAACTTTTTTGCTCCGTTCGTGCTAGCATGAGCACCAGGAGAAAGGGCTCCGTGCACAAGTACCCCCTCAACGGTTACAAAGAGAGAGTTGGGGGAGACCACTGGGAGAGACACTCGAATGCACCGCCGACGACGCCTGATGCTAATGTGAAGACGCTATGGCTTTGTGAACCAGTATGTCCTTTCCATTGATGTTTGCGAGCACGTTCCCTATGACCTTATGTCTAATAGGTTACAAATCCCCTCTCTCCAGCAAAGACGTGATCATCTCTGTTTAAAGTTTGGTAAAAACCTTCTCTCATCTCATAAATACCGTGACTGGCTCCCACCCAAAAGATCAAACAATCTCCGCAATACCAACACCCTGTCAATCCCTCGATGTCGAACCAACCGATACAAGAATAGTGCAATCCCATTCTTAACCAACCTTCTGAATACCAACTAAGCTTTATGTTTCATATCCTGGTGTGATATTTATCCTCATTTATTAATTTTTTTTTTGTAATCTGAGCAATCTATTTCTCCATGTTTGTTTTCCCAACTTTTTTTGTCATTTTTTTTTTTAAACTCTTTCATTGTGTACCTCCATTCTTGTTGTTACATGCATTATTTTTTAACTCCCATTATAATTTTTTACCGGTCTTGTAATTATTTTTATTGTAATGCATACAGTTTTTACCTCTGTCTATTTTTAAAATGTTTTTAGTGTAAACCTGCCCACAATTCAGCCTTCGGGCTGCAATGGGAGAGTAAAATAAACCATTTAATAATTATAATAATAATACATAAGCCCCAAGGACCGACACACAAAGGGAGAACAACAGATCCTTTAAGTCCTCGGGCATTGGGTCCTTTGTTGAAAACAGTCCTCTGTAATAGGTTCGTGTGCTTAGTCTATGGGAGAGTGTTATATTACAGGGACAAAGGGAAACACAAAGCATTGTCCTTGGGAGCATAGTAAAACAAGAGTGTCTGCGCATGATGTGTGTCCTGTCCACTCGGCTCTCGAAAGTGTTAAAAAGCGCCCTCTCTTGTTCGCGCATACATGGAGCCCATAGTGGCAATGCTTTTAAGTCATTTCTGTTTTGCTGGCCTGAAGTTGCGGTTAAAAGTTTACGAAATCTTTTTGAGTAAACTGTGAGAACATTTCATGGGATACACGATATCTAGAAAATCATGTTCCCTTTAGGACTTTAATCTGATTGTAATGGAAAAATGAAAGACTTAAAAAACGAAAAATATTGGAGCGCATTTTACCTGGAACTTTGTGGCGTCTTCCAGTCAGACTTGGCCAGGTTCCTGACAGCGAAGGACTTGGATGTGTGTATAGATTCCGGTGACTTGGTTGCCATGACGCCCAGCTCCATGGCCGACTCGTACATCTGCAGCTGCTCCTTCATTTCTGTGAGTTCCTCCTGTATCAACAACATATGCAAATTACCATCAACTGAAGTAGAATTGTCTGATTGTAAAATTCAATAGCCATTAGCACAAAATGTTTTTTGTTTGGCTGATGATAAGAAGAGCCATTTTATTGGGTCCAAGATACCAGCAAAAATGATATTTGTTATATCGTATACGTGGATACTGTAATTTCAGTGGTTGAGAAAGGAAATGTCAAAGGCTTGTAAAATACCTCTCTGGATCTTTAAGTATTAAGCAAAACTCATCATTCAACAACACAATACTCTAATAACAAATAAGCGAAAATGATTTTTGTTTTCCTGACCTGTAAGGCGCTGGTCATGTCTTGACTGAAGGTGCGAGCGGCAGTAGCCTCCTGGAGCTGAACTCGGAGTAGGTTGATCTCCTGTAGAGAGCCTGGTACAAAAAGCCAAAAAAAAAAAAAAAAACTATTTTAAACTGCAAAACTGCCAAGTGCATTTCAAAGGATATTGAATGTTTAAGGTTGCCACAACTTTTTGTTTATGTCAGACTAATTGTTCAACTTTCAATGCATCACCACCGAGCAAGAGAAGGGTGAAGATCAGATTTCTGTCAGGTAACTATTCTGCACCGGGGAATCAGGAGTTACATCTGTTTTCTGACTTGTGTTCCAGATGTCACGTCGTTTTATTATGAAGATCTGAATGAAGTACATGAAAATTTTGATGTCTGAAAACAAGAGCATCAACTTCTGAAGATCATCTGTTGTAGTCGTTTGGAATGACCCCATAGTCTACTTAAAATTAATACATAAAATTCACCTGTTTTCGACCAGAATCTATTTGGGATGACCTGAGTCGCTCCTAATGTTATCCAGCATGCCAAATAGGTGTAAATCATTTGATTAGTTGTACAAGCATTACATTCACTGTGTGGACTTCCGAACAAAAGAGGTCCACATAAACCAGGTAGCAGCGACGTTGTGTGGACTTGCCCACGTCCACACAATGTTTCCCTCTCTCTTGAAAACAGCTTTAGATGCGTATTTGGGTTAGGTTTATCCATGGCAAAATGAAGAGAAACACTAAAGGGAATCACAGAAAAACATTTGGGTTGAAAGAGTTTTCACAGTGTGAGTAAAATGAGTTTTTTTCACAGGTTTTTTCTTAACTACACGAAAACAAAGGAATGTCCACACTACGTATGTAACATAAACATGTATGTTCAAAGGGTTCTGTTAGGCCCAAAAAACCAAATAGTCGGTATCTGGTCAGCGCGCGCGTCGATTTTAATCATGCGTGTCAACCTTTTTTTTCCCTTCAAATTGTCCGCAGTAGCTACAACAGCGCCCTCTATTGCCGCACCTCCTCAAATTTTTGTACCAAGGAATGGGGAAATTGCATCAAGGCAAATGATGGAGGACACCAAGGCAAATTATGGAGGACACCAATGTATATGAGGACATTACAAAAGCAAAAATAGTACCCACCTTGTCTGTACAATCCAAGCTTGGAAAAAAAAAAGCAAAAAAAACCCCCCAAAACGTGTTGCCGCATCAATTCCGGAACTTTGGACTGACCAGAGACCGACTTTTTTTTTTTTTTTTTGGCCTTACATGTATAAAGTGTTTTTGCCTACCTGTTTCTAGGAGATCTCGGCACTGCTTCTGGCTGTTCTGTAGCTGGCTTGTCAGTGTGTTGATGGTGTTGCCCTGCTCAAGCTTGGCCAGCTCAGCTGCCTTAGACACCCTGGACAGTTCTCGACGAAGGCTTTCTATGTCGGTGCTCTGTGGAGACATCACGCCAATTTATTACACCTTATACATATTTATGAACAAAATTCAAGTTGTTCATCGGTTGATGTTCCATTGCATCGGGGTAGTGAAAATACACGCGTGGCACATGTACTATTGCCAAACTGGTAGGTAGTATACCAGGGAAGTCGTACCCCCAGGTAAGCTCCTAGACTCCCAACCATGCAAAAGTAACAGTCACAAGTCAGATTTGTGGTACCATACTAGTACCTTTTCTAAACCCTTTTTGTCCCAAATGTTGTCTGCATATGGTCATTCTATAAATTTAGGGTACAAAATGTGACATTTTTCCTGTCTCTGCTAACTTGGTACTTTGGTAATTTGCCATTCTAGTATCATTAAGAATGATTTCAAACATTTTTTTTTTTAATTTGTTGGGTAGGTAGTTTGCTATTCACAATCGCTTTTGGAGGACGACTGCAACGTATCAGAAAAATCATAGATCTCAGATGTAACAGGGACAGGAAGAAAGTGGACCCCAAATTTACAGAATGACCCACGTACCTTCTCCTCCAGATTTCTTTCACCATTGTCCACTTTCTCCTTGAGTCTGGTCACCTCCTGCTCGTATCTCTCCTGCAGGCTCTTGAGCAGACCGTCCTGCTGCTCTCGGGCCCTGGCGAGCGGCTGAGAGCGCTGGAGCTCAGACAGCTGGCTGGTCAAGCTCTCGATGGCCGACTCGGTGGCCTGAAGTTTCTCCTCCACCTGGTAAAAAATGACAAACAGAAGGGACACAATCAGACAAAATTTAGAAAGGGATTGGGAACAACCCAAAATACCTGCTGAAGTGCATAGTTCAAGTCTAGCGGTGTAGTGCCTCCTATGATGAAACTAGGCTAGTGGTCTTGTGGTCATCATTAACGTCATCCACAGTGTTGTAGTCAGGGTACTTTTGATAGATCACACGTACATCCCAAATCCGGTCAAAAGTAAATCTCAAGACAATTCACAAATCTCCTCACAATTAACAGTGGCTGACCAATAAAAAAGGGAATAGCTTTGTCACATTTCATTTGAAAAGCTTGCGAGTTGACTGGGGACTGAATGACTTGTGATTGACTTGTGATTGACTTGTGGTGGACCTGTGATGGACTTGTGAGGGACTTGTGAGGGACTTGTGATGGACTTGTGAGGACTTGTGATGGACTTGTGATGGACTTGTGATGGACTCGTGATGGAATTGTGATGGACTTGTGATTGACTTGGGATGGACCTGTGATGGACCTGTGATGGACTTGTGATGAACTTGCGACGGACTTGTGATGGACTTGTGAAGGACTTGCGATGGACTTGCAATAGACTTGTGATGGACTTGCGATAGACTTGTGATGGACTTGTGTTGGACTAGTGATGGACTTGTGATGGACTTGTGATTGACTTGTGATGGACCTGTGATTGACTTGTGATTGACTTGTGATGAACTTGTGATGGACTTGTGATGGACTTGTGATGGCCTTGTGATGGACTTGTGATGGACTTGTGATGGACTTGTGATGTACTCATGAATCGTGGTGGATCACAAGTACATCACAAATCCGGTCAAAAGTAAATCACAAGTCCTTTCACAAGTCCAGTTACAAGTAACAGGGGCTGTACAATAACTTAAAGTGTCTCTATTCTTACCTCATGTTTGGCCGCATTCAAGGCCTGTATCTGAACCTGTGCTGCCTGTAGCTGGCCCTTTAACTTGCTGTTCTCCTGCTGTGATTCACCTAGCAGCTGCTGACACTGCTCGTAGCTGGCTGTAGCACCTGCTCTCTCCCCTAGGCAACAGGTGCAATTTCCAAACAAAAGAAATAACCACATCAATGCCTGCGACACATCAGTGTGAAGATGAAAATTGATAGATCTTATCATAATTATCTTAACTTTAGGCAGTAGAAAAATACTGTATCTGGCAGTTTTTACTAATGAACTTTAAACTAGTATAACAGATCAATTTTGTTCAAGGCAGATTATATTTTACTTTTTTTCAGATATGCACAAGTGCAGGTATGCAACTTGGAAGAAGCAAAAAACAAGGAAACTCCAATCTTTACAAGACCCTGTACAGTGTTTCTTGAATTTTAAATGGCATAAGTGTGAAGTGAAAAACGAGGAAATCAGCGGATCCGAGGAGAAGTTGCATGCCTGACAAATGAAGTAACATCTTTGTAAATACATTTTTTTTTATTACTTCATGGGTTCTGAATGCATTCCGTTTTTGTGGTACCAAACATACATGACACAAGCAATGAAAGAGAATTTGAGCGTGAGCATAAGTTATAAAAGTGAAAGATTAAAGCAACAGTCCGTCATTTGCAGCTATCCAAAAAGTAACTGACGTAATTATTGTTGAACAATATACTTGGTTGAAAGATAGCAAGGGGACTAAACTCCCTGTGAAATTATTCTTTCTGGCATGCTGTCATTTTGAAGAAATCAACGAAAGAAGGCCTTATCAACGGTGCGTCTAAAGACGCACCGTTGGAAATTTCCGTTAGTAATTCATTTTTTTATTCGGCAAAGTGCGAGCAAGCGTTGACACGACGCACACGCGCGCCCGGTTGCTATAATTCGTCGGATCGGTGCGCCACATCACGTAGCTACAATCAGCTCGGTGAGAACGTGTTTTGGACGCTGAATTCAGGCCCGATTCAAAACATGATTCAGCAACTTTTGATTTGAAATCGAGAGCCTAGAATGCTGTTTTTCTCGGAATATACAGCTGAAACTGAGCTGAAAATTCATCAGGTTAGTTGTTCAGCACCCTTCTTTAGATTTTGAGCATGTTTGTTGTTTCAAACGAACAAAATGCACAAATTACAAATGATGGGCTGTACCTTTAACAGGACAATGTATGTAGTGGCTCCTTTGAGGCAAATGCTTGGTTGCACAGTTTTGTGAATCAAGCGTGGGTAGGCCAAATGGGTGTGAAGGATTAAGGAGTTGAGAGTTGAGGATTGAGAGGAGGGAGAGGAGGCAGGGGAATCACCTTGAGCTAAGGCCAGCTGATGGTTCAGTATCCGCTTGTCTCGTCCCGACTCCTCCTTCAACACCTGGAGTTGATTCCCGAGTTGGTCTAGTTCCCTGCCCCTGGCCTTGTAAAGGATCTGTAGCTGGGCCATCTGTCTAGTCTCCTCGTCACCACCTGCAATGGGCACAGATACTCTTGACTGTAAATTCCTGAATCCTACAAAATCCAACAATGCACATCTGGGACCTCATCATCTGGGACAGCTGGACTGTACAGTTGTGAAGCCTTACAAAAACCTGGTCTTGGATTTAAGAGATTTATCCTTCCATGGTAAATTTACATAGAATCAAATTTGAATTTTAGGGGCACTGAGCCCCATGACAAATAATCCTACAAAATCCCAAAAAAAACTCCTGATGGGATTTTGAAGGATTTGGGAGGGAAAGAGTAATTTTAAAGGTGACCGAACAGGTAAGAAAGGCAGAGACTCTGAAAATTCTGTGTTCGATGGAGGATATCAGAAGACGGCCTTACCAACGCCAAGAAACTGCTTTTGCAACAGGTCCCCTGCATCCTGCTGCCCAAATCCCACCGTGGCTTGGCTGGTAACCGCAGGGAAGCCGTTACTGGGCGGCATACCATGCTGCACAGGCTCCGTTTGATGGACATTGGTGGCGGTGGCCCCATCACCTCTGTACTCAACTCTAGAAATCCAACAACAATTGACAAGATTTTATAATTTCCATCAATATCTGCTACACAAACCACCAGAAGTTGTTCTCTGCTAAGTACTGTGGGATTCAGCAATCGTGCAGTTACTTCACAGATTCATTTTTAAAAAAAAAAGGCAACTGTACAAATCAGTCAATGGTAACAACATGCTAACGTACGCTAAAACTTTGGTAAGACAATTTTCTTTACATGCTAAGCAGTTATGATGAAAAGATTTTAAGACTGCAAAATCTTTACAGAACTCGTTTACTGTACCTGTGAATTGCAGGATTGTTGTTATTCGATGGATTGTTGTCATGACGATGATCCCTTGCATAGGTCTGGGCGTTCCTCCCATGTTGCATTGCATGCTGGTTGTCACCGTGAACTTGGTGACGGCTCGGCGAGTATTGCTGCGTAAATCTGTGCGATGGGCTATATTGCTGAACCTGATTATCATACATCTGGTCCTGATACTCAAAGTCGCCATCTTCCAATGTTTGCCTCTCGAAGCCGTTCTCATGCATCGGGTCCTCATTTGCATATTCATGATTGGAACCATCATTTCGGTATCCATTGGTCATCAGGTAATCACCATGGTCGCCGTGTCCCTGGTATCCGTGGGCCACGAGGTGGTTACCGTGCAAGTTACTCTGCGCGTATCCATTGCTCTGCATCTGCCGCTGGTTCCCATGTACGCTGATACCCTGCTGAGTGTGGCCTGGAAACTGGTGCCCCGTTTCTGAGTTCCGTCTCTGCAAATGTGCATCGTCATTTGCAGCGCCCTCTATCTCTCCTCGTTCGTACTGCTGTCCGAGGGTTTCGTCATCCGAAGACTCCACGTACTGCTGGCCATTCTGAAGCTGTTAAAAGAATGAATTAATCGTAATCTTAAACATCTTTACCTTCGTTGTACAAATGTATGATATAATTTTGCACAAAACATTGGAATAAGCATCCCTTTTTATTTCCGTGTTCTCATTTTCGACCAACCCTATTTTGGGGCCCTGAAGCCATTAAGGTACTAGGTATTAACAGACCTGCTCATTGTCTTTGTGCTCCTTATACCCAATCTGATAAGGAATGGGTACAGGGATCTGGAGAGGGTGAGGGTTGCTGAACCCATTGGGTACTGGGTATAAACCAACCAGTTCAATGCCTTGGTGCCCCTGTACCCATTCTGATAAGGAATGGGCACTGGGGTCTTGAGAGGGAGTGGGTTGCTGAACCCATTGGGTACTGGGTATTAACCAACCTGTTCATTGCCTTGGTGCCCACTGAACCCATTCTGATAAGGAACGGGTGCAGGGGTCTTGGGAAGGGGTGAGTTGCTGATCCCATTGGGTACTGGCTATTAACCAACCTGTTCATTGCCTTGGTGCCCCCTGTACCCATTCTGATGAGGAATGGGTGCCGGGATCTTGGGAAGGGGTGGGTTGCTGAACCCATTGGGTACTGGGTATAAACCAACCTGTTCATTGCCTTGGTGCTCCCTGTACCCATTCTGAAAATAAATGGGTGCAGGGGTCTTGGAAAGGGGTGGGTTGCTGAACCCATTGGGTACCGGGTATAAACCAACCTGTTCATTGCCTTGGTGCCCCCTGTACCCATTCTGATAAGGAATGGGTGCCGGGGTCTTGAGAGGAGGTGGGTTGCCGTACTCATTAGGTGTTGACGTCTGCTGCTGTTGTTGCTGGATCAGCTTGTGGTGACCTGGCAACTGATGCCTGAGGTGGGACCAGGGATCGTGACTATGGAAATAATTTTTTTTAAATTCCCAAATCTTCTATTAACAAATTAATTTTGTTTCTTCTTTTAAGACAGTTTCTAAGACATTTGAAAAAATTGTCTTTATGACCGCTTATGATCACAGATAGTGTTAAAAAGCTTTCACAATTTGTCATTGAACATGTCTATTTGGAATGACCCAGGCTGGGAATCGAGTGTTTGTGTCCCTTTGAAAGATACTTTACTGCCATTGCTTTACTCCGCTATGCAGTGTAATAACAGTAATCAGAACCTAATAACTACAGCAGCCTCTTTAAAATTTACTCTAGAAATCAAGCCCCTGTGGAGTAAATCCTTCACTGTACAAGCTGTAAGAACACAGCACGAATACATGTTCAGTTAGAATAGCAAAGCCTTGTGTATTTTTTTTTAAATCAATATTTCCATAAAAATAGGTTTTCAAAACATTAAATACATTCAATGTTCCATTCATTCAAATGCCTTTTAACTCTACATGCAAGGGAAGCTGATACAGTCTCTGAAAGTTGCGTTTCTCGAGATGAGCCAATAATTCCGCTAAACGCTGATTGCATATTGAAACAATTCCAGTTGCCTAAGTATGGCAAACCATTCTGTACTCAAACACAGTTGAAGCAGAAATTAGTATTTAAACAGTTCAAACACAGACCTTGGACTTGGAAGGCTTCCACGCCGATCGCTCAGCGAGCCGTTGGACTCGTGACTGGAGAATGACGCGGTGTCGTCATCTAGAAGGTCATCGGGCAACGCGTTAGTTAGCAACTCGCGCAGCTGTGGGCAAAAAAGCAAAATAGAACACTAAATAAAAAAAAATACCCTGCTAAAAAATTGTATTCTTGAAATTAGAAAAAAATCTTTTTTCAGGGAGTGAGACAAGAAAATAGTTCTTCAAACAAGAATTAATTTCTTAAAAATTAAAAACGTTGGGTTTTTTTTTTTAACCATGGGGCTGATATGTTAAAAATCCTGAGCGGCACAGGTTCCTGGCAAATCTGAAAAAGAAACAAATCTGCAATTTTTCATTCTAAATTGAGAAATCTGGATTTTGTGCGGGGCCTATAGATGACAATGTGGCCTACTCCGAAACATGTTTGTGTACTGTTTCATGGGAGCACATGGCATGGACAACAAATGACATTTTTTCAAATTAAAGTGCAATAAAACCCTCATCAAGTTAGCCTCAGAAGTAAACTAAATAATTATATCGGCACATCATTTCATTTTCTCAATTTGAAGTTCTGTAAAGCACCTTCTAAAGAAAAGGGAAAATTAAATACTTTGGCAGTCATAATGCAAGTAGCACCAACAAGAAAGAAGAAGGGAGAAAACAAGAAAGAACTCCTCTTGCATATTAATAAGACAAAACGTGCTGGGATAGAAGTAAAACTATTGATGACAAAACAGTCAAAACCAATCATTATTCATAGACATGTTCTTTTTATTTTAATTAATTGAAGTAGCTCGCGACTTCTAAGATTCAAACATTGAAAATTAACAGACAAATAATGAAATAATCCCTGTAAAACAAGATTGAAATCAATAAATGTACAATACACATAATGTCATGTGCCTTGTGCATCATAAATATTGCCCTATATGTAGTTAATAATTACCACGGTTTCAGCTGTGTCAATTTCATGTAAATTTCATGTAAATTTCATGCCTTATGCGATGGTTTCTGCCAGCATTTTGTATAAATTTATTTGTGATGGATGATAAAAGAAAGGGAATTTACAGGTTGGAATTTGACCTTCCACGTTGCTGGGAATAACTCTGGTTATTTTTTACTTAACCAACGACATGCTTTTTTTTTTCTACCGAAAATCTGGGATACATCCTAAGCAAAGTGACTAACAATGACTTGGTAACGCACTCCTCTGTCCATCATAATTAAGGAAAACCAGTCGGAGGATTTTGTGCCAATTTCTGAGGGTCAGGGTTAATCAAAATCTGACGGATCTGCAGTTTCTGGTTTCACTTACCTGGCAAAGTGATTTCTCAATTTCCTTTAAGTCTTGCATGGAGACGGTTTCCACATCCCCCATCAGACAAGCCCAACACATACTTCCCTCAGACAATACATGGAGCGTTTCTCTCATTTATTTCCTCATAAAATACAATCCTGAGATTCCTGGATCTGATCAAACTCCCTCAATGCAGAAAGGTTTGGACAAATGCTCCTTTGTGTTCAGTGCTCCGTTTGTTGCAAAACGAATGCAAATTGGAATTTTATGAGTGATCCTGCCCGGCAGTATCAAATGCCTCAACTGTTCGACAGTGGGGTGAATATGCTGCAGTAATCCTAAATGAGTCTCAATTTCAATGAAGATTTGTCGATCGCATGATACAAACGCTCCGTTCTGTTTAGAGTTCTGTTTGTTGCAAAACGAATGCAAATTGGAATTTTATGAGTTACCCTGTCAGCCAGTATGGAATGCTTCAACAATTCATCTCCACATCACACAGTGGGGGTGAATATGTTGCAGTAATCCTAAATCCGTCTCAATTGCAATGAAGATTTGTCGATCCCACGATACAAATGCTCCGTTCTGTTTAGACTTCTGTTTGTTACAAACTAAGCACAAGTTGGAATTTGATTTGAGTTTTCCTATCTGCCAGTATCAGATGCCTCAACAGTTCATCTCCACATCACACAGTGGAGCTGAATGCAGTAATCCAAAATACGTCTCAATTTCAAGGAAGATTTGTCGATCGCAAGATACAAATCCCTCTTCTGATTTGGCAGGTCCGCTAACCATATCAAATGCATAAATCCCAATCTCCCTGATGCACAGTGGTGCTTAATTGCGATATCTGAAACCATCTTTTTCCCGACGACACTGTAGTCCTATTCCCCCTTTTATTTCTTTTGTTTATAAAATATTCATTTAATAAAGTCGCCACTACAAAGATACAGACGTTTTATCAAGATTAATGTTTCGCAGCTCTTGGCCCGATGCCATACGGTGATAACAGGTCACCGCTAGTCGTTACTGCCGATTGTGCAGGACATCTATAAGGGGGTCGTATTATTACCGTCGTCGGACGGAAACCTTTGATTGGATTTTTCTGTTTGACTGTTAATCATTCGCTTGATCTCGGCCAGCCATTACCACTCAAAGTAAAAACGAATGCAGGCTCCGCCGAACCATTCCAGTAATCACTCTTTGTCACGATTGTAAATCACTTAATTGGCTTCTTCTTTCGTAGTATTTTTCTTCAAATGCCAAATGGCAACGGCATCCTCAGGAAGCATTTCCAGGCCGATGATGGTTACTTTGCAGGACGTTTCAAAATTCAAGACGACCTGAAATTAGAGAAGATTAACATACATTCAAAAACAAACTCACCAAAAGACTACAAACAGTTATATTAGCAATCTCCTGTCTCAAAACCTACATGATTTCTAAGTGATAAGCAATTTTCTCATTTTCCATAAGCTTCGGAAATTTTAAAGCTAATTTTTTTTTTTAAAAAGACCAGAAAGAAAGTGAGCCACAAACCAACCAATGAACAATTTAATCAAACAAGCACTGAAATAACCGACTCATCGAGCATGTTAAAAATAAGGTTGAAAACCACTAGATTTTTGTAAAAATCAATTTTATTCAGACTTATCAAAAGCTGCAAGTTCCTTTCTTCAATCTGATATTGGTCAAGTGCACAATGTCAAGCTGACGCTTGTTTTGTCAAAGTGAACTAGATGCATATTTTAATTTCATCCTTTGTCCCAAAGGGAGTTTAGTGTTTGTGATTAATGCCGTACACAAACACAGTTCATTCTAGTGTAAGGGTACAAAATGTAACTAGTTCAGAGCCTGCTGTGTAAGTGACCGTGCCGCCACGTAGGGGAATCCAGGTACGGATAGAGCAGGAAACCGTCACATCGATGAGTGTACCTAGGCTATACAGATGCAACGTGGCACAGGGACGTCATTACTAATACCAAACTTCCTTTAGAAGGAAGCAGTTCGGCTGTCCTTAAGAAAAGGCCTCACTTTACAATGGGTAAGTTCAAAAAAATTTGTAATTTTTTTTTCGTCTTTCTTTCTTTTTGTCCTTGAGTTCTAGCAAGTTCTCAGATTCATTTTTTGTTCGGCTAATTTTACAAATTTACATAATACCTTTGCACTTTTGCTATTATTCTACTTTTAAATGGACTGTTATCCTCACAAAACTCCTGGCTTTTGAAAATCAAGGTTAACACAAAATTAATTAACAAAGCTGACTTTTGAAAACCGCTGTTCCTCAGCTCAATTGGTAGCAAAGTAAAGGAGTAAAATATCAACTTGGTCAATCATTGAATTCAAAACACACAATGAAATGAAATGCACGCTTTAGGCAATGCCTGTGCTTTGCATTATTAATGTATATTGTGAAGCACACGCTGGCAAAATGGAATATTTCACGAGGCAGATGTGAACAATTTATAGAGAAAGGTACTTTTGATTTGCTCTATAAGGGGAAGAACTATAGCAAAACAGTGACAGTATCAGTTTTCCGGAAGAAAAAATATGCAGTCAAAATGAAGCCTAACTATAAAACAAAATTACTCAAAATTTCCAATTATACAGCAGAAGTACCAGTGTGGATGTTTAATTTTTAAAAAATACAAAAATAATTAGGCAAAGTACTGGATTAGTTGAGCTAGGGGAGTCATATTTAGTTTTCACTTCAAAGAAAAAATAACTAAACTACCTACATTGTATTCATGTATACTGATGATAGGGAAAAAAGGCAAAATCAAATTAATCAAGCATGATGGAGCTATCTTAGAAGGAAATCCAGGCCAATGCAATTTACACATGCATTAGAAATCCATCACAAATTTAAACCCCAAAAAAATCCCATCTTGAAGGAAATCCAGGCCAATGCAATTTACTCATGCATTAGAAATCCATCACAAATTTAAACCCCCCAAAAAAATCCATTTATGCAAATTACCTAATCAAATTAATCATTAGTGCAAAAGGAGAAACAAGCAATTACTCACTATTTAAGTGGATAATTTCCATGCTGGTTGATTGCTTGGCTGGCGGCGCATCACTCCATGTTCTGACTAGTGCTGCTCTCCGAACTCAAATGCAGCTCCCAATCCGCGCAATAATGCTCAGCATGATGCGCTCAGGCGTGAATTACCCACACTTGGGTGAGCACCAATCACTGAAGCCAAAGCCTGGGCAGGCAGTATCTTCCAGGCACGGCCGGGGGAGGCGTGCAGGGGGCTTGGGCCATCGATAGCCAACAATGGTCTGAGGCTGATGACTTAATGAGGGCAAAGTACACAGTTGTTGGCACGCACAATGAGCTTGATTGATGGGGATTTTTCAACGAGAGTGTTTTCGCTACGCTCTTTGAATCGTTATCTCGGGGGAGAAAAAAAGTGCTGGCAAAACTGCTTAGCATGTTGATCTTTATTGATATGATGAGTAGGAATATCACTAGCAGTGGCACAGCTTTGAAAGGCTACAAACTTTTTAGAGGAGCTTAATTTCAAGTTTCACATTAGATTCAAGTGCCCTTATACGATATGCACCATGGATTTTAGTGGTCTTTCCAGATGCATTTCCCATGCTATTTTTGAGTTTCATCCTAAAAAAGACTCCTTTGCTAAATTGCTATTTTAAATACAAAAGTTAAATCGCTCTTGAATGACACACTGCCCTTAAAAAAATGGCCCATTTTAAACTGAATTATTACTATAGAATTTCGAATAAATGGCTGCCAGATAATAATTCCATTCTCACTGGGTAGGCTGGTTCCCGCTCCACAATCAGTATTGATAATGTACGGTCTGGGAGCCATTCTGGTTGCAATGCCTCTCTGTTTGTGCCCAAATCAAAAACTTATTTTCGTTTCAGAGGGTTGCAAACATCCAAATTGGAAAAATGTGCAGTTATTTTTGCTTGAAATCAAACGTGCAAGCTGAAAAATTATTAATTAAGAGAGAACAAAAATTGAATTTGTTGAAGAGCACGTGGAACGCAACTTGAAATATTTCATGTAAAACATTTTAATGAAGACTGATTCAAGTAACTTTTGTACTGAGTGTACAACTGTACTTTGTTGCCTCAACTTGTTATGCTACATACAATTCGATGAGTCACATGACCTGAAATTGGATGTTCATAAAGTATGCAAGGTGACTGCTATCCAGCAAATCTTAAACACTACACAGATATTTAAATGAGAAAAAAAGATGTTTCCAAACTTTTGATGAGAATAAGAAGAATGTTTGGTCCAGTATCTTAAGCACATATGGAGCTGAATGCACATTATTGAAGGTAGGAAACAGGTTGAGTTTCTCTGAAACTTCTTAAGCTTTTTTCCAAGAAACTGTGTCACAGCAATAGAGCTCAGCTGAGCGGTACTGAAAGTCCAGGCACCATCTTTAAAAGCTTCATGAATGTCTCTCACTATGAAAGCGATAAACAAGTTGATAACACCATTGATGTATAACACAAAGGGATTAGAAGATAGGATTAGAATCAAAGATCTAACTGGGGATGAAGAGGTTGCATTAACAGGTTCAAACAGAACTTGAGAACAACATCACAGGAAGGGAAATTCAGTACAAAAGAAACTTTGTGGTCAACACCAATTAGCCCACACCATCCTGCCCCAGTGAATAGTGATCTTAATCATCTAAGAATGTCAATTATGAGCTAGTGACGTCATTGGTTAGGCCTATGTGATAGTCTAATGGATGTTTTTCCTTTAAAAACTCAACTCTCAAATGCATGGTTTCACATAGCTTGACAGAAGGAGATTTTACAGATCATCAGCGATAAGAATCAAAACTTTACTGCTGAAAAGCATGGGAATCACAGGATATACTAAGGTCAATGCTATATCTGCCACAGTATGCACGCTACAAATGCTACAATGTACGTCTCAGGAAGAACGAATAGGGCCTTGTGCAAAGCTACATGCATGGTACATGTAGTTCCTTTGCTAGTGGACCTTTTATAAGGGAAAATAACAAATTACTGGATATTGTAAACAGGGTGAGTAAAAAAAACCGAAACCCAAATGGCGGAACCATTGTTTTAGTGAAGTTCTGCATGTAGCACTTCCAAAATTAGGCTAATATGCAAGCCCAGTTCATAGCTTTCTTTTAGTACAAGAATCATTCAAATCACTTATGTACTTTTCAAGTTTAAATATGGAATTTTTAAACACAACCACCGTTTTAAAGTTCTATCCACGGATCACCAAAAAGGTGTGCGTTCTTTCGGCACAAAACCATCCACACGCATCCCTGGCCCTATGTGATTTGTTTTCGTTTTGCTGAGAGAACACTTACCTTTTTGTGATCCATGAACAGAACTTTAAAACGGAGGTTGCATTTAAAATTCCGTAACTTGAAAAGTACATGAGTGATTTGAATGATTCTTGTACTAAAAGAAAGCTTATGAATTGGGCTTTCATATTCTAGATTTTGAAAGTAATAAATGCAAACTTCACTAAAACAATGGTCCCGACATTTGGGTTTCATGTTTTTTTAATCACCCAGAATTGACTGACGATACTGATGCTATACCATAATCACCAGGTCACAAGTATAGCCACAGAACAGTAAAGTATACAAGCAAAAAATTACGGTGAGCTTGTTCAAATCAATCAGACTCACATGGTGTGACACGTGAAGTTGATGATGACACAATTTAGTCATCGAGAGGGATAATGTAGGATTCGGTTTTAATCCGTGTTGGTCCTAGGTCTTTCACTGGCCTGGTGGGGCTAAAGGAGATCAAGGAAAAATCCATAATAGCGCATCAATTCTTTTGCGACAGTACGCACTGCTTTCCGCTATTGAGTACTTCTTTTGTTGAAGTTTTGGCACTAGGTTTTTACGTACATTCTTGTTTTGCTTGGGAAGAAAAGGAATCTATAAAAAATGTCCAAGTCTTAAAGTGTTAGAAATTGGCCAAAAAAAAGTTTTATGTAGGAATTGACAGAAATTTGTAGTGTATTCATATCGTGAAGCTACGCTGTACAAACAGTCAGACTGTCTTAATATTAAAAAAAAATAATAATAATATTTTCAAAATTTGTTCATAAAGTTTTTCAATTTTCAGGTGTTGAAGATAAAAAAAAATCACTTATAATTTTTTTATTGATATCTGAGGATGCCAAATAAAATCAATGTTTTGATACTCCTTCATGTACATAAAAAATATCTCAACATTACCAAAACAAACACCCCAAAAAACGACGTCTTCAAGATCCTTGGAAACAAGAAGTCGACCCTAGGTGTCGAGGCTGATAGAATGGGATTACGCACTGACTGAGCCTTGACAAAGGGTCCAACGATAACAATTGACTCGAGGATTAACGGAGTGTGACGCAAGTCAGGTATTCGATAGTGGCGGACCGACCAGTGCACTTTTGACACTCTTTTGTGTGGCACATTCCTTTGGGCCAAAATTGTGGTCACTGTGCCGCCAGATCGCCATGAGGACCACACTAAACACAACTCCTGCATCCGGCTGTAAAAACCAACACAAAAAAACTTACTGAACTGCTGAAGCCACAACAAATGAATTCATCAATATGTCAGGAGATAAATTATGGATGGGGCAAAGTAAATTTCAAAAAGGGAAAACAACTTAAAGGAAATATACAACATTTGCAAGCATCAAAAAACAAAACTACACAATTATTCAAAAATACCTTACTGGACTGTTAGTGAAGACAGTCTAAAACATCTTGTAAAATCATGGCACCTGGTGTGCTGTCATTTGAAAGAAAAAGTGGCATTTTTGTATGAATTTCCAATGCTGGTTGGCCGACCAGCATTGGAAAAGAACTGGCTTTTTTCAAATGCTGCCCCAAATTTACCATATTTAGTTACATGTAGGTTGCATTTTGTTTGCAATCGATTTCACTCATATGAACGGATACTAAGCCAGCCACACTGGTTCCCTGACCTTACAATTCCCCGTCTATAAATTGCTCTGTTTCATCTTAAGTGGGGTCAAGAAACCAGACTATAGAGGAACATGATTGTTTTTTTTATTCTTTTTTCCCCAGCATCTACAAGTAAGAACCAAAACTTCCAACAAGTCAGTGTAAAAATAATTGTCATAAACTCCTCCCCCCCTCTCAAATCCACCCATTTCTGAAAATTACAGCAAAAGCAAATGTTGAATATTCCCTGCAGGTAAACAATTGAGTCTGACAATTAATGTGGGAGACGCTCGGTATGTATGAATAAGTGTCTTCAACTACATGTAGTTCATACAAAAATTTGAGAGGGGGTATCAGCACAGAGACCAAAAGGCATGTACAGTGTTTATGGACAAAAGTGAACCAATTAAGCTGGCTTCCTTGGACAACAAATGCGGAAAGTTTAACAGATTTTATATGAATACAAACAGAAATCTATGAGAAAAAATGGCAGGGGAACCACAAGAACACCCCAATCAAGCACAATCCCGCAACTGGCAAATGCCCAAGCTGTTACGTTATCCGTATTACGCAAAAATCCTTGAAGGGTGGAGTGAGTAGGTCAAGAACCCGAGCCCACACCGTGTATGGGCTGGACCAGCTCCTTGTCTTGTATTGATTCGTATTTCGGTTAACTGCGCTGGGCCGGGTAACGCGTTCAATGAAGGGTGACATGAATTGAACACTTCAAGGCTTCCCTGGAACGTCCTATTCAACTGGGAATCAAGCTACAGTTACAATCGCATTTCTCGATTTGTGTATTTGGTTTGTCTATTGTGTGCATGCACCAACAGTGAGAGCTTTTTTTGGAAGGCCTCCAAAATGTGACAGATTACCTACAAATGTTTACGACGCTTTCTTGTGAAAATCAAAGATTGTTTTGATATACTTATTGGGATTAATGCTGTCCAGGGGGCAAGTGTACTGAGAATCAGTTGTTAGCCAGAACTGGACCAAAGAAGTTTCAAAAATAAATAAATACGTAAATGAAAAGATATTGACCACAAAAAAAGCTCTAGAAGCGAATAAGGTGCAAAATTCTTTTCCAAGTAGGCTATTCATCTGCCATGGAAGCATTCTTCGATGTAAGTACAGTGTTTTCACACTGATCAGTAATAAATAAGAGATCATTACCTAACCCCAGGCCCTGTTTGCTAGGAACCATCTTTATAATCCTCCAAAATCCTCCACAATTTTGCCATTATGTTCAAATGAAGGATACCCAGTGCATCAAATCCTTCAAAATCGTCAGACAGTCCTGCCTCTAAAAATGCATTTATCCTCAATCCTCCAAAATCCTCCTAGAGCTTCTTCAAACACCATTCATCAACATCCTCCAAAATTCTCCCGAATTGTAGATTGCATTCATCCTAAATCATCCTAAATCATCCCAAATCCTCCAAAACCACCAGGATGATTTTTGAGGATTGAGGAGGGTTAGGGTTACAGATGTCCAAAAAGTAACTGACAAAATTATTGTTGAAAAGCTTACTTGGATTTAAAGATTGTAACGGCAATAAACTCTCTGTGAAATTAGTCTTTATGGCATGCTGTCATTTTGAAGAAAACAATAAAGGAAGGCAATTTCCAAAGATGCGTCACTTAACCCTAACCGCCCTGAATCCTCCAAAATCCTTTTTGCAAATTGGAGGAATTTGCAGGATTGAGGTTACATGGCAAAAGTGCGTTGCTGATTTCGGAGTACGCACTGTGTCAAGGTCTTGGGCCGGACCTTGTGTTGTGTATGCTCAGCCATGCATACATTTAGTCCTTGATTATACTTGACATCCTCCGCACTGCTCCAGGATGTCACTGCCTCTGCCTCAGCCTATTGACAGTCATAGCCGGAGGATTTTGCAGGATTCAGGCAGTGGTCACCCCTCCATGGACCATATTCAAGAAACAACGGAGGAATTTGCAGGATTGAGGCTATATGCAATTTTTCCATGAGGCCAATTGGAGGATTTTGCAGGATTGAGGCTACATCCTAGCAAAAAGGCCTAGGGAGTTAGGGTTTTTAATAGATGCGTCACTTAGGATCACTCCATCCAAGTGACTTAAAATCCATCAAATTCTGTAGACAAAGAAACATTGGTTCGAACAATGACCTCTAATGACTCCTACATGACCTTTGACCTCAGTAATCCGATGAAGAATTGTGCTTCCCACCCAAGGGTCACTGTATCAAAGTTTCATCGCAATCCAGGAAAGCATTGTGTATGTTATACACTTTTTCAAAACTTGTACCTGTCTATTTGAACAATGACCTTTAATGACCCCTACATGACCTTTGACCTCAGTAATCAAATGAAGAATTGTGTCTTCCCACCCAAGGGTCACTGTATCCAAGTTTTGAAAAAAATTCAAAACTTTAACATATGGGTCTATTTTTTCAAAACTTTTAACATACAGGTCTACGACATACGGGAATACAGTCAAACAGAATTAAGGACCAAAGTGACAATAACCATGTAGTGTCTCACAAAAAATTCGTTTGAACAACACAAAACTAAACAGTTCTGCAGTAAAAACTCAATACTTATCAGATTTCTATTAAGTCAACACACCATTGAGTTAACTGAATTAAATTTGTGTGATATGGAGTTCAAAAAAAAAAAATATGACTTTTGAGTATTTAGCTTTTGGAAAAACAAAAGGATTGGAAATGACCAAACAATTGTTTTTCCCAAAAAGAAATGGGGATACAACTTTCAAGGGAAATTATCATACAGACTTTGCAGACTACAATTAAACCATACACTAAATGTACGGCAAGGATTAACAAGTCCATCACAAGTCCATTCATTAGTAAATCACAAGAAGCAGGAGATGAGCAATAACAAAGGAATGTCTTTATTACCATTCATTTGAATAGCTTGTGACTTGGAGTAAGACTGGAGGACTTGCGATGAACTTGTGAGAACTTGTGATAGGAGAAAATGCTGCAACCTGACGCCACTTCGGCGGTTTGTGTACAAAGTCTATGGCGAGTCAAGAAAATTGTCCAAGTATTTCCTGACAAAATTGGAAATGTTTCTCAGTCCCAGATTCATGTCTTATCATCATTTTTGCAATGACTGACCTTCATTGAGATGATATATGAAGAAAAAAGTGGCGTCAGGTTGCAACATTTTTTCTGCGCCCATTGACAATACGCAGGGATGCGCAAATAATAGACGTAGCCATAGCTGTTGAAGCCCATTTCGGGCCTGGCCATAGTAAACTCCGGAGGGTGTGTGAAAAATCATACATGTATGTTTAAATTAGAGGATTCAAGACAGTTAGTGTTAAGAAAGACACAAATTCAAAGACCCTTCTCAAAGTAAATAAGCCCAATTAAGATTTGCACATAACTGCCGATACACACGCCTGGCGCTAATGCAAAGAATACATACATGTGTTTGTGTACACTGAAACAGGTGGGCGCGGACATCCGGGAATTTTTTACATTGGCTTATCTAGCTCCTGGACCTACATTTATGTTCTTGAATGGTTCTGAAGTCTGGAGTGTTGAATGGTAACACACAGCAACAGTTAAATGCACATACTTCGAGACATACTCCCGCAACCCAATGCGGAGTGTCATGGCCTAGCGGTTAAGAACACCGGACTCATGTTCTGGTGTTTCAGAGGCAACAGTGACGTGGGTTCGAACCCGGGCGCGGACACTTGTGCTCTTAAGCAAGGCACTTAACCATTATTGCTTCGTCCTTTGGATGGGACGTAAAGCCGTAGGTCCCGTGTGTTGTATAATATCTAATGCACGTTAAAGAACCCAGTACACTTATCGCTAAGAGAAGGGGTTCGCCCCGGTGTTTCTGGCAGTGCGATTATCTTCAGCCATGAAGTCTGCACTTGTAAGGAAGGAAGGAAGGAAGGAAAACTTTCCGTATATTCTTGAAACTCAATGGTTAAATCTGAAGTCTGGAGTGTACGTTGAATGGTAACACACAGCAACAGTTAAATGCACAGGCACAAGAGACACGAAGTTACATTGTAATGCACAGATTCCATTACTCTAGTCTAGTTCTCACCTCTTGTTCTCGTTGGAGGTCTTCTTGCTTCAGCTCCGCCTCCTGTTGCTCCTCAAGGGCCTGCCCATCAAACTGTAGACTGGTTCCTGGATTCATGTCTAGTCACTCAGTCTTCATTCACGTTCACTGACTTGTCATAACATCGTCAACTTTCTGAGAGATTACCAAAAGACAGTTTATTACCAGTTATTTACAAACAGAAAACTTAGGCACGCATGGAATTGATAGACAATTTGATCTTTATGTTCAATTTTGATCTTACACAGGTAACGTGGAAACAACAGAAGGAAATGAAACAACACACACGACATTCCGTAAGTTCTCCTCACATTGCCACAGTAGGCTTAACTCAGATTTGAGACTACCCATTCCATTGACGTTGTAGGCCTAAAGAGTAACGTTATGTTCTGTTTAAGTCCGTGAAGAAAGCATGTATATATCGGAAAGAGTGTAGCATCCAGACGCCACTTTGTTGGTTGTTTACAAACATGACAAAGTCTATGGAGAGTCAAGAAGGGCTTCATCATGTTCATGATCTAACATGATGAGATGATGATGATCATGATGAAATGCAAAGTAGGGGGCCTAAATTAGTAAGATTTTTAGTCTAAAAATGTGTGGTTTTTAAAAAAAAACATTTGCTAAATTTAACGTTAGGCCTAGCATGCCTAGCTCATTCGCCTGCAACGAAGTGAGTGAGCATGGTGAGTGCAAGTAAATAGTGGTTACACTTTAAACTCGACAAACGTAAACACTAGGCTGTAAAAACAAACTGTGAGTAAGACGCAATATTGGACTCTTTCCCATTTTAAAGTGTTCCATGCGCAGTGTCACTTCGCCCCTACTTTATCTCGCATTAATGAATGAACGATGGGGGCGACATGGCGAAGTTACCCAGGCGAAATGACAACCCTCGATCATCGATAGAAATTAAACACAACAATAGCTAATAATTTTGCTGTAATACGCATGGATCTTATCTGAATACATTTTAGACGTTATTGTTTATTTTAAACGTGTGAATTAAAAGCTAAAACTGACAAGATTGGAACAATATTCACCGCACGGTACTTTTGAGATTTTCAGGTCGCGCGCCATTTTGAGCGATTTCCTCCCACAATGCCTCATAATGATATCCCAGAATGCAACATGTAAAAAAGATGGCGACGCCCATTACCGAAACAAGAAGTCTGATTTCTCCAAATAAATTCTGATTGAAAGTTGAAACTGCAATATTTCGGTCAACATTGTTGGAATCAGAATGAATGTCTGACTCTTTTTTTTTAGGGTCTTAGTTATAGGCCTACTGCCTTTAGGCCTACAGTACTGGAAACGTGAATTTTGTTATTTTTTTTATTAACGAACAAGTTGGAACTTTTTAATGGAATGAGTTTCGATCCGGAACAAGTTAACGAAGCCAAGTTTCCAGGCTTGTCTGGCAGCATGCAAGATGAGAATGAATTTAGCCAGGGTAAGAGAATATGTCGTCTCCAAGATTAAGACATTCATTTCATGGGCCTACATTTGCATCATTTTTCAGTGCATGTTGTTAAATCGTTTATTTTGGATATATTGCCGGCGGCAATCCCAATCAACAGAGGGCGCTGTACTCTCTAAGATAGGGCTGAATTATAAGATATATTAAATTACCACCAACGGTTGTACTTGTACTTGTAGCACCTGTGGCCTAGTGGATAAGCAACGGATCTCATGAGTGGGAACATCCGGATTCGATCCCCGCTAGGGACATTTCTAAGGTTTTTTTCCCCATCCCCAAAAATAAGAATATTCTTCTTTTATTATTTTAACATGTCGCAAACATTTTATTGCAGAGTATTACATTTTCTTTTTCAGATTTGTGGCTCTGGAGGATTTTTTTTTAAAGGGAAATAAAGTCCGAAATTGTAAAATGGTCTGATACCCATCTTGTGAATACGAAGTTACAATGCTAATGTTGGCATGGAGCCAGACTAAAATTTGTCACCGGAAAATGTTTAAGTACAAAAAAACAGTAACTGCGCATGTTCAGTGCATATCCGGCAAGCTAACGTTTACTAAAGGTTTGCCGTCTCCGGCTAAATATCCACTGCCTTTATTTAATTGGCAATCCTAATGGCAGAATTATTAACCTGCCGCTCATAAATCCACCTTGTAACCAGCTCAGAGCAATTCGGTCATGCTTGGTTACCCCCTTTGATGATAGCCTAGGCCCCCTACTGTGGATCTAGTGAGTTACCCCAGGATACAGAACTCCAACTTTTTTACTGTGGCCCGTTGATTTTATGTGGCTTTGGGGGATTTTTTTTTTTTTTTCCCGAAGGGAAAGTGAATTAGATAAATCACTTTGAGTAAGGATCCAAGTTATCTGCTGAACCACTCTTGTGTACATTGTGAGGGGCCAATCTTTGTTGTGAGGTATTCTGCAATAACTCCAATTCCAGTGTTCCAATAATGTTTTTATCGTCTATTTTGAACAAATTTTGGGAAAGAATGCAGCATCCTGCCATATATCCTATACAATTTCCTTTATTTAAGGAAAAACCACATACAAATTTTGAACCGTTGAAATTATTAAATTACATGTATGCTTAGGAAATACTTTTGAAATATTCATAAGTTCAGAAAGATTTTGTCACATAACCAACAATGTGGCGTCTGAATGCTAAACTCTTTCCAAAAAGTGAGTAGTTATCAGTTCATGCATGTGTATCTTTTTGTGTTACCGCATCATTTTGTAATCATTGGCAGGTTTCGGAAGTCCACTGAAATAAGTAAGGTACGGTTAAGTTTGCCTTGTCGGCAACATGAAGTTTGATGATTCTTTTTCTATACATTTACTTCTTACTTGCTTTCTTCTGAACTTTCCTTTTCTGAACTCAGTTCCCTTATGGTGATGGTAAAGGCATTACTAGGGAGATACACAGCTTTCAAGCTCCAACTAATCTAGTATTGAGTTACTTATGAATGTGCACATACTTTTAACCAAATATGGCAGAAATGTTTGCAGCACAGAAACACTCGATGCATTGTCTTCCTGAAGGCTAAATATGTTGTGTACACAAATTTTCTAATGAGCACAACACAATATGTGGGTGTTTTCATCTTCTTGGTACCATGTGGATAGCACTCTCCTTGTCTGATACTAACACCTAACATCTATGGAGAATGGAATTCTATTATTACTATGAAGTCACCTCTTTTCAGGGTTTAAGCTGTTGTGGTGCTTTAACTGATTGTTACGTTAACATAGGTCTGATCAAGCTATACAAATATAACTGTTAATCAGCCTTTAAACAGAGCATATATAGACATGTGTACCTGTATGATATACATGTAGGGCCAGAGCTTTTTGGTGTTATTTCATATACACCGGGCACAAAAGAGAAACTAAGCAGTCTTTGTAATCATCCTTGTTTGGACATTTTTCAGTGAACGAAAAAACATGAAACATACATTTTGTCACAGAAACTTTCCGGTTCAATTTGATACCTCACTTGGGAACAACTGTGTAAGAAATAACAAGAGTGCAAGCGCTGAAACTCCTGAGACCCCAAAACTAAAAGCTGCGCTTAGCAAGATTTTCAACAGGCATTGCAACACGCAATTGAATGCGGGGCCTGCATCATTGCATTCAATAGTGTGTTGCAATGCCCATTGAAAATCTCGCTAAGCGCAACTTTTAGTTTTGGGGTTTCAGGAGCTTCGGCGCTTACGCTCTCGTTATTTTCTTACACAATGTTCCCGAGTGAGGCATCAAATTGAACCAGAAAGTTTCCGTGGCAAAACGTATATTTCAGATTTTTTGTTCACCGAAAAATGTCCAAACAAGGATGATTTTAAAAACTGCTTAGTGTCTTTTTGTGCCAGGTGTAAATGCACTTAACTTGCTTTAAGTTGGTGCCATGGCCACCTCTATTTCTTGGTTTGCAGAATAACTTGTTTTATTCTAATGGTGATGAAGTGCTTTGTTCTGTTCGTACCTCTTGCAAAAATATCGTTATAGATTAAATTTCCTAGTTTCTTGGCTTGTGAATCAGTTATGATGGTTTGCCAACTCCCTCAAAGACAAATGAACAAAGCAAAAGTCATTATGGGCCTTTTTGTGCACACAGATTCTGAATGCAGTGACCGTGAACTCTTCAAGAGTAAAGACAAGAAGAAAGACAAGAAGAAGGACAAAGAGCGAGGCTACAAGACATTTGAGCCGATGGAGACCCACTCGGAAGACGACGATGAGAGGTACAAGTATTGCGCTGGTCCCAAATAATACCAATTAGGCTTTTCAGGAGTTTTGGGATTAAGTCCATCAAAAGTGTGCAGAAGTCGCCTCAAGTAATTCAGTCCCAAGATGGTTTCTGCAATTGATTTCAGCTGCTCTCTGCTGAAAGGGCAGCATCAAGCCATAGATGCTCCCCAGGAAGTGAGATGGTCTGAATATGAATAGTTTCATTGCGGTACCCGCTGCTATATCTGATTCGAACCAGCCAGCCGACCCTGGCAAGCTCGGTGGTCGAGTGGTAAGACATCTGCACTAGAAAGCAGGAGGTCTTGAGTTCAAATCCCATCCAAGTGATTTTTTTTCTCACAATCACTCGGGGGCGACGCTGGGTATACAGTGTTGGTGAAGGACAAAACCCAATATTGTATTTGTACAGGCTTTATAACACCACATTTTTATTATTAAGTACATTGGCTTGTTTCACCGCAGGGGCAAGAAGAAACGAAACAGCATCTTCTCTCGGAAGTCCAAAACCCCCAAGGAGAAGCACAAGGACAAAGACAAGGAGCCGCCAGCCGACGAGAAACACAGAGAGAAGGAGATGAAGGCGGAGAAGAAACGAAGCAAGAGCAAGGAGCGAGAGGCCAAGAAAGAACGGACACGGAGCAAGGAGAGGGAGAAGTTTGGCCGGAAGAAAGCCCACACCATCAGCACGGTGCCCGCGACTAAACCTGGTGAGATTTTGGAATTACGTAATATTGATACTTATTTTATTGTTATTACTTATTTCTGGTAGTTAACCAAGGATTCCTCAAAAGCACGCATGGCACTGTATCTCGCAAGCTTGAAGAAACTTGTTGAGAGTAGACAGTGAAGACATGCTCAGTTTTAGAGGTGAGAGGAAAACCGTAGAAGAATCTTAAGGGGAAAACTCATGGAACCAGGTAGGAACTGAAAACCTAATCCACAGTCGGACCTAGGTAGGAATTGAACCCGGGCCATAGAGGTAGAAGGCAAGGAAAGGGCCACATCGCTATTTCCCCAGTTATAATTAATTAGAATGGCGAACAGTGTTAAAGTAAAATCCATAAGCGTTCTTATCCATCACAAGTCATCCAGTTCCAAGTTTAAGGCACAGTCTGTTCAAATGTACCGTGTCGTAGGCGTTTCGTTTTTTATTATTCATCCTCTGTCATATTTGGCTGGACCTGTGCATTGACTTGTGTTTTATTTGTGACTGGACTTGTGATGGACTAGACTACAACGCAGATGGCTAGAAAGCGTAATAGTTATTTCTCTGTTTTTATCAGAACTTACGATCATCAACCTTACACCCGCGATATCGGCCCAATTTCTTCAAGTTGCTATAATGCTATCACTTAGCTGATTAATAGAGAACCAGGCAATAGTAGTGTAGATCATGTAGCAGTTTAGCTGGTAACCGGTGTGTGTTTTCGCTGAGTGAATCATGTTTGCTTACCGTAATTCTGTTCTGAGCAGCTCAATCTGTTGAAGTCAAGCCGGTGTTTGGGATACCACTAGCCGAGGCTGTTGAACACAGCAAGATGTACGACGGCATTGAGTTGCCCAAGATTGTGCGAGAGTGCATCGACTTCATTGAGGAGCACGGTATGTCAACTCTTTGTCTAAGAATTTTATTGTGGAATCAGATGGAATGAAAACAATACACAATTATCAATGATATCGTCGTGTCCGTGCAATAAGGTCGTATCTCCTAAAACGTTGTGTGACATCATGTATGTGAAACGCGAGTTTTCAATGTCAAACGGTCGTATCTCGCTTAAAATAACCCGGATGTACACACAAAGTCAATGGACGTCGTGTTGCACGGAGCGTATTCGCGCGAGATACGACCTTGTTGCACGGAGCGTATTCGCGCGAGATACGACTTTGTTGCAGAATCGAGTTACGACCTTATATTGTCTGGGTGAAAACAATTCCTAACGATTTCTATTGTGCACAATCTTTTGTTGATGAGATTATCATTCTCTGTGCAGGCATGAGCCACGCTGGTATCTACCGCCTCTCGGGGGTCAAGTCCAAGGTGGAGCTTCTCCGAGGCTGTTACAATCGGAACGAGGAGGTGGACCTGAGAGGGCAGGATCCCAACAACGTATCCAGCCTGCTCAAGCAGTACCTGAGAGAGCTGCCGGAACCCCCACTGACTAAGACGCTGGGACCCAAGCTGGAAGAGGCTGCTGGTAAAGAAAAACAATACTGTCTTGTTTCGTTCTCCGTTAAAGGCAGAAGACAGACCACTCCCTTAAACCCTCCAGGGTATTTTGGCTAAAAACCCTGCTTAATGCAGCAACATGCAACACTTGTCAAAATGACAAGCCTACACAGTGTAGCAAGATCCATCAGGGCAAAAGTCTCAAGGCCAAACTGGCTGAGAGTCTGTGGTCCCCCAACGCAGCAGGATACAACTGTGGCATTTCAATGAGTTGCTTCCACTATCTACAGGTCTAAGAGTTGACCATTTATGCACTGTGTTGACAGCTGAATGCAGCAAAGTCCAACAGACTTTTACACTGATGCACTGTCTTGCGTCTGGCAGGGTTAGGATCAACCCTACATAGTGAGATAGTTTTCAGAATTTTTCGAGAATAAATCCTTTCCACAATTCTCTAATAACCTCAACTCTGTTGAAAAAAATATAACATGTTTCGTGTACTTTCAAAGCTCATCCAGCTCTGATGGAAAGAAATATTGACTAGACTCTACCTTCTTAATCTTCTAAAATCCTTTCCAAAACCTCATGGATTTTGAAGGATGTTGAATAGTTTTGGTAAAGCACACAATTGATCCTTTCAGCTTATTTGCGATGTACCCTTTTTCTCAATTCATCAAGCAGTAAACATTTTTACTGTGGAATTGTGAAAAGATGCCAATATAATAGTGGAAACTAAGGCCAAAAAAAAAATATAGTTCTGCTTCCGGTTTCCCTACCTACCCTATTCTGACAGCCCCTACCCTAATTTTTTTATAGAAAAATTGAGAAAAAAAACACCCAAAACCATCAATTTCTGCCTTGTACCCTTGACTACATGCAGACGCCTCAATATAATCGTACACAAAAAAAATTGGCCGAAAAAAAAAATCCCTACCTACCTACCTTATTTTTGAATGCCATGTAATCGGAAGCAGAAGTATGGGGGGGGGGGGGGCCTAACCAATGTACTTTGTATTTATAGCAGAAATTTGTGGGTTTTTTAGCATAATAAGCGATTACTGTATGTAGACCTTTTGCAGAAAGGGCCCTCGCTGAGGGACATATTTTGTTATTTAAATTCGGTGACACTGAATCTACATAGTGTCTGCTCATGTAGAAACAAAGACCTTTTCTCCTTGAGAGCACTTTACTTTAGGGAAGGTTCTAAAGAAATGTGATCATGAACAATCTCTCATCGTCTTCATTATCCTCTTTCCAGCCATTGCAGATATCAAAGTCCGACTTCCGACGTTCCAGCGATTACTCCAGCTCCTCCCAAAATGTAACTACGCCCTGTTGTCCTGGCTGGTGGTCCACCTGGCCCACGTGCTGCAAAATGTGAGTGCTTAGGTCAACTCACTGAAATCTTTATCAGTATCTCTATCAAAAGCTTTTACGGCAGCTCAGCGGGCTTTTAGAAATGCCGAAAATAGTCATCATTGAACATAGATAATTTGAAACAGAATTAAAGTTTAACCATGTAAAGTGCTCACATGGGGTGCTGTGGTCCAATGGTTACGGTGTTTGACTCGTGTGCCGTGGTACATGGGTTCGAATCCTGACCGTTGGAACATAGTGCTTGAGCAAGGCACTTTACCATCATTGCTTGGTCCTTCGGATGGGACGCAAAGCCGTACAATGTAGGTTCCGTGTGTTGTGTAATGCACGTGAAAGAACCCAGTAACACTTATTGCCAAGAGAAGGGGTTTGCCCTGGTGTTTCTGGCAGTGGCTGCAATATGCACTGCAGCACCTTGTAAACCAAGGTGCTACATAATGGCTCTCATATTTCTCATAAACTAACACTTACCTGTCTTTAATATTAGACATAATTTCCAGCGCCTTGAGTACCTAATTGTCGGTAGATACGTGCGCTATATAAGACTCCGGTATTATTATTATTATTATTATTATTAGATACCAGCACCTTAGACCTTCTCCATTCTTAATTTGTTGTCTTTTCCCAGGAAGCTGAGACCAAGATGACAATTCAGAACATCTCCATTGTCATGTGCCCCACGCTGCACATCAGCCATCGGGTCTTGAACCTTCTCTTCACTAACTGGAAGACTCTCTTCAAGGGAGTGCAGATCAAGAGGTAAAAGAGGCATGGCAAAAACTAAGAAACAACCGTTTCCATTTAAGAAGTGTTAATATTAGGAATGAAAAATTTCTGTAATTTTTTCAGTAAATAATTGTGTGTGTTTCCATCTCGTTTATGTGCCCCTAGGTGTCCTAAACCACTGAAATGGGACGCGACAGAAAATCGTCTCGAACTCCCAGAAAATCCTGCGTAAGTCAAGATCTTATGTAATATTCATTTTCCAAATGTTCAGTTCTGAAGAGCACAAGTACCATATTCAAAAGAGAAACTTCATTAGTAAAATTGTGTTTATTTGGCAGTGCCTTGGAGGAGGAGCTACAGAGACAGGAAGCAATCCTGGCCAAGATGCACGACGATCTCAACAAAGGATTGGCTGACAAGGTATGAATATTTATGAGGTATATTACAGAGTGGGCCAATGATTGGCCAACAATGTATAAGCGTGTTAAATGGTCAGTTAATATGACCTTTCATACAGAACTTCACATTGTATTTAGGTTTTAAGAATAAAGCTATTGAAGTGTGTTTTCTGTTCTTTTTTTTTTTGTAGTCGACTGAGGAACATCTTTGGGAAGTGCAGCGAATAGTCACCCAGCTCAAGAGAAAGGTAAAACTTTCCTTTTGGATTATGATTATTATGAAGTTCTTATATCTTCTTGTAATATAGTGCTTTATAAATGGTAATATTCTGTAAATACTTACTATGTTGTTTTGAATACAAAGAATTTGTTGGGTTTTTTTCCAGTTACGAGTCAGCCGGAGGATTTCTGAAACGAGAATTGCCGCCATCGAGAAGGAAAAAGAACGGGAAAAGGAAAAGGAGAAGGAAAAGGAGAGGGAAAAGGAAAAACACAAGGAAATGGAAAAAGCCAAGGAAGCAAAGGCGGTTGGAGAACAAGACGCACAGAAGACAAAAGAAGAAACGGAAGACATCCAAACGGAAGAAATTAAAACGGAACAAGAAGAAACTGGCCAAGACAAGGAGGAAGTCAAGTCAGCAGACAGGCTCTCACAGGACAGGACACCTAAGAAAAGACAGGCGCCCCGGGCGCCAGCAGATGTACAACCATCGGCCGATGAGGAGACGCCGGCGAAGACGGCGGAACCCGAGGATATTCCGCAGGTTGAGATCGAGATTGAGGAGACCGAGGAGGATGCGGTCTTCGTGGAAACAGCAGAGGAGGATGTGAAGGAAGTCGAGGATGCAGAGGAGGCTATGAAGATAGATGAGGCAAAGAAACTGGAGGATGAAAATTTGGGTAAGCCTGCTGGAATTTCTTCTTTTTTTGAGGGGGGGGGGAGGGGAAGGGCCTCACCTTTTTTATCCCCCTGGCTTTTAAGCCATACAGGGGGATATTGCGATCACTTCTTCCTTCTGTGTGTCCGTGTGTACATATGTGTATGTGCGTATGTATGGCTGAAAGTCAGAGAGTTCCCTTTTAGTAAGGTTCTCTGAAAGTACAGTCATCAATCTCAGCCAAACTTGATATGTGGTTTTTGCTCATGGTATCTGGTAAAGTGATTAGACTCAGGCAACAGGTCATGACAGGCCAGGCCCTGGTCCTAGGTAGCCCATGAGTTAATGTCGTGAAAAATATTGTTTTGTAAGTGTAAGTTCAGTCATCAATCTCAACCGAACTTGATATGTGGTCCCTGGAGAGAAGGCTGACGTCAAAAAAAGCCTTTCCAATATAGATATTTACGAGGTCTCTTGAGAGCTCAGCTCCAGTAGTATTACTAATGACTCTAACACATGCTGCAATGGCATGAATGGCAAGGGGAACTCACCAAGACTGACTGACATTAAGCCGCACGGAGCCCCGTGTCTCACCTAAACTCTCCATTCAACCCAAACTCCCCATTCAACTAAGAATCAAATCAAGGCCTTAACTGAAAATTGTCCTTACTAACTGCCTGTACATGTATACAAACTGCCAGGATGCCGGGGGATCGCGCAAGGTTTACTTGCAGTATTTGGGGGGGGGGGGGGGTGGGCCTCATGGTCATCCAAGCTGCAAGATGCAAGATTCACTGACTCAACAAGCATAGCTAAATTAGAGTCCATCACAAGTCATCACAAGTCCATCACAAGTTCGCACAAGTCCATCACAAGTTCTCCAGAGTCCAGACTCAAGTCAAGTCGCAAGCCATTCAAATGGAAACATGACAGAAAGGCATTCCTTTGTTATTGTTCATGCCCTGTTACTTGTGACTGGACTTGCAAAAGGACTTCGTAATTTACTTGTGGCCAGACTTGTGATGGGCTTGGGTACGACACTGCTGACAAGAGATGTAGTCGTGGCTCTGGAAGCCTGTTATGACTCGAGACCCTCCGACCTTTTCTTGCAGAGATGATTCGTCTGTTGTTGCTATCCCAAGCCGAGGTCCTCGCCGAGCAAGAGGAACTCCAGGCCATCCACACCGAATTACTGAAACGCATCGAGGCTGAGAAGCAAGAAGTCGCCCGGCTAAAGGAAGAGATTGCTGAGGCTCACTCCCAGGCTCACCATCGTTCCTACTCCGTGGATAGCACCGATAGTCTGATGTCGTCCGAGAGTAGCACTGACAGTGTATCCTTTTGAATAAGAATAGACTTGCATTGTTGAACTGGGCCAAAAAATTTGATAGCAGTTAGGCTAATTGTTAGTGACTCAGTCTGTCAGTGACTCAGTTGGTCAGAAGACAATAGGCACGCCCTTCAGGTCCAGCAAATATTGTTTATTGTTCAACCTTGCATTATAGATCGTTCCCTAAAGATGATTAGAGCATGCTGATCGCCTAACGTCAAGTACTCTACCAACATATCAACATATTACCTTGACAATGCAAAGTAGATTTCGAAATCATTACATTCATTATATTTAGTGTTTTTCCCTTTGAATTTTTCTCATGAATTTTTGGGTTTTGTTTTTCATTTTTTGGGGGGCCTTTTTTGTGTGTGTTTGTGGTGTTTTTTGTTGTTGCTTGGTGTTTTGGTTTGACTCATCCCACTTCTGACACCATTGAATGGTGCTCGTCCTTTACTCCAAGTAATACATGTAGTTTGAAAAATATACCTCTCAATACTTTTAAACCCTAAGAAATATATTCATGAAATTAAAAGAGTATTGGTAATCATAGATTAGATCTTATTTAGGTATAACGGATCCCACTTCCGACACATTTTAATGGTTCTGGTCCTTAACGAGTAGGTACATTAGGATGACGATGATGACACGGAGCTGCAGGCCATCCTGAACAAACTCATCCGAGAGAACCAAGAACTAGAGGTAAGGCATTGGGGACAGTCAAATGTTGAAACGGGCGGAGTCGTTACCAAGTCCAAATATGTGCCAAGTGTAGCCTCTGGACAGTAAAACCTGGTATTAATAATTTGAATGAATACTTTACCCATTTACTTTGTTTTCAATCGCAGCGTAAGAACACGCAACTCAGCCACGACATCCACAACGAGCGAGAAGCCTGCGTGGAGCTCAAGGTGCAAATCAAGCTGCGGCAGCACCCTTACTACCAAATGGAGCCGTCCAGTATTCAGTCCGTCAAGGACGTGCAGGCTCGGGAGCGGGAGTTGGAGTCCTTCGTCAAGACGGAGCGCGAGGTGGAGTCGGACTCGGAGGTCGTGGTGACCTCGGGAGAGGTCAAGCGAGGCCGGCGGAAATCGCAGAGCAACCCAAACGTCGCCGGGCCCATGACGCTGGTTACCGGGACGAGGCAGGAAACGGACATTGAGAAGGAGCGGAGCGGAGCGAGCGGAGGGGAGAAAGCGAAGGATGCGCCGCGGGCTCGAAGGCTTGAAAGAGAAACGTCTGTCTGAACTGACTGGGACAAAGTGATGAAATTTTCAGAAAATTGTACTTGCACTTGAGTCCTGTGTTTAAGTCGTGGGACTGTGGGCTTGAGTTTAACTTGGGGATGAGTTGCTTTTGTTTTTGAGCAAGCTGTACATTCACAATTGCTTCAGTCCAGTCAATGGACCATCCGAGATTCGACCATAAGCCACGCCCACTTCGCATAATGGGTAACAACACATGCGTTTCCCCAATGCCACACTGGATGTTCCAGCCCGGCACGTCATGTGTTTGTGCACATACATGTATGTCAGATACAGTCACAGCTATGATTAGTCAATACATTATGGGCGGGGCTTAACGAAATCGGTCTATTTGTACTAAATGTGACGCTTGAAATTAGTTCGTCTTATAAGTTTCAACAGAATATTTACTCTTTTAAGTAAGCCGTTATGGTTCTGCTGTGAATGTACTGGCATTGTAAATTGCACGGCAAATTTGTTTTTGATTTTCTGCGCTGTAAGAAAAATATAATCTGCAGTTATTGAGAAAACAGTATTAGAACAACAGTACAACCATACAATTCAGATACGTAAGAAAAAATCAGTCAAACACAAGGATTTATGTATTTATTGAATACTTGGAGTTTGTAAATACGTGTATTACAAGGCCTAAGGATTTTTTATGTCATTAAATCTGAGACATATTTCGACAAGTTTCTCCACAAATGCCCTCTGAACTGTTTCCCCAGAATTTCCCGCGATCAAACTAAATCGGCATCATTTATGAATTGATCATTTCATGGGGGAAAGATTCAAGGGAAACTGTGTTCAATACCGCAACCAATATCCGATAAAATCGGCTTTTTCCTGGATATTATTAGTGAGATGCCGCCTGTAATGATATTAACATTATAAAGTCTTTTCATAGACTTTATCATTTGAATTTTCAAATGAAAATACTGATACTTTGAAATGTCCACCATATTCATATATTGTCAAAAAGTACATGTATATAAACAAAAACTTGGCTTTTGTGGTAAAACGTGAGGTTAAAGGCAAATACAAATTAATTGGTGGTGTGTGGGAAAAATTATTAAATAAAAGTGATAAAATAATATCTTTTTTTCCAGCAAGAAAAGTATGCTTAATTTAGAATGAAGGAATATACGTGTATAAAATGCTACTGTCTGTCTTGCCAAGATGTCGGCAAGTAACTCAATGTAGTCCTTTGTGTAATACTACATTTATTATGTATACAACATAAATAAACATGGAAGCATATTATTAAACACTGTTACAATGGTCATTTAAAGCAAATGTGCCCGTTTCTGATTTTATGTGCAACACTGACATTTCTACAAATACATGTAGACAGCTTTTCCGTTCTTGAATTTTTTTTAAACCGAACGCACTCGAAAACTCCCTCAATCTGTAGCAATCTTACACTGTGCAGCAAATCAACAGAACAATCTTTGCGGGACGTCAAACTCCATGACAAAAATTGTGTCTTGGTTGTGCAGTATTAAATACATCGATGTACTGCAAAATTTAATTGTTTAATTCCGACAAATTTGTAGTCCTTTGGAAGACTTTAAACTAAAGAGGGTTGAGCTACTAATACAGTTTTTAAGAATCAAATCCAAACTGTGGAAGGAATTCAAAATGGACGGAACGATAACGCATAAGTTGTTAAAAAAAAATTTCAATTTAAATATTTACAATTAAAACACTGTACATGGACGGATATGGCTATTGTATACAGTTGTGAGATATTTACTATGATTTAATCATACAAAGTCAATGCAAAACAAGGCACTCATCAAATTCATGTACACTTTGACCTTTTATACAAAATTTTACACATGTACAATTAAAGATTTTTGTATTAATCATGTTTTCCTGAAACCAACGAGGCACTGTAATCATTCCTCACAGTTTCCTCTTCCTTTTTATTAATGTGAAATTTATTTAATTGAAAAATTCTGTTGAGAAGACTTGGAAATGTGCAGATGATGAAACGTGTTTCCTTGACATTAATCACAAGTTAATTTCAGTTAACAAAAAGAAAGGCTGGTGTGGTTTGGCGCGGGAAGTAACGGTCAATATCAGAACATGTATCTTAGCTTTTAACCCTCCCTCTCTGGCTGGCAATATCAACAAGGCCAGCCCAGCAGTCGAAATAAATCAAGTGACCATTTTTAACTCTTGAGTGCTCCGGTCCCTGCCTACATAATGCAGGATTGACTGGCTGTGATTGTTATGAAACCCGATATAGCTATGCTGTGACTGGAGATTGATAAGCCAGCTGTGCGCACCAGTCACCTGCTTTTGTCTGTTGATGGAATTTGACTGTCACAGTGCCTTCAAGATCTGACTGTTGGTGACTAGCCTGTGTAAAAGGCATGGCAGGGAGCAGGATTGAATTGTTGATTGTCTGTGACTGATCAAACAAAAGGAGGGTTATGTGCACTGGATGGACTTTACTACTGATGTGAGCAGCCATTCCCTCGAAGGAATGCCACAAGATTTGTACCAGATTTACACGGACTAATGGGTTCAACATGCTGATTAAAAATCACTGCTTCTCCTCAACATGAGACAGTACTTGGCGTCTTAGGTCTTGGAGGCGATGCTGCGCTAGTTTTATTCAGCTTACTAGCCTTGGCATCGGACCTTTCCTTCTGTCGGACTTCTTCCGTCTTCTGTTCCTCTTGCAGCGTCTTCTCCTTCGCTTTCTCGTCTTCCTCCAGCTGTTGTTGTAACTCCTTCCGCCACTGTATCAACAAAAAAAAACAAAAAAAATGAAGCATATTGACAGTGTTGTCATGAAGAGACAAATCTATTGTGGTGGTAGCTATAAACTTCATCTCTTTAAAGAGTTATACCCTATGCTCTTCAAAAAACAGATTTTGTTTTCTCCAAACAAACTATGTATGTTTTGTTTTACCCAAAAAAAAACTACTTTATTCTGATTTTGGACGTTTGCGACTCTGAAAAAGAAATTTCATTTTGCGCACATAAATGAACCCGTCCTGCGAGAGCCAAATATTGTCCACCAGCCAATAACTTGATTTTTGTGAAGAAATTCAATAAATGTTTAAAACGTTCGTAGATTTTTTTGTCCGATGTCTCATTCAAAAGTGCATAACTTTTATATTTCCAGGAAAATAGCAACTGAAAATACAAATCTACTTTTCGAGGTGAAACTCAAAAATAACACAGGGAACGCACTTTTAAAAAAAGTGACAATATACATGTATTACAACCAAACTTTCTAGAATCTTCTGCGACCCGGATTTCAATCTCACCTAATTTGACGTGGGATTGATTTCCACGGCCAGTTCCTAGACTGATCCCAGGATATTTCCCAAGAATTATTTTAAAGGACTCTACCTCTCTTTTAGTCAAGCAGCCAAATCTCTAAGCTTACCTGGTCTTCAACAATTCGCTTCAGATCCAAATCTGTCCGCGTCTTAAAATCTACACCCGGTTCGTCCAACGCCGTCGCCAACAGAAGCTCTTGCCTAGCAAAAGATAACACAATATTCGATCGAACCTGAAAAACTATTTCATTATTGCTTCGACCCTTTAGACCTTTCATAATAGTAAAACTCCTCTTAGAAATGAACTCAAACCTGTACAAATTCTCTCAAGAACAATTAAATGCCTATTCTAAACTCAAAAATTCCAAAATAAATAGGAACGTGATGTTTTTTACTTTATCCTGATTTGTTTACAAAACTGCGTGTCATGTGACACCAATTTATTTGTGAAAATGCAAAATGCTGTGTTCTAAACTACAAGTACATCACATGAAAAACAAACATTTTAGAATGTTGATGTTCACTGTACAATATGGGTAAAAACATGTGAAAGATTTTTTCGGGTTGTTTCGTTTGTCAGCAATCAAAAAGTGACATGGTCTGTTTTTGTTCAAATTCCTCAATCTGCAATGACTCACTTCAAAGACAACCTGTTAGGACCCGTCCTGATTGGCTGCTTGGGTTTGGGAAGTTCCACTTTACGCCGAGGGGATTTCTTGGTCACTTCGACCGGAGGTGCGAGTGGAGGGAGGTAGGCCGCGGCCAGACCGGCCGCCAGTCTAGAGTTGATGGAGCGAACGATGAGCGCCTTCTGCATCTGTGTCTCAATGTGGGCTTCCACCTAGGACCAAAATCAAAACAAACAAAAAAATTGAGAGATTTACAATCAGTGTGTTTAAAGTGTTTGCCTGAAAATGTATGTATGAGTGTTGTCGTTGAGTCCATCACAAGTCTTTACAAGTCGGCACAATGCCGTCACAAGTAATCACAAGTCAATCACAAGCTTTTCAAATGATCTGTGACAAAGGCATTCCTTTATAATTGTTCAAACCCTGTTCCTTGTGACTGGACTTCAGAAAGTATTTGTGAGTTACATTCGACCAGACTTGTGATGGACCTATGAATCGTTCCAATCACAGTGTACATGGGAACATGTACACGCATTTGGAACAAAGTTCTAATCAATCCCTAAAAATTCAATCACAATCTTTCACAAGTCTGTCAGTCTCAAGTCAAATCAAATCAAAATGGAGTGTCATGGTCATGGCCAAGTCAAATGGAGTGTCATGGCCTAGCGGTTAAGAGCACCGGACTCATGGTCTGGTGTTTCAGAGGCAACAGTGACGAGGGTTCGAGCCCGGGCGCGGACACTTGCGCCCTTAAGCAAGGCACTTAACCATTCTTGCTTCGTCCTTCGGATGGGACGCAAAGCCGTAGGTCCCGTGTGTTGTATAAGGCCTAAAGCACGTAAAAAAAACCCAGTAACGCTTATCGCTAAGAGAAGGGGTTCACCCCGGTGTTTCTGGCAGGAAGGATATGTATACCCTGCCCGTGTGACTCCTGAGAAGGGGTGTTGGTGCAGTAATCATCAAGACAAGACAAGAAGACAAATCCCAAGAACTGTGACAAAGGCGTGTTGCTTTATCTTTGTTCCTTTTCTGTTCCTTGTGATCCTACTAGTGATGGACTAGCAATAGACTTTTGATTTGACTTGCGATTGACTTTAACTAGACCTCCGGTTTCTGAGATGCTCTTTTACCTGGCCGACTCTGAATGCCTCCAGGACCTTGTGGTCTCTCTCCATGGAGTGGCACCTCATGAGTGCGTTCCAGGCCACAGTTCGCATGCCTTCCTGTAGCTTCTCTGTGCTGGTACAACGGGTCACCTTGACTAGGCCCAGGATGGCCGAGTAACGGATACGCCAACCCCAGTGGGCAGAGTCTAAAGGCACGATAATTAAAATAAGTTACATAATTTCGAAAACAATAATATTTTCTAGGAAATGCTTTGGATGCATTTATTAAGGTTCAGAATTGTTGATGAAAATGTTACAAATAATTCAATGAGAAAGTCCACTATAAAGAATCCACACTTATTGCCAACAAGTGTGACCCAAATATGAGCAACACTTATAAACCTATCTTTCTACGTCCAGAAAGAGCTCGCTCTTTGGCTCTCCTATTTATTTGCCTGCTAGAAAATTAGGATATTATGAAATACTCTCCTTTTGCAAAAGAGTGAACTATGCCACACACTTACACTCTCAGGGATCTTAAGGCTGTTTCATGCATCACTCGAAAGCGCAAGTGAAGTGAAATTCTGTGTCAACAATTGAAGTTTCATTTTGAAGTTCGCAGCAGCCCTAACAAATGCGCTTCGCATTTAAAATTTGGGTTGAGTATGAACCGGGCTTTAGTAGGTCTTGTGTCATCAATCAACCTAGACCTAGACCTTTCAGCCCTGTTTAACTGATGCTGGTTGCCTTAATTTATTCAACCCGCCAATCAAGCATATTTGAACCACTTTGATGGTTATAACAACAAAATTCTACCCCAAATTGTCTCTACTGTTGAAAGATATACATCGCATGACAGTAAAACGAGATTCAAAAATTTCAATTTCTGTTGTGATAATTTTGATTTGTAAGCTTAATACCATTCGTCTCGTCGCCATCAATCTTTCCTTGGTACTCAGCCAAATCCAGCAGCCCTGCGCTGGGCAGGCACTGCTGCTCCTCGTCTGTCCCTGGTACCCGGCTGCTGGTTCCCTGCGGCCTCTTGCTCATGTACGGCCCGTAGCCTTTCTTCTTGCTGCCCACGAGGGCGGTACGCTGGATCTCTGCTGTGCTGCCGTGCAAGCAGAGGTGAGACATCAGCTCGGCGTAGGTGAAGCCTACCTCCCACGGCCAGCCGGCTAGACCCTGGGCCTCCAGGGGCTGAAAAAATAGATTGCAACCACAAAAAGAACACTGTAGAGTAGAAATCTGACTTGCTCGAGGATGGGGTAACAGTCCGAGTTTTCTTGCTTTCAGAAATCAAAGGAGAAGTCAGAAATTAGAAATAAAAATTTGAATTATTCTTTATCATCTGAGACAACAATATGTAAGAAAGTTATCGCTGATAAAGAAGTTATTAATGTTTGAGAGATCTAACCCATAAGGTTGTATCTGAGAAGATAAAACTAAACTTGACAAAATAACTGTTAGTAATTAGTACATGCTTTCTGCATTGATTGGAACTCACATGTTTAGTTTTGAAGACCCCACTTGTTGGTTCTGCCTGCTTGTTACTAGTGCTGCCGCTTGCTTCAGAGAAATATTGCGTGTCGGGTACAGGATCGATGGTAACTGACTTGGCGCTGTTACTTTTCCTCGTGTCGCTCCTTCCTGAGCCATCTCTCAGACTGGATTTCTTAGGGAAGTCCAAGTCTAGATCTCCGTCCCTCTCAGTGGGCTCGATATCAAAACTGACTTCTCTTCTCAATTTGGTGCCTGCTTCCATTGGCATTGACATCTGGGGTCTAGTGACGTCAACGTCGTTGGCTTCAACTTCGCTGTCATCCCCCGGGTCCAAGTCGCTATCCTCGATGGACCCAGAGGGATCATCCAGACCTGACGGGAGCGGGATATCACCTGCCGAGTTCAGACTCTCTCTGGCGCTGCTGACGTTGAGGGTGGTAGATGGGGTGCTTCCGTGAGAAGCCTTCTGACCGAAGCTGCTAGGGCTTGTCAGGAGCTCGGCGTGCTTGGGCGTATCCATTAAGACGCAGGTGGAGGTGTTGCCAGTGGATTTCAGCAAGGAGCCACCGCTCAAGTCACTAAGGTGCTTCCCGTCCTTGGTGAAGTCGCTGTAGGGGGCGAGTTTCTTGCCCCGTGCTCCGGATCGGCCGAATTCTGGAAAGTCGCTCATCAGGGATGCCTGGCTCAAACCGCTCACGATAGATTCTAGTTCTCCCTCCTCAACTTTCGGCTCATCTGCTTCTTCCTCCTTACTTTCCTCATTCTCAACGTCTTCCGGTTGGTTCGTTGGGGACTGGGGCAGGGGAGTGGTGGTTGGGAGCACGCCCCTCGCTAGATTCTGAAGCGTTTTGAGGACCCTTATATCGCTCTTGGCAGTTTCGGCGATGATGCGCAGTGCGCACATAGCATCAACCCTATCAGTAGAAACAAATGTAAGATGTAAGATAAATATAAAATGCTTAACTTAACACCTGGTTCTTGTAACTTATGACACTGGATACAACTAAATCTAGATGTCAGCCCACACATGTATTGTAGGTTTGTTTATGGTCATGTTGTAGACAAGTTTTTTTCAGGGCTTATGGGGTGAGGAATCCCCATTATCATTTTTATGGTTTCTTTTGTTTGGTACTTAAAACTTTTGTTCTGCTATCTCAGTGTATGCCATAAAAATGCACATCATGTCACTATCAAACATCACGCAAGTTACCCACCAGTGCTCTGTCGCCAGCGTACTCCCGCACATGGACAGCGCCCTCACAGCTTCCTTGAATCCACCGCTCAGGTGAACCACGCAGCGCCAGACGTCTAGACTGTGCCACAGCGTGGGGCTCAAGTCGTGGATACTGCTCTGGCCTGTGTGAGACCGTGGCTTGACCACGTTACCCATGCCGCTCGGCAGGGGCGTGTCCGGTAGACTCTTGGGGAGCTTTGGGGAGGGGGTAGGTGACGGCAAATCTTCTTCATCCTCCTCCAGAATCTGTAAATTAATTGGATTTTTTTTGGTGTCAAATTTAGCAAGATGTTTATCTCCTCATCATCCATTTCAAAATATCTTTTAAAGGAAATTTGTTGACCGCTGTTAAGGACTTTTTAGCTCTCGACCAATGAATTATACATGAAACGGCACAATGAGGACTTGAGACCCTGCCTTTCACTCATACCTGGTCAGGATGTCGGCTGCTGGTGTTGTCAAACTCAGACACTGAGTCTGGCTCTGGCTGAGACGGCGTCCCCACCCCACCTTGGCTCTGGGGTTTGGCCTGTGTTGTTTTCTGGGGTGCGACACCTAGTGTGGCTGGATCTTCGTTCAGTACATCCTCCACCACCAGCCTGCCTACCTCAGAGATGAAGCAGAGGCAGAGGTGGGCCCCTGGGTAGGGGGAGTAGGCCTCCTCACACTCCCTGACACCTGAACGCAATGCCAATACCATTCAAGATTAAGGTACAATCTGAGATACAACATGGAGCGATTCTACATCTGGGCCCAACTTCATTGCTCTCCTTACCATAAGCAAATAGTTTCTCAAACGAAAGCAGAACATTCCGGGACAAAATACATCACATCACAAAAAACACGGTATCTCTGGAAGAAGTCAATGAGCATGCACGTCAATAACAATGGGGAGTCAGGTTGGCGTAGCGGTACTTTCCTCGCCTTCCACCGCTGTGACCTGGGTTCGAATCCCGCCTGGGCCAATATGTGGATTGGGTTTTCAGTCCCTGCCTGATTCCGTGGGTTTTCCCCAGAATATTCTTCTGGGCTTTTCCTCCCACCTCTACAACTGTAACTTCTTCTCACTGTCTTCTCTCCACAGGTTTCTTCAGGCTTGCGAGCTACAGTGCCTAGGGCGCTTTTGAGGAATCCTTGGTTTCATTACCAGAAATGATTAATAATAATAATAATAATAATAATAATCAGCACCACTGAATACTTGAAGTCAGCCTACAAAGTGAACCAGCTTTTTCACAGCTGTTTTTACTAAGGAAGCATCCGAATCAGCTGTCTAGAGCTAGGTCTAGGTCTGCGCCCATCCGAATTACGCGGGGACGCGCTGACAATAATAGACGTAGCCGTAGCTCTGGAAGCCCGTTTTGAACACCGCCTAACACAATCTGGCCATGCATGCATGCACGGTGCAAATTGCAGGAAAGACAATTATGTTCGTTTTGTGTGTGTGTGTGTGGGTGTGTTGTGCAGTGTATCTGTGCAAACTGCAAGGAAAATGTACTGAACTGTATTCCCAGTTTACAGGGTGAGTAAAAAAAAAAAACTCAAATGTCAGGACCATTGTTTTAGTGAAGTTCTGTATGTAGCACTTTCAAAAAACAAATCACATAAGGATATGTGTGAATTGTTTTCGTTTTGCTGAAAGAACACTTACCTTCTTGTGATCCGTAGACAGAACTTTAAAATGGTGGTTGTGTTTAAAACTCCTTAACTTAAAAAGTACATGAGTGATTTGAATGAGTCTTGTACTAAAAGAAAGCTTATGAATTGGGCTTTTATATCATAGATTTTGAAAGTGCTATATGCAGAACTTCACTAAAACAATTGGCCCCGACATTTGGGTTTCGTTTTTTTTTTACTCACCCTGCATAGTACAGACACGAAACCATTGTTAAAAACCCATTTCCCTTACTTAACCAGTTCGTGTCGGGGACATGACACGCACTGGCTGTTTTTATACACACGTACGGCTGACGGGTTAAAACGTCAAGATTGCCTCGACTCGCCTCCAGGTGACGTCTAAACATGCTCATCCCTTGTGCCTTTTGTACACACACACACAAAGTCACACAAGTCTGTAGAGGTGGACCGTGTGTTGAACTTGAATTGGCTGTTGTGCACGGCCTATTGTTGTACAATTCACCCTACAGGGCACGCCCCAAAGTATTGAAACATAGGAGGTATCGGCAAGAAATATCGTACAAATGCTGTTAAAAATGACTCTTGCGAATCAGTATATGTGGCGTTTGGCTGTATATCAGAAGTTGGCAGGAAAATTTTGCCTTCTGCGAAAATCGAAACTGGCGCAAAGTGGTTAGGCTCCAACTTAAAACTTTCACATTTTAAACAATGTAAATTCATTGCCACAAAAAGAATAAATTCACATTGGCTTTCAGTTTTTCATTATCTTGAAAATACTATTCAATGGAAATGTTGAAAATTTTAACACCTTTTTACACAACAAAATCACGTTACATCGTGCAGTACAGTAACTCCAGCAAACAATAATTTCTGAGTTCTTGCAATAAACATGCAGAGCGATACCACTGTGCCATGCAACAATTACAACAATCAGGGACACTCTCGTGAATGTGATTTCCTCAACATGGTTTTCATTCATTCGGTGCATGTTGTGTGCTTACCTATCACCAGGGCTACAGCGTTGGTTTGCGAAAGGTTCCGAAAGAACAAATTGAAAGGTTAACGCATTCTCAATCACTCAATTAGAAATGAAAAATTTGAAAAGTCAGGACTAAAAACAACAAAAATTGTACTTGTACTACAAAACCCATTGTATAATGTCCTAACACCAACATAAATAAACCGGTCCAGATCTGGGCCCAATTTCACGGTGCTGATAAGCACAAAATTTTGCTTAGCACAAAAAAAGTCTGGCTTATAAAAGCAGGTTATCAGCCAAAACTACATGTGATTTTCGTGTTAAGCAAACAACAGCTGAAATACTTATCACGAGCAATAAGCATATGTACATGTACATCACGTGGAGTTTTGACTGGTAGCCTGCTTTTATAAGCCAGACTTTTTTTGTGCCAAGCAAATGTGTGTGCTTAGCAGCGCCGTGAAATTGGCCCCTGGCTATTTGCCGCACCCCTTTACTTTGAGCAAGCTGAAAAAAAGTCAGTGCCAACTGCTGAACATTCTTTCAAAAAGTAACCGTGAAATTCTCAAATATATGGGAATACAATATGTTTCGCAGGGTTCCACTGCAAAGCAGTTTTGATACAATGAACTGGAGTAAACTCTTTGCAATAAAATAAAATAAACTGTGTACAAAAAAAGTTGGGCTTAATTTGTTTGGACTTACCCGCTAAATAAGTAATGAGCCTATTCTTATACTCCGAGAATCCCTTCAAATGTCCAGCCATATGATGGTAGTACAGTCTCACGAATACACCTTGCCCCATCTATGGATAAAAACAAATAAAGAATGGTAAGGCCAAAAAAAAAAAGTTCTGCTTCCGATTACATGGCATTCGAAAATAGGGTAGGTAGGTAGGTAGGGATTTTTTTTTGTTGCCAATTTTTTTTGTGTACGATCATATGGAGGGTAAAAGGTCATGGTCAAGGGTAAAAGGTAAAAATTGATGGTTTTGGGTTTTTTTTCTCATTTTTCCCATAAAAAAATTAGGGTAGGGGCTCTCAGAATAGGGTAGGTAGGGAAACCGGAAGCAGAACCATTTTTTTTTTTGGCCTAATACAAGGTTAAAAAAAAAAAAAAAAAATAAGAAAATCCAACTTTGACTTTGAAAACTTTGAGCTCAAGTTGACTGTCTTACCTTGAGGAGTTTAATCTCCCCTATTCTGAGGAATGGTTGATCCATTGCGTCGGTGCGCAGCCAGTACAACGTGGTCTCGGCCAGGTAGAAGAGACTGGGAATGTGGACGGTGGCCAGGGGGGCTTGGCTCAAGGAGACGATTAAAAGGTCCAAGCATTCTAATCGGGAAGCATAAAAAGGGATGAATTATACAAAAGGATGGAGTATGGGCTTGAGGCATACAATCATGTCCAAATTGGCTCATCAGTAACACCAGAAGTTAAGTTACAGAGGGTTGTTTGGGCTTCTTTCGTAAACACCAGGAGGGTATTCTGGACACCCTATTTTGTTAAGCTAATGTTGTAAAAGCATGAAACCTTAGCAAATTAGATGCCCTGTTTTGCAATATTAAAAGCCATTTGCGAGGTTAAATTTGAATAAAATCTGGAACGCGTTTTAACTTTGCATTCTCCCGACCAAAGAGACTGTTGTTGTATCATGGATTCGGGGCAAGCCTTATGCTAGCAACCCCCAGCTCTGGCATGGTCTGGTGTTTTTGTGCCATTCTCACCCATTGAAGACAATGTATTGGTGCTGAGCATCTCTTACGTAGCTATGCAAGAGCTTGTCCTGATATGATGAGCAACTGTGTCTTTGGTCTGGAGAATTCAAAGTTAAACTGTGCCAAGCATTCTGAGCAAGTCAGTGTGCCAGAGGTTTGCCAAATTTAAACCCCAAAGGGTACAGGTCACTCGCAAATGGCTTATTCAAGGCCACTTTGGAAACCGATTGTTCATATGCTGGCTAAAACACAGCGTCTTCCTCAGTTGGCACCATACTTAGTGCTGCAGTCGCGTACTTGTGATATATCACATGTCAATCATAAGACATCCAGTCCCAAGTCAAGTCACAAAATATTCAAGTGATTCGTGACAAAAGGCATTCCTGTTTAGTTGTTCATTCTCTATTACTTTGTGACTGGGCCCGTAAATCTACTTAGAATTCACTTCTGACCGGACGTATGATGTACTTGTGATCTAACACAAGCAACTGGACTGCAGGGAAAGATTTCCACATACGAAGTTCACTCAACACCCTGTGTTCAAACCCTATGAGATTGGACTGAAAAATTCTAAGTGTTTTCTAAGAAAATGCTTGTATTTTCTCACTCCTCAGATTGACTTTGATGACATGAAATTGCTATCTGGGGGCTTGTTAGTCAATACAGAGGACAATTAGTGAACTTCGTATATGGAAATCTTTCCGACTGCAGCATTGATTATAATAGTATAAAATAAACTTCAAACTTTAAACAAAAGTGTATGATCTACTGCTGGGCCCAATATATCAAACTTCAGAGAATTTTCTCAAATGTTTTCACTGTTTAAGAAGTATTTCATGGGGCAACGCTGTACAGCCCGAAAATTCAACCTATCGAGAGTTGGTATTCTTGGAGATATGTAAGGATAGAATGTCTTCGGCAAGTCCAAATTCAAAAGACTCCCCGTCTCAGAAAAAAAAACCTTTATACCAAAGCTTACCCTCTTGTATTTTTCCACGGCACTGCGCCAGCATAGAGAGATCAGTCCAGGCCTTCGGAAGATCTACATTCTTTCCCCTGGCACCCTCCAAAATACCTGCTCTCCTCTGAAATTTAAAAAGAAAAAATTTGAAAAAAGTCAGATTGAATCTTGTCACAAGGATTGGGATGATATCTATTGCATGGAGAATTGTATCTTTTATGATCAGTTTATAGACATGATTGTTTGATTCATATTTTCTAAAGTCACTAAAAATTTCCTTCCAAAAAAGTTTCCAATCTAACGTACTACAACAACGATCAACCTGAGAAATATGCACAGTGAAAGGCATTGAAAAATTTAACATTATACTCTTGTATAAAGTTGAGTCTTTGTTTTCATATTAGTTTTTTTTTATCGATACTTTTGTGACTGCATTGTCAATTTAAAATTTGGTAAAACAGCCAGCCGACCCAGGCAGCTCGGTGGTCGAGTGGCAAGACCTCTGCACTGGTAAGCAGTAGGTGGTGGGTTCGAGTCCCACCTGAGTAAGCTTGTGAAATTATTCTCGCAAGCTCTCGAACAGAGTGTACAAGCATTACATTCACTGTTTGGACTTCAGAACAAAAGAGGTCCACATAAACCAGATAGCAGCGATGTTGTGTGGATTTGCCCACGTCTACACAATGTTTCCCCCTCTCTGGAAAACATGTTTAGAGGCATTTTTGGTTAGGTTTATCCTTGGCAAAATGAAGAGAAACACAAAAGGGAATCATAGAAAAAAAATTTGGTTGAAAGAGTTTTCAGAGTGTGAGTAAACTGATTTTTTTCACAGGTTTTTCTTAACTACACGAAAACAAAAGAATGTCCACACTAGGTATGTAACATAGTGCTTCGTGATGCAGAGATGGGCAAAATCCGATATTAAAACTTTGTATACCTTTGTCCTGTTGAGCATTTTACGGGCAATCCCTTCCAATTTCTCCTTCTCGTCCAGGTTGGTGGCGCCATTGAACTGCTGCACGAAGCTCTCTGATAACTCCAATGGGTTTCTGCATGCATGACAAGGGGAAAAGGATTACACAAGAACTAATGACGGACACGTCACCCACACGAACACAGTTGTTTGCATGTAAGGCATGCCCCTTTTAACTTCAGTTTATTAAGATATTAAGGTAACAAAAACATGAAACCCAAATGTCGGGACCATTGTATTAGTGAAGTTCTGCATGTAGCACTTTCAAAATCTAGGATATGAAAGCCCAATTCACCAGCTTTCTTTTAGTACAAGAATCATTCAAATCACTCATGTACTTTTTAAGCTACAGAATTTCAAACACAATCACCGTTTTAAAGTTCTGTCCACGGATCACAAGAAGATAAGTGTTCTTTCAGCAAAACGAAAACAAATCACATAGGGACATGTGTGTGAATTGTTTTCGTTTTGCTGAAAGAACGCACACCTTTTTTGTGATCCGGTTGTTTTTTTTACTAACCCTGTATGTGAGAGGTGCATGGCAGCAATCATGCTCAAGTGTTTTCATTATAGCTCTACTGTTTATTGTTATGCTGTGTGTTTATATACTTGTGTGGGTACACACATAGACCTTTTATGAAAAATCTGAAGAATGCAGTGATGGTATACGCTGTGTTGCATCCTGGAGCAGTTTGCGCTTGAATGCAGATTTTGCGCAGTGGGAACTGTCCCATAATGCAATGCAACATATACCTTCAACTGCATGTTTCCTGTCCAGTGGCTTTCTGTAAAAGGGTCTATATAAGCACAGAGTTCCTTAAACCTCAAATTTCAGATGTTGAGGTTTATTTGATGGGAAAGACAGAAGTGCTGTGTGGGCTGGAATTGTTAAAAAAAACAGTTACAGGAATTTTCTACCTGGTCGTTGGTGGGACTCGCTGTGTCTTGACACTCTGTATGTAGGACTGCTGCAGCAGTCTCTCCTGCAACTCCTCCCGCTGTGATTGGGAGATGATCCCAAACTTGTGGACGATGGGAACCCTTGTGATAGGCATGATTGGAGACTGTCTAACTCAGAACGTTGAAATTTTCACCTATGAGCTAGGCCTGTTGAGGAAAAAATAATTATAATTTACATAGATCATGTATGTATAGTCGTGTTCCCTAACGTGGCGCACTTCGAAGCTTACCAACTTTCCTCGTGTAGTGTTGCCAAACCTCTTTGTTGCCAAACCTCAAATTCATGCAGTAAAATACTGGTACTTTGACCTTTTTAATGCATGCTATTTAACCTCTGTGAACTATTTCGGTTTCCTAGAATTTAATCCGAAATTCAAAAACGGTGGCGTCCGGAAATTGGGCACAAATTCGCGGAGTGTTCCCTAACGTGGCACACTTAAATAAATCACGGAAAATTCCAAATTAACATTTAAGAATTTCCGTTAACTTGATAAATTCTGATAAATCATTATAAATATTATCTCTACTTACATACCCAGCCAGATGTTTGTCAGAAAATTGTTTTCTTATTTTTCGGGGCATTTTCAAAGTGTTCACTTTGCACTTGAAAATAAAATAGGAAAATCACGCCAAAATAATTTTTTCTTCTAACTTTGTAACGGGTGAATAAAATCACGATTTATGAACGGGAGTGTTACTACTGTTTAGAACTCTATGAAATGTTAGCTGGAGTTACCCAGCCCTGAGTTTTATCATTGGGTTGTCTATTAGGGCTGGAGCGAATTTTTCTGGTAACTTGTAGTATAGGCAAAAATTTTTGGAAAATGTTCAATTTTGTCCCCGTTACACACTAATTGCAACTGCAACTCACCCCAAACTTGCCTGGAATAACCATTACACAGGTCCTTGAAGTAAAAAACGATCCACGATGAAGATTCAGCCTACAATTGCAGTGAAAACAGGAGGAATAACCGCTAACTTGACAACCTTGCTGGATTGGCCAGGACCGCAATTGGTTTGTGCACACAAAATATTGTGTTCAATGAATGGCGGTCGATTAACAGGCACAGAGAGCGATCGCTGTCAACTACTCGTTTTTGCCGGCTGCGCTGGCTGTTGGCGCATGACGTCACGCGGAAGCGTAACACCCGATGACTGTTTCATGCACTATTGGTTGCGGTTCCAGTACCAAAGCTGTGATGCGAGTGGTAAACCTTATATTAGTGCATGAAACAGTCATCGGGTGTTACGCTTCTGCGTAACGGGGACAAAATTGAACATTTTCCAAAAATTTTTGCCTATACTACAAGTTACGAGAAAAATTCACTCCAGCCCTAATAATAGACAACCCAATGATAAAACTCAGGGCTGGGTAACTCCAGCTAATGAAATGTCACTTTCTGTGAAATTTCAGTTAAAACTTTTCCTCTAGCTAGGCGCTACAGGCGAAAAATCAAAGTGCGCCACGTTGGGGGCCGCGCCACGTTAGGGTACATCAACAATAGATGATTTTCTTGACTCTCCATAGACTTTGTACACAACCGCTGACAGCTAGCTGAAGACTGAAGTAGCTACTCCTAGAACTATGATGCTCCGCGTGAGCATCATTCATAATCATAGACATAGTTCTAGGACTAGTATGAAGTAGCGTCAGGTTGCAACATTCTTTCCCGATTCTTTTCCGCTACTTTTCTCTTCCAATTCATGAGAAAGAGAACTGTTGGTGAAGTAATAGATCTATCTGAACCGACTGACACATCTACTCAAAAGCCAAAGAAATTGCATGTAACGTTACTATGCGTTAACCAACCGGCGAAAATTCTTGACACTGTACGTCGCCATCTTGTTTCTTGGGATCCATGGAAATGAGCGAAGTCTGTATCTTGTATTTGTCCAATCAAAGAATAGATAGCAATATGTACATTATTTTTAGCCAATAACGTACCTGATTTATTCCTTGACTAAAGGAAAAAACCTCGTTTACAGGGTTGGTAACTGCTCTATGGATAAAGCTAGATGGCTACAAAATTTACGTTAATGGTAAATACGAGGTTGCAGAAGTGCTGTTCAGTCGCCAATTCGGGCCTCCTCTGTCGGATTTCGATCACCAAAAACAATGTTTTGTCGAGACATTGAGTGGTTTGACGTGCAATAAATAGAAGCCAGCATTAAGTGAGGAACAGGAGAAGCAGTATGTTGCGTTCAAGGGTAATCAACTGTCTAAAAATGTGAAATAGTTGCATATAAAATGTTTTTGTTGATTTCCAAATCAAATGTATGATTAGCAATCATTACTTTTGGGGGCGGGGCTTGTTAATTTCAAGCATTTGATGCATGGACGGAAATATTTTGTTGGTGTGCCATTTTTTTTAATAATATGTCATGTATGACTATATACGTGTATGAAGCCTGGAAAGATTTCAGTACTAGACCTCCACTTTTTTCAATTAATTTTCAAGCGCCAAAAAATTGCATCCTTTAATTAATGGTTATTTCCTCTCCTCTATCTGCACCCTCTCCTTTCCTTTATTCCTCTTTATTACTCTTTATTAATCAGTCACTTATTAGTTCACGGAGATCCATCGAGATTCGAACCTCGGACTCTTCTCGGAGATTCGAACCTCGGAAACACATTTTTCCTAAAAATTATTCACAACACTTTTACCACTAGGCATGCTAGGCCGCGCACGATCGCTTGTTGCAATAATCAATCTTTGGACGTATTTAAAGTATCCATTGAAATAGACTAATGAATATTAAATAAACTAAATATTCATGAGAAATTAAATATTCATAATGATGTATTGCACTGTCATTGGCCAGCTCATGCGTTGTAAGGTCATGCGAACCGTACCGCTAGACTTCCTGCCTCAAACATTGTTCTGCACGACGTGTGCATCAATGATCAAAAACGTGCTCTAAAAACACATTTTTCCTAAAAATTATTCACATTGCCAGAGCTTCCTGGATTCATCTTGGGTGAAATCACAAGGAGAGGTGAAAACTGATTTGTTTGGTGGCAGATAAGTGGAGGTCTTGTAAATGGAAACTTTCCTGAAGGCTGGCTCAGTTCTTAGTAGATTTGTTTAGAGTGACGAATGCCCCCCCCCCCTTCATTTTTAATCCCAACAAATTGCAAAATTCAAGCTTAAGGCCAAGAAAAAATACATACCAGTTTCTCGCCCCCGCCCGCTTCCTTTTTTCCGTGCCGCCTTTAAAAAAAAAAAAATAACAATTTTTAATTCATACATTTGCAATATATTTTGCATATATATTGTCAATATATATTGTCTTTTTGTTTGTTTCCAACAAAATTGTAGCTATGTAGAAAAAAAGGGTAAAGCGCCTTTGGACACACCTTTGTTTTGGCAAAATTAGTGGGAGAAAATGGAAGAATCCATGTGCCATCTTGGAAAATCCACCATCTTGGGGGGACGGGGGAATTAGCTCCTGCCTCATTCATTTTTTTTAAAAGGCTGGACAAGAAACAAGTTGGTTTTTTTACACGGCCTAATCTCTTGTTCTAGCTCGGGAAACGTTAGCACGAGTAACTAGGACTCGACAAATCACATTTTTTAACATTTGGTTACGATTTAGCTAACCACTGGAAATTAGTCATTTGTTGAATGTTTTGTGAGTGTTACAAAAGATGCCTAGCTACATGTAGGCAGTGTTGACAAAACACTTAAGGAGAAAAAAAACTAAATGCTTCTTACAGTGTCTGCTATAAAATCACGTTCTAGTCACATCATTATTTCCAGCGGTCACAGATATTTTTGTAAATTTGACCTGCTTGACTTTGTGCTTGTAGGTGCTAGCTTTGTTCAAGAGTCTCCATCGCACAAGACAGAGTGTCTTCCAGGGAGACGAGCTGGCTCTCAATGGTGCGTAAGGATATTTTGGTCAACTCAAAACCCCAATTCGAGGCTGAACATATTCAGTTTGGGTTACCACATTATTTGGGGACAGTTATCACTTTTAAGTTTTAAGTACATGTGTATCTGACTATGGAACTTTTTTGAAAAAAATGAGGGAAAGTTTATTCGTTTTCACTATACCCTCATGGTTTTAGCATATTGACATTAGATCTAAATTTGGTAATCCATGCATTAGTACCCTAAATTGCTGGAAATCTCTGCAGAATTGTCTTGGGTTTTTTGGGGGGTTTTTAAAATAATTTTTGAGATGAAAGAACCTTCCAAGGGGAATGAAGCATTAAAAAATTGTCAATTGAAGGTGTTTTTCCTGAGGGGGTAAGAAAAATAGTTTCTTAGCTCACTTAAAACAGTGTAATCATAAAAAAGCCTTTTTTCCCCTCAATTTTCTTTGACAGCTGCCAGAGAGCGCATCAATGAGGAGTTTGCCAAAAATAAACACGAGACAGATCCTGACGAAATCCAGCAAGTGAGTAGTCTGTGGATCGGACATTCACGTGTGCAGAGTCACGGTCGAACACCTGATATATTCTAGCATGCAAATTTTATGCGACCCCCCGCGCGTCAGCCAATCAGAGTCGACTTTAGAAACTTTGACATCCTTTCATTCCAAAATGTGGACTAAGCTGTTGATTGGTCAATTTGAATGTTATGTGTTTGTAATAACGGGTTACTGAAGACCCGATATAGAAGGCGCCCACTGAATGGTCAGAATCTTGAGGTCAAGACGCAGTCTTGTTTTGCATAATTAATCGCCGAATCTGCTCGCATATCATAGACCCTTGCTGTGCAAGGGGATACTCTATAGACTAGCAAGTGAGTGCTGAAGACGTGAATTAACAATTATTTGAAATTTGCTGTCTGCTGTTAGTTTACATTTTCTAAAAGTCACGATTTGCACAACATCACAATTCCAGGCTGATATGAAGAAAATACACCTCACAAAGTCAAAAATAACCTCGAAAATAAACCAAAAAAATGCAAATGTAAAATAACTTGACCTGTTCTATAACACACATTTGATTGAAGCACACAGGGACACAATTTTTGGAAGCCCTGAATTCAGTATTCTTTATTCCATTGCATCGGTGGGAAAAATCCTTTTGCAATTCATGTCACAAAGCTACAGTTGTGAAGTAGTCATCACAAGACACAATTCAATCACAAGTCACTTATAAGTCATTCACAAGTGATTCAGTCTTGACTTTACTCACGATTATTTAGATTATATTACGTATTTTGTCATTCTCGATTGGCTTAAGACTGATTAGAACACAATTGAGATTCAAGGAAGCTTATTTTCATGGTAGTCAAATATTCTGTATTGCTATTTTTCCTTTTACTTGAATTTTATACAATATGGTCACATCCTATTGTATATGTTATCATCAACAGTTGATTAAAGTTGGCGAGGACGTGGCGGTTTTGATGAAAAAGAACATTGTGCAGGCCAAACTGAATGAAGCTGGCAGATACCGTAAGTTTGCGTTCTCAAATATTGATTTGATTTTTGATGAAGAGTGATTTTAACAGATGCCATGTTTGGGATATTTTCTCCATACATGTACATGCCATATCTTTTAAAATAAAAATATATCTTGGAAGTTTTGCAGGATTGAGCCAGAGACCAGTCATTAGTACTTTGCATGGGACATGACCAACCTTAAATGTAGTAGCACATACAATATGCCATTGGGTTATGCACAGAGGTGGATTTTGAGGATTCAAAATGTTCCTCTTAAAAATGGCTCCGTAGTTGCATACAACTCCTCACCATGGCATCTCAGGAAAACTACATACGATTTGTAACAATAGCGTCATGCCTTATAATACTGGAAGTGAAAACAACCAAACGATATATCCAGGTTAACTTTACAGGTACTTATTTTTGTTGTCTTTCAGAGGTTCGTCTCACTGAAGACACACTGAGGGAAGACAACGCTCCCCTACCCAGGGGAAAGGTACGCAAGAAACCCAGGGGCAACCAATCGACTGAAACCAGGTGACATGTCAAAAACTCAAATTGTAGAGCAGAACTTGAGAAATGATGAGTTTTGTGGTTCACAGATGAATACTCGGTGTGGATGAATACTCTGTTGACTGATTAGACTCGCATGCAGTTTTGGACAGTTGGATGAGGCGAGGCGGAGATGGGGAGCGTGGCTTGGAATGTGGGCAAAGAGGGGTTATCAAATAAAGTTTGATGACATAAGTCACTGTTGTCTAGCAGCTTCACCAGAGTTTTACTAAGTCCTGTGTTTCGTAAATGAGTTGGGTTTTGCGAGCAAGCTTTACCATTAAAGATGTACTGTCCTTGCTATTTCCAAAAAAAAATAGATTGATTAAAAAAAAAGTTTTTGAATATGTCATTGAAAGAAAAAAAAACAGATACGGAATAATTACTTTTCAATTTTTGAATTATTTGTGGCTGGACAATATTTCAGTTCCCGCAGGGTAGACTGGTTCTTGTCACCCTATCAGAATTGATAACGGAAAAACCGGGACCAGTCTACTTATACGGTGGATTAGTTTGAGCGAAAAAGCAACTCAAAATATAAGGCTTGTTACAGAGGGTCGGTTGCAGAGGCCAAAAATAAAAAAACAAAAGTAGTTTTCATCAGAAGGAAAAATTAAGATTTATGGAGAGCACAGACAGTGCATCTTTAAGTTGTTTGTGTTCTGAATTGATGGAATTCATTCAATGGAAGCCCTTCGATGCTTGGATGCCTTTGTCGGCGGCTCGCTACCACACGCGACATTTTTTCGCAGGGTTCATGACGCTTCCACTGGGACACTGGAAGGCGTCTGAAAACTCCACCATGTTGGAAAGAGTGCCAATCACCCTGTAAGAGAAGACAGAAAAGTACAGTGAGCAAAGAATATTTTACTGAATTTGGACTGAGGGTGTACTTGAACGGCCATTCTGACACTGTACTGCAGAGCAGCTAAACCCTTCGGTAAAGTATCGACGCGGCATCTAAGGTTTCTTAAATTTTGCGGCTTCGGTTTAAAAACATAACGGGTTTGAAACTTTTCTTAAAGTTAATGGTTAACATGTTCGCTTTTTGTAATGATGGTCATGGATGACTTCTTATGAGTGGATAGACGTGCCAGTAAAAATAACAATAAAAAGAAAATGTTTTGACACTTGTTACTTTAAAACTTTAACTTGATGATTGAGATAATTCATTGAGTGCAGTGTTCGTATTTGAGTCTGCATTATCTGCTTGGTTAATTAGAATCAAGCCGATAACTCCCCTGTTATTACAGTGGGATCTTCCACCTCACCTGTATTTTCCTGGGGAGTGGGCATCGCTCAGCAGCTTCAACAATGCCTGTTTAGGGGTGTCCAGTTTACACCAGGTCTGCCCGGCCCCGATGAAGAAGATTTGCTCGGAGGTCAGGTCTTGAAGTCCCGGCAGCCTTGCTTCTTTACCCCCTCCTTGGGCCCGCAGGCTCCGGTAGGTGTGTAGGGCTAGCCGCAGGCCTCCATTGTCTGCGATGTTCTCCCCGAGAGTTAGCATACCGTTCACCTGGAAAGTATTTAATGCCAGGGTGGAGATCTTAATTACATTGTTTGTTTATATATGTACAGTGAAATCTTGATAAGTCAAACTCTGATAGCTCAAAACAACTGTTAAGTCAAACAAAGTATCCATTGCCTTAAGTAGTATAACAATGACATACAACCCAGCTTAACTCGAAACTCTGCTTAAAGGGAATGTACAACATTTGAAAATATCGAAAAACAAAACTACCAAATTTGTACGAAATACCTTGCTAGGATGTTGGTAAATGACAGTTTAAAGCATCCTGTAAAATTATGGCACCTGGTGTGAAGGCATTTTCAAGAAAAGTTGTATTTTTGTATTAATTTCCAACGGTGGTCGGCCGACCACTGTTGGAAAAACCAAACTATTTTTCAACTACTGCTCCAAATTTACCTTTTATTTCAGTTCAAATTTTGTTTGCTATTGGTTACATGTTCATGAACGGGTGCAGGCCAGCTAGACTGGTTCCCTTAACTGACAATTTTCCGGCATCTATAAATTGATCCATTTCATCTTTAGTGGAGTCAGGGAACCAGACTACTTGAACATTTTTTTTTTCTTGGTTTTTCCAGCATTTTCGAACAAAAAAATTCAAATATGTCAGGGTAACGATATTTGATCTATTATACTAACCCCTCAATTAGTTCATTTCTGAAAATTACAGCAAAAGCCAATGATGTACATTCCCTTTAAGTCAAATTTTGAACCAGTTCCCGTGAGGTTTGGCATCGAGATTTCACTGTAGTTTCTTTTCTTTCTTTTTTTGGAGGGGGGTTTGGTTAGAAAGTTTCACCTGTTATACAGTGTATAAAAATTGACATGAAAGAGTTCCTTTGACTTACATGCCTGTCCCCCATTTTGTAACTGCTGTACTGCTGCTTAACACACTGAGCGCGCTCGCTGTATGCCTGGGCCGATTCGTTCTTCCACCAATTATGTAGATTGCCAATGTCGTCATAATTGCGTCCATGGTCGTCGAAGCCGTGGGTCAATTCGTGACCTATGACCCAACCTATACTGCCATAATTTATGGATCTGCGGAAATGAATAGTTTTGTTACAATAAATTACAATGATAATTGACAGTTTAAGTGATTTTTTTTTTATGGGGGGGGGATGGGGTTTGAAAATGTTCAGGCCACTCAAAATATGAGTGAGGGATTCTATATTTATCCCTGATTTTACATACTGGATACCTGTCATCATATTTACATAATACGAGGACAGAAGCGACCTTAAAGCATCTGAAATAGTATTAGTAGTTATGCACCTTGACTTTTTATATATGCCCAGTTGTGTGATTGGCTTAGTTCTACTGCTTGATGAGAAACACTATTGTGAGTGTGTGTGTTACATGGGGCAGAGGTCATGGCGACAAAGGTGTGCCAATCGTTCCCTGACTCCATATCTGATTCAGCTGTTGCGGCAGCGTTAGAACTATCCCTGATGTCCAGGGACAGTTCAGGGTGCAGGGGAATTTAAAATGGTGGCTTTAGACAAGTTTTGAGACTCGGGAACCTTTTTTTTGTAGGGGTACATGTATTCTTCTCCTAGGAACTCCGCAGGGGAGTTTTAACAGGAGGCAAGAAACACCAGGGCGAACCCCTTCTCTTAGCGATAAGTTTTACTGGGTTCTTTTACGTGCATTACATTACACAACACACGGGACCTACAGCTTTACGTCCCATCCCAAGGACGAAGCAATAATGGTTAAGTGCCTTGCTTAAGGCATAGAGCAAGGACCAAGGGCACAAGTGTCCAGACCCGGGCTCCAACCATAGAGCAAGGACCCATCCAACCCACAATCTGCTGCTCTGAAACACCAGAGCATGAGTCCGGTGCAGTGCTCTTGACCGCTATGCCATGACACTCCATTTGGCATTTGGCATAGGGTAGGGGAAGTTGCTAAGACATCATTAGATGAAGGAAAGAGAAAGAGCGGGTTTAGGAGACTCACGACGGCAAGGCGGAATCGTAGAAGGGAGACTGGAGAATGCCGGCAGGGAAGACTATCTCATTATGACTAGAGGTGTAGTAAGCATTGACTTCAGAAGGCTTCATCTGCCATCTAAAAAACACATCAGAAGTAATGATGTCATCATTCTGTGGGCCAAACAAGGGGAATCCCCGAGGGATGCTAACCTCGCTGTTCTTTTGGGAAATGTCCAATTAAAAGGCTAACCTCAATGCCGTTTTAACATAAAAGGTCACATGACACCTCCCCTTTTTTAGCCACGCCTACATTTTTTTATTGACCATGGTGACCGAAAATCATCCATGTCAATGCTGGATTTTTGGGGGTTTTTTGTTGAGAAGTGATTTTAGTGAGAGTTAATTGGGGTATCTCAGTACACTTCCAAAAGTGACAGGTATTTTTCGTAGTCGCTGAAACTTTCTTTAGGCTTATATTGCAACGAGATTCTTTTCAAAACAATTATGTCTGTTACTGAAAACTTCAAAACAATAATCATGTTAAAATCAGAATTGTTTATGGTTTCAAAAGTATATGTACGTACTGCGTTCTGTCCACGGGTTTATGGAACTGGGCCAAGTTCGCCTTGCTATAAAACAATGACGTGCTGAGCAAGTTGTAAAAGTAGGATTGTCGGTCAACCTTGAACTTCAAAATAAAAAAGATATAAAAAAGATACAATCGGGTATTTTTGTAAATGCATAGGGGCTTCAAATCGGCTGTAGAATTAAGCGTAAGTTTGTATAAAAACGAACATTGAAGAAAATGCATTATTATGACCACGTAAAAGTTTTCCCAAAATATTTAAACGTTGTAAAGGTAGATTGAAGTACAAACGGAAACGATTTTTTTTGTGCGAAGGCTTTCTTTTAAGTTGAAAAGCTATACCAAAGATAGAAAAGGTGATGGCAAAAGCCACGCCCACAGTGCGCAAAGCTTAGTTACCTGACAGCAAAGACATGATTTGATTGGTCAGTGAGTACTATGTTTGATTCATAGCAGGAGCGATCCATGTGTTGGTGCTGTTCTCTAACCGGTTTGTTAGTGTGACGTCAGTTTAGTTTAAACTACGCCCACTGGCCATTAAGTAGCATTGGAACCCGAAGCTAACGCAACTGAGTGTTTATCCAAATGGGCGCTACATGTACATGTATATCAGTGGTAATCGCGGGTGTAGGTTTTCGATAACAAACGCGATAGTTATTGAATTTTCGGATGTGTTTCTGGCCTACCTCTTCGTAGTATTGATCAATTTTATTGGTATCTTCAAGCCACTTCGGCCCCACTACTTTCTCCTCAATGGCTTCGGCCTTCTGGGCCGCCAGAGATTTAGTCGTGTCGTCCATCCAATCCACGCTCGGTAGACTATCTAGGAACGTCTTGCGTACATTCTCAATCATAGCTTTAATCTGCAAAGTACATTGTATATTGTGATCACTCGGCAAGTTCTTTAATTGCTATTTTCAAGAAATACAAACTTTTTTTTTCACTTTTGAATTATACTGCAATAGAAAAATAAAATCTGCCCACATTTAAAGTTATGGAATTACTTTACAAATTTTGTATTTGCGGCCCGGCAATAATTCGGCGGATTTTTTGTGCGTTATGGGCGCAAAAGCAACCCCAAAAATCAACGTTTTTTTTTCACAATTGGATTGCAGCCGCCCCAAATTGATTTTTAAAAAGGGGATTTCTCAAGTCGTGGAAAATAAAACATTGAAATTGAAATTCGGTAGGAAAAAAAAATCGAATTTGTTGAAGAGCACGAGGAGAGCAACTTTAAAGCTAAACAAAAGTATTAAACATATTTAAAAGAGTTATTGAATTCGTTGGTATTTTTTCTTTGTTTAAACCAGTTTTGAGCACTTGGTTTAAGCCTTTTTTTGGATGAATTTCGAACTTTTGTATCAGTCACATGACTGTCATTATTATGACATAGTGAACATCTTGTCCGTTTTTAAAAGCGCCTGACTACCTCATCCTTGATTTCAAGACTGTGCAGTTTCTCCACAAACTCGGCTCCCGTCGCAAATCCCAAGACTTTATCAGCGGCTCCGGCGCAGGTCATCCACCGGGGCGCCACGGCCGAAATGCCCGTGTAAGCTTTGTGGAACTCCAGCACCGCTCCCCGGTACCGTTCCGGTAGCGACCCGGCTAGCGACGCGACGGATTGCCAGACCATGTAGTCGTGGACGATTCTGTATATAGGTGGCCAATAATAAACTTTGATTACTGAAATGTGTCGTTTACAATTAAGCAAACTTCTGTATGAATGTTCCATTTGTAAATTTTAAATTGCATAAAATGGTTTTGTTTGATTTGAATTGAAGCTCACGGTCTGGTTTTTGTTATTTTCCCGCCGTCACTTGAGGCTAACCTAAACACCGAATTCCCCCCGTTTTCGGAAGCTCAAGGGTCGAGATTTCAGTCCGAAACCCCTGTCAAAATTTGCTGAGGCTGATGTTTTTTTCAGGAATGATGGTTTTGCCATAAGGTCGGAGCCTGGCTCCCCTGAACGATGAACAAAAGACCGTTAATGATACAAAATAAGTCTGACGGTTCGAACCCCGGGGACAACTGTTGAGCGGCAAGGGGTCATTCCATTAGAAGTTCAAAGGCAAATATTCTTCCCGCCCCATTCTTTGAGCAGTTTAAAAATGCTTTATTATAAAGGCTGGAAGATTGTATGCCTTCAAGACTAGACAATTATTTTCATGTTCCCTTTAGTTTTCTAATTGTCTTTTTTTTTAGCAGTTTGTTTTTGTTTTGTTTGATTGTGTTTGCGTGTTTTTGTTTGTGTGTCTGTGTTTGTGGTTTTTTTATTTATAATAATCAAGCCAAGATTACTTCAGAGCTGAATAGGTGCACGTGCTCGTAAAGATGCCAAGGCCTTTATCGCTTTACCTCAGTGGTGTTTTCTGGACGAGTTCGTTCATTTTAGGGAAGTACGACAAATGTGGCACAAGTACCTCTTCGTCCGGTGAGATGTCCATGCCAAACACTCTATGCACGAACGCTGTAACATCAACCTATTGCATGGGGGGAATTGACAGGTTTTTTTTTATCCTGACACGATAGGTCATCCATACATCATCAGTGAAAAATAGACACTGACAACACAAAGTGATACCCTCTGCATTAATGAACTAAGACCCATGCGTAACAGAGAAGCTGTCTGCGTTTGATGTTAAAAAGAATGAAGACACAGTTCCCTGCCTTTGGAAGTAAAATGACGAAAACACTCGGATATGTCTATTGGTACCTTTGTAGCACTTTCCGCATTAGGCAGCTTGATACATTGGTTTAACAATTTTGATGACTTGTGCAGCGCTTTCCTATAATTCAGACGAAAATTCTGATAACTGTGTGTGTTGATTGTTCAATGTAAAGTTTTAAGTAACACATTTTGTTTTAGCTCCGTCGTGGATTGATACGTAAAGCAGTCGTAAAGCAGTTCGCAACAAGTTATTCGAAACGTGGTCACGTTCATACAGATATAGAACTTCTGGCCAATCAGTGAAGAGATTGGTTGGGGAGCACATGCAGTTTGGGTGGTACATTTCTTTTCATTGGTTAATCGATAATGCAGCTCTTAACGTGATCACTTTCTGCATGCATTATTAATGGTTTATGTTTGTCAAAGTATCATATCAATGTTTTGATTTGTGAGTATGCATATAACTTAGGATCGTAACTGGTTCAAAGCCTTACAACTGGAATCATTTGGGTGAATTCACGAAGAGTCATTTTGTGGTAGGTCTTCCACGGATCACGTAGCTCATCCTTGGGCACTGTTATCTGAAAGAGACAGGATAGTTAAAAAATAAAAAATAAAATCTGTGAAGAAACCCGGCAGCTTCACCTGAAAAAAAGGAGCTAAACCTCGGCGTCCTAGATGACATATTTAGAATTATAATTATAGTAGTCTTAATCTTACACGCGACATTCATGTCATATAGAATGACAGAAATGAGTACATTTAAAATGTGCTACCTTTACACTTTTAAAATCAATATTAAATAACTTTTTATTTGATTGAGTTTATTGTATTGCTATCGATTTTAGGCCTGGTTGCTACTTTTTTTGCTGCATTCAGATTTTGTTTTTGATTCACCCTGCTTTGTTCCTGCTTCAAGTTTTAATACGTTAATTCAAATTTAATAGATTTTCAGGCCCCAAAGCACTTCCATTTCTTTTGAGCCGTCTTTTTTTTTTCTCTCGATTTTGGAACGGTGAAGCAGAGACCATAAGCCATCCCGAAGAATATGAACACCTATGGCGCTAAATACCTCAGCAAGTTGTTTCTCAAAGGCCAGCATTTCCTTCAACTTGCTCTCGGCGTGTACCATGTAGTCATCAGCAGTCGTCGTCACGCCGCTATCCTCGGCCAGAAGACTGGCCAGAGCCACGCCGAACTTCACGTAGGCTGCCAGAAGCTCCTGCCATGCAGCAGGGTAGATTAATGAATATTGATGAATTGATGCATATATATGAATATTAATGAATATTGATGAATAATTATGCATGTACCTACTCATACAGTTTGGTTTTATACATTCTTTTTATTTATTCATTGATTAATAATAAGCTGACTGACAGATCTGCGATTTACACATTGACGGACATTTTCTAGAAGTTACAAGTTAATGATTTAATCTAGAACTTTTCATTATTTAAAAAGAGGGGAAATGGGGAAGCGTACTTTAATCATTTTCATTTTAATGAAATGTATAAGGAATTTGTCAGTCTTTTGGAGCCTTCGAAACTGATCAAATTGTTCAGCCCAAAAAACCCTAAAAGGACAGACCAACATACTTTTACCTTGATGTAGGACCTATATGTTATGTTCGAATTGGTTCAGTCTGTTTGTTGTGTATTGGTTTATAATAATCACATCTGAATTGTTGAAATTAAAGTTGCTTAGGGACACACGAATCACGTGATCTTGGTTCACAGCTATTGCTAAGGCCAAGTTCGGGCAAGGACCATTAGTCGACTAGTGGTTGAATAATTGTGACGTACCTTACGCCTGCGCACTGATAGCAACGTGCGAACGTCTCTAGTCAAACGCTGGTTAAAATGTCATCGCAAAACTTCTGGATCCTGGCTCTCTGCCAGCGTTATGAATGCGCGCGGCTATTGGTTACCAGCGGTGCAACCAGCCCCAGTAGGTTGGTTCCAAATAGTCGACTAGCGCAGTCAACCACCGTCGACTAGACAGAGTTCGGGCAAGCGTAAGTCGAACTATGGTTAACCATTGGTCAACTATAGTCCTTGGGCGAACTTGGCCTTATTTAATCCAACTTACATCGTGACCTCCAAGATACAAATCCCGCGGTCCCAACCACAGTCCCGCCTGCACAAACTGTAACAGAAGAATAGAGAGTTTTTTCAACCGCATCTTGTTTGGGTGAAATTTCTACTTGAAAGGAAACTTGGTAACTGTTGATGATAATGAGCATCTTTAATGAACGTTTTAGTTGTTAGAAGTTATTAAAGTACATGATGACCAGGTTGAAATTAAGGGAACCCATTGCGCGGATGTATACGTCATTATAGGACGCAGACATGCGACACTTCTGCTCCGTTACATTAAGTAAAGTTTAAGAGTTAATCGGAATTTAGGATTGTAGTCCCTGAATATTCACATCTTTGGTTATAGGCATGCAGGATCATCCGCATTTTTCCAAAAAGTAACCTACCGATCGACGCGCGAATATTATCAAAAATATTACTTGGATTAAGGTTTGTACTGATACTATAAACACCACGTGAAATTGTTCCGTCGTGTATGCTGTCATTTAGAAGAAATCAAGAAATGTCGGTGATTTTAAACGGTCACTGATTTTTTTTAAATAGAGTGTAATTGACGAAATTGTGTTTCGTGCTCAAAACGTTGTACATGGTTTTTCACTGTTTTCTCGAAAAGTGTAATTATCCACTGAGTTGAGACTTCAACAGGTTAGGTTTTGAACATTCTTTTTTGGATTTTGAGTAGTGTTATTATTGGCAACGAACAACATGCACGAGGATCAACTTTTCCTATATACATGTGGGCCCTATATATAAATATTCCTTTATTAATAGGAAAACAATGACCTGGATGATGTGGCGAGATGAGTTCTTGTCATCGATGGTTATTCCCATGCCGAATAGCGGGGTTCCAGATGCCTTTTGCACGGCAAGGAGCGTGTCGAGGAGCCCCTCGCTAGTGTAGATTTCTTCTTTTATCTCTGTCGGGTTCGTGCACGGACTCCATCCACCGAAAGTCTCGATGAGCTGGAGTCAGGATCAAACAGGACATTCATGCATTTTCGTTTTGGTAAACCTCCTTAATTGGAAGGTAAAATCATAAATGGTACGTGAAACGGACAACAAAATTTCTCTACCATCGGTCTATGCCTATACGTTAGTGTTTTCCAATTTGTACCGCTGATATAAGATTCAAAACACTTTATGAATAGTACTTGTACAACCCGATGTACTGATTTGTTTTGGAGTAATTCGCTCTTTTCACACTTCCGCCACGGGCATGCAGAGCCTCGATCTGGCAACTTTACACAATAAATATAGCCGGTTCAGTGATTCCCGCGTCGGGGTTCAGATCACTGAATCGGCTATTTTTATTGTGTAAAGTTGCCAGATCGAGGCTGTGCATGCCCAGTGGCGGAACGTGAAATTAGCGAATACCCTTTTCTATAATATGTTGAAAGTCTATTTGTTGGTATGATGTTTTTTTCAATCATTCAGTTTTTTATTGGCCGGAGTTAATTTTAGTTTAAGTTATGATATGCAAATTGACTTGTTCTTGTGAAGTGCCATATTGCCATAAAGTCTTCGACGAATTTCAATTTAGCATCTGAACCGAGGCTTTCAGCTTTATAAGCCATTGAGAACCCTTATTTTAATCTTCACCGCATAAGAGAGCACCGAGGCTCTTGATAATGCAGCCTCGCTTTGGATTCAAGATGGCGATTCTGTGCAAACAGCGAATACGACTGTTTTCTTTTATTCAAGATCTCACCGTTAGCATTGATTTTGCTCCGGCTGCCTCCATCCCCTCAACATCCATGCATGCAGTGTAGAAGTCCCGGGCCTTCTGTAGGGAACCGCTACTGGTGCTCTCTGCTGACAAATCTTCGGCCTCTAAAATCTGGGGTTATAAGAAAAAGGCCCACCCTCAATGTACGAAGGAAAAAGGAAAATGTGCAGAATTTATGCCGTGTCATTTGGGTTGGATGCCATGCCACGTTTCGATTAAGTTCAGAATCGCCTTAAAGAGAAATACCTACAAGCCGAAGCTGGAAAAAATTTTTAAGAGGATCATTTTTTTACATAATTTTAAAGTTCTGGTTTGATTAATGTAAACATTTAAATTTACGCTAACAGTAAAATAGCATAGTCCGACATTCAGAGCCTTGAAAGCGATCGAATGGTTTTTGAGGGTCTTGAAATCGTTGCTATTTTCAAAAACATCTTTTGTTTCATTTTCATCCGGTACGGTGGCCGGGAAGGGACACGCACTGTGGTACAATTTAATGTTTAATGTTTTTTTTTAAATGTTTTTGTTGGATAGTTTCTTTAATCGTAACCTTTTGTAGCGTGCCCTTTTGATCTTCTTTTGCGTGTCTAGTAATTTTTGAATTTTAAAACTGTCATGTATTTATATATTTTGATTGTCTTGTATTTTGCCTGAGAAATTATCTAATAAATAAATAATAAATGAACTGTAATTTGTTGGTGACACAATATCCTTTGCTTGTCCCTATACCGTCCGAAGGCACTGGTGACCTCTAATGTCATTGAGCTCTCATTGGCTACATTTTTTAATATCTGTGACCCCGGGTCAGCACTACCATATGCGTACGACCGGAGCGCTCAAAATGTTCGTACATTGTTCAGTATGACAATTAGTGACCTACCTACAATGCTTTGCAAGGCTGCGTTTCCTGCACAGTTCTGTGTGGAAGGAATTAGCGAAGAACTCACTGTTTTGACGATTTTGAGGTTGGCATCGGACAACCCTCCGAAGCTCTTGCTAACTCCGGAGCGCCATGGCGGGATCTCCACCTGGTCCAGCCAGCCGCCGCAGGCGTACCGGTAGAAGTCGTGGCATGGGTCGGCGGTCTGGTCGAGCGCGCTCAGGATCACGCCGCTGGCAATCACGCACTCGGGCTCCAAACAGATTGGTCCTGGCTCATTCTGTATGAGAATATTATAACCGGATCCCACAAAATGAGTCTTAGGGACCATTTGTTTGTACTGATCTTTTCATTTTATTTTAGGAAGCGTATAATATGCTCTTCATTTTGATGTATCACTCAGTTAAGTTATATACCTACTATGTGGATAAAATGTAGAATGTTCTTATTGAATTTCATTGTGTTAATTTTAAAGATTACTTAACAAATTCTAACGCCAGTTCTTTATTTCTTACACCAACAACTGAATATGAAATAATTGACATTGTTAACAATTTGCAAAATAAAAAAAGCTCGGGACACGACCTTGTTAGCACATTTATATTAAAACGTTGTATTACTGCAATATGTAAACCACTTGCCCATATTATTAATTCTTCTTTTTTAACTGGTATTGTTCCCTCTCAACTAAAAATTGCCAAAGTCATTCCAGTTTTTAAAAAGGTGATCCTACTTGTGTCAATAACTACAGACCTATTTCTTTACTGTCATGCTTTTCAAAGATTTTTGAAAAATGTACTTATGTCCGCACTATAAAATTCCTAGATAAGTTTAACATTTTAACTATTTCACAATTTGGATTTCGCAAAAAACATTCAACCACCCATGCTTTACTTGAATTTATAAATAAAGTATCTAATGCCATTGATGACTCCAAACACACTCTAGGGATATTCCTTGACCTCTCTAAGGCGTTCGATACCATCTTATTATATAAACTTTCCTTCTATGGCATTCGAGGAACTTCCCTAGAGTGGTTTAGGAGTTATCTCTCAAACCGAACCCAATATGTGTCTATTAATGGCTTTAATTCAAACTCTAGTTGTCTTACACACGGAGTACCCCAAGGCTCTATTCTAGGACCTTTGCTTTTTATAATATATATTAATGATTTTACAAAGTCTTCTAACTTGCTCTCCTTTATACTTTTTGTTGATGACTCTAATTTATTCTTTTCCCATAGCAACCTCAATTACCTCACCGACACTGTTAACGCCGAACTTAAATCTGTTTCGAATTGGTTCAGACTCAATAAATTATCCTTAAATATTTCCAAAACTAGTTACATGTTGTTCAGTAACTCCGTCAGTGAACTACCCTGTAATATTATGATTGATGATTCTGTAATTATCAAAACTGATTGTTGTAAATTTTTGGGTTTGTTAATTGACTCAGGGCTTACATGGACAAATCATGTTGATCATTTATGTAAAATCATTGCAAGGAACGTAGGTGTAATTAACAAACTCAAGCATTTTTTACCTGTAAATGTTTTGGAATCTCTTTATAATACCCTAATTGTCTCTCATCTTAACTATGGTTTACTTGCTTGGGGTAGTAGTTCTGCTACAAATTTAAACAGACTACTCCTATTACAAAAAAGAGCCTTGCGTGTAATTAATTTTGCCGACTACTATGAACACACTGATACTGATCCCCTTTTTGTAAAACATACAACTTTAAAACTTAATGATATGTATAACGTTCAGCTTGGGTCTTTAATGTATCAATCTTTTCACAATACATTACCATCTTCCATTAATAGTATTTTTAGCCAGAAAAGTAAAATTCATTCTCATTGGACTCGCCAAGCCTCTAATTTTTATATTCCATTTAGTCGCACCTCTCTTGCTCAAAATACGGTTAAATACAAGGGACCCAAGCTCTGGAATTCGTTCTCTAAACAACTGCAAGCTTCTACCAATCTCTCCACTTTTAAACGACTATTTAAATCAATCTTAATTCAAACTTATCATTAATTCATGCCAGTAGATATAATATGTACATGTAGTTACATGTAGATTGTAGAATATCCATGATTGTATTGCTCTTTGCTGACCTGACTAGTCTAAATGATCTGTATTGTATTGTTTGTTTGTCTGTTGTTTACGTCTCAATGTGTATTGTGTTTAGGTATGTTGCTTTTCTACGTACATGTAATTACTTTAAATACAGCATGCTCATTGAGCCTCGTGTGACTGACCATTCAATAGTGTTCATTGTAAGTTAATTCCCTTCTCTTGGATTGGGCTCAATGAGCATGCCTGTCTGGGGCCCATGCTTAAAAGCTCTGCTTCTCAATGGGTCCCTCTGCAGTGTCCCTAAAATATCACTTTTGTTGTATTATTTGTAATTCTTTTCTGTTATGTAATTATTTCATGTCATTTATTGATTTGATACTGTGGAAAATAAATGAACCTTGAAAAAAAAATGAACCTTGAATTGTGTCAGATTTGGTTAAAGTAGCTCTGTAAACTTGTGACTCATTTCGTTGGGTTGGGTCATCATATAAATGGGTGATTACGAAACCTCGGCTTCATCTGCGAATCGGCTCTTCACTTGATCCAGGATATCATAGACCCCTTGCACGCACGGTGCGCCCTCAGCGAGGACAGGTTTAATGTCATTTAAATTCAGTGACAATGAAAGTATAAAGTGTCTGCGTTTACTTACATAGAAACAAAGACCTGCCCTCAAAATGTGACGTTAGATGCACCTTTGATTTGCGAACATTTTCAGTACATGTAGGCCTACTTCACAGTGCTTGTGACAAGTTTAACAATCAAGCTACCGTGGTCACCTGACCAAAAGGTCGCGATCTAATTGGTCAATGTGAACTCCTTTTTTTTTTTTATTAGACAGGCAGGATAGAATTTGTTCATTTTGATATAAGCCTTTTTGTGTCCCAACCAAAACTTTCAATGTTGTGCTCATAATGATTAGATGTTTTGTAAAGAAGAATTATGGGTCGGTGTTCTTGAAGTTTATAAGGACGCTGGAACATAAATTCAAAGTTTGGTACAAATAGGCCCATATTTCTTGCTTGGTTTTTGTTTGTTTGTTTTTCTCGTTTTTGATTCAGTTTATTTTGGCTGAAATTCACCCTGTTTTCCTCCTTTTTTTATTAGAAAACTCCAATAACTTTTAAATGACCTTTAAATAGGAATTGTTCAAAACTCAAGATTGAAAACGTACCAGCTTATTTTACCTATCGATAATTAAAGTTATTTTTTTTAATACGGAGTTAGGATCAACCGTACCAGCGTATTTTGGATGAAGCTGAAGTTATTTAATTAAAGTTGGAACTGGATAGGCTTAAATTATAATTATCTACCGAGGACGCGGAAATGACATTTGGATGGAGTGGAGTTTCCGACGAAAATGTAAATTTTCTGCAGTCTAATTATACGTGAGATTGGTGAATGAAAGACACGCATAATTATTTCAGAATAAACAAAATAAAAGGTCATGTTTATGGATAATATTGACCAACAGTAATTCTGAAAAAAAATACACAATAGTTCTGAAATAAATCCATTGATGAAGGTCAATGGGGGCACAATTTAGCACACATTAAAATCAACCCTGCAGTCAAAACGCCACTGCGTGCACAAAGAACTGTAATAAGGATGACAAAAAAACGTATACGCGCGTGTGGACAAACTGGTTTTTGACAATTTTTTTTTTTATAAATGGCCGACATTTCTGAATTTAGGCTTCATTTTCAACGCCGTTTTTCACCATATACCACCAAGATCTCGCAGTTCAGGAATATCTTGAAACAATTTCAACATGTCTGCCCAGTTTTGAGAAATCTGCGTCTGACAAAAAAGTGTTTAAAAAAATACTTGGACCACCCTGTATAGTTTGACTATTAGTACTAATATGTATTTTCAAGGGTGAGATTTTTGTCTCTTTCTGTCAATTGCATGTGTTCTGTGTTATATTTAAAAACAAATCGTCTACTTAAAGATTTTTAACATTTCGGTTCCATCTGTCCTTTCATTTCTAACTGACGAACACACAAAACAAAGCTGGTTAAAACATTGTCGGGCAATGTTATTTGCCCAACATTGGTATGAAGTTACCTCATTGTTGGTTAATTCGGGTAAAAAATGACCAACTATTGACAAGAATTTGCCCAAGAGTCACGGCAGGTGGTATGGTGAACAACATTGGGTAAAATACCAAACCGTTTACCAAATTGCACATGCTCGTAGAACATAATCGGCACCGAATCCAGTGGAGTTAATTATGTAAATTAATTTATGAAATATCACAGCAGGTGTTTGAAACGTTTGAAATATGTTAATTTTCAAACACATGACGTCTCCTTATCCTTTTAACGTGCATTTGGAAATGCAGGTGCTTTGAATGTGTTTGATGATGCAGGCCATATACTGCATACTGAAAAAGAAAGAACTAAAATACAAACACGGAGATATTTACAGGCAAATCGATGACTTTGAAATATTAACCATGACAGTACTAAATTTTCTATATTTCTGTTCAATGTCGAATCAATATGAACGAGTTCAATCAAATACAATTTCAATTTTACATTAGTAATTAAAAATGGTTCGGTATCTTTCAGAGAGAATGTTGCAATTTGAAATCCACTCGAAATATGTTTTACTGAACTCTGATCCAAAACACCCTGCACTGTTTGTAGAGTCAGGAAAAATGAAACATATCATAATTACAATAGGAGTTGGAAAATAATTTCACAATGAGGAATTTTAATTCATAATTGAAAAGATGTAAAGACTTCGGTAGTTACCTCGGCTTAAAAAAAAACTGAAGTCAATCATTGTATATATACTATGACATACAGAAATGCAGAAACCTTTACATGTATTTTCAATTACCTGTAGGTACATATGTGCATAATAATGCCGTACAGGGTGATTAAATTTTCTGATTTTAAAAGTTACCATATGCAAATCCTATTATGCTGCTTAACGTATGGCAGGCTTTATCACCAGGATTTCTAACATATGGTTCATTATGCCAAGGATTCTTCTGCAACGCGTTTCTGGTAAAAAAAAACAAAACAAAATAAACTAGACGTTCGCTGCAGTCGCTTCATTATAACAACATTAAACTGCTATGTAACATTGGTTAGGACTTATAATAGTGACTTTTATTAAATATTTTGTCGCTCTCGATTGATTCCGATTATGTGATCAAGCTTTTTGTGACGATATGAACCTATACTGACTGAGACCAATTTTAATAGTTTTCTTTTCTGATCGCTTTCTTGTTTTTGGTTTATATTTTGGATAGTAGGCAAACATTTGGAAATGGGCGAAATAAGCACAATCTTTTTATTTTCAGTGGGGTGAAATTGAAGAACAAATTCAAACCTTCGAAAATCGTCACTTGTAAATGTAATAGAGAATTGATGGGATAGACGGGGACCTTGGCTGGCTTAAACCCCAATAATCACGCCTTTGTTATAACCTTTATAAGTAAACATGTATGTACAGTTTATGGCAAACTTACCAATAGCGCATCCCTCATCACCGGTACTCCAATAGACACGACAGCCTGCCACAGGACCAAAACCACGGGGAGAATCATAGCGGAATTCCCGCTGCGACTGTGTCGCTCGTGGCTGGCTCCGTAGTATACTACGTCCGGTCAAAATATGCTTTTTCTTTCTACGAAAACAGACGGAATGTTGGGAAAATCTAACTTCATGTGACTAATTTAACGTGTATAATTCACGCAATAAATGAGACCGTATCCTCAGAATCATGGTGTATTAGCAATGCCATACACCCGAACGCAAAAAGTATTGACCTCAATTCAGAAAATCGATTTTCTTTTTCATAAGCCGACTCTGTCAATTTGTTCGCCTTTCAAAAATGCAAAATTATGCGGGCAGAATGGTACATGTGGTAGTTTCCCAAACCAATTGTTTACATTTCAGGAGCAGACGTCAGCATCCCAAGCAAATTTGAATTCATGTGGAAAGTCTATAATCAAGCACAGATCACAAAACATACAATTAATCAAATGGACTGATGTTTTGTCTGGCAGTGTTATTGCGGTCCTACGATGGTGCCAAACACTTGACAAAGAAAAAAATGGTTGTTGTCAATCATCATCTGTTTGCCTACCTTTAAAACCCATGCTTTTAACTAACTGGAATCATCTTCTTTTTAAAAAATATAATGTCGAAGGTCCGTCTTACGCAGTGACGTAACTAGCTATATAGCAGTCCCCGTGGCGTAAGTATAGGTTCAACTTGGGGGCGGGGGGGGGGGGCACCAAGGAGTGCACTATTTTTTCAAGGGGACCCTAGAGGCAAATGATATACATGTATATTTTTGTTCAGTTCAAGATTACGAGGGCACCCGTGCATGATGGGCACGGACATGCGTTGGGTGGGGGGGGGGGGGGGGGGGGGGAACACGTCCCCCCATGCAGCACAGTAGTATGCAACTGCTATAGCTAGGGTCCAGTTGCAGGGGGTGGGGCCACTCGACAAAACTCCCCCAAAATTCTGAGGGAGGGGGGCGTTTCCCCATGCGTTCCCCCCTTGATGTTAAATATGAGACACCTGAAAATCTCTTGAAACAAAACGGCGATGAACTGAGCTTATACTGCCAATGATTGCCATAAACAATTTTTGGAAGCCGATATCATGAAGTACACCCCCCCCCCCTCCTTTCAGTTTTTTTTTATTTTTGTCGTCAATTTTTCAAAGTTTACCGACTCACAATGCCTTTCAGGAATGACTGAATGGGCCCCGCTGAAAGTTGGAAAGAACATTGGTATTTGCTGAACGTACTCCGAGAGAACTACAAAAAATGTCTACTCTCATCAAAGGATCGGCCGCATTGGCATCAGGAATTTGGAGTGTCGAAATGGACGTCTGCGATATATCCCAGGTGCTGAAATGGTAATCAATTCCGTTCGAAATCAAAGAAACGAGGATTTTACGGCATTCCTATCATGGAAAAAAAGAGCATTCAGACTTTACCTGTGCAACTCCTTTGTGTGTGTAGTAGTACACTGAAGAGATTCTCTCGGTGGAACAGTTGTGAGAAGTGCTGCGGGACGTCACTCTAGAATGCTTGTCCCGACGCGGTAACGAAATATTGAGTACATGTACTGTTGGAACTGTCTAAATCACCTCAGAATACCGGAATCCCTGACACTTGAAATCTAGTGTCAGCTCATGTAATGCAAAAGCATACCGGCAGATTTGAGAAAATTGACATTTTAGAGTCATGAATATTCATACTCAAGAACTTGACGACTACAATTAGCCTGTTCACGTGGCTACCCGCAGCTAGCTAGCTAGCTGCACGCTCGAGGGAGGATTGCTTTGCCGCCCCCAACGGCATCGATATTCAAACGTCTTTTCTCAACTATTTCAAATCACACGCACGCAGATTACCCGCTTTATTCAAAAAGTGTAGCAGTGCGTTTTTATGAGTGCCTCTATTTTTGTTTTAAAATGCATATATTTTTCCACCAGATTGCATGCCAATGTAGTAAAAGAACCAGATGCCAAATTAGCATCATTTGAGATGACAGCTAACACAAAAGGAGGGCGCTGTTTGATTTGGTTTATTACATGTCTATGGTATTTATCCAAACCAAATAACGCCCTCCTATTGAGTCCTCCATAATCTCAAAGAGGCTAATAATAGTCAACGACCTCGACCCCTCTCCTCGCCTTTGCTGGAAGTGAAAGATAAATTGTCTTAGAGAAGTTAGATAATCCAGGCACGTGATTACTCTCGCCCCCTTCAATAGTCCGGCAGATGGGCAGATAGGTGATGGGATTGTGCCTTTGATGATGCAAGCTTGGAATTTTGCATACAGTCAGAGTATGTCATGAGAAAGATATTTTGCTACAGGGCCATCGCAGAATTTGTCCCTAAAAAAAAATATAGGTAGAATAACAAGCAATGGCAACCTTTTTGAAAAATTTAAAAATTGCTGGTTCTTCTACCTAAGGACAAATCTGCGGTGGCACTATAGCCAAATATCTTTACTCTGACCCATCGACGTAGCTACGGGGGCGTGGGGGCTAACACCCCCCCCCCTCCCCCCACTTGAAATTTAGCAACCGTAGAAAAACACATCCTTGTAACTGAGAATGATTAGCGGGTTTTTAACAGAAAGAGCCCTTTTTCACATTTTCTGTTTAATTTTGACAAAAACCCTGTTTTTCCTTTTTTTTTTTTTTACGTCCCGTGAAAATCGAATAGCGCCACTTATTGTCTGACATGGACCATGATGTCGGTTTTGAACAGCGCCCCCTTGGAAGATAGTGTCCAACAATAAATAGCTAGCGCAATGCTTTCGCCACTGAAGGGGGCTCAATTAATAGTATTCATACTACGTGCCCGGATTGGTCAATAGATGGCGCTTTGTGACCACTTGCGCGAGCTCAATGATCTGTAAACAATAAAAAAAAAAAAAAAAACTCATATTTACCTTCGTCGAAATTTCAACAGAGGGCCAGGGGCGCCTGGGGGGGGGGGGGGGGGGGGGGGGGGGGGCGGCTGCTTCCCCCCCCCCCCCCCCCCCCACACACACACCCCGTCGCCCTAACATGTATTAGGTTATTCGTTCTTTTGTCATTTAATTGTTTACATTTTGTGCCGTTTTGATTGCTTGTTGCTGTTCTGTTGAGGTCGAATAAATAATAATAATAATAATAATGTACGCCGCGTACGCGATTTTACTTGTGACTGACTTGCATTTTCATTGCATATCGACTTGTAATAACTTGATTCAGTAAACAAATCCCAGTCGAGACTGGATGATACATAGATATCGTCGGGAACGATAATTATTTATATAAACTAACGTTAAATGGCTTGTTATGGGATCCGTAGATTTTGTTCCGAGCGCGATATCGTAAAATTTGTCACTGGCTCCCGCTCAAACTTTCGTTTGGAAATTGCACCACGATTGCACTGACGGGTACCAGGTGCAACATATGTACGCACGGGTGTCGGACGCTTCGCCCCATTTCCACGTCGCCCCATGACACTTCGCCCCTAACCACTTCGCCCCATCCCCACTTCGCCCCATCCCCTCATCGCCCCATCTCCGCTTCGCCCCATCCCCACTTCGCCCCTTCCCCGCTTCGCCCCATCCCCACTTCGCCCCATGTAGTATGAAAAAGGTGAAGGCTAGGGGTGCAGACCAAATAAACTGCCAAAGACCCCAGATAATAAATGCTCCCAATTCTAGAAACTTAGGAAAAATACAAACTCTCTGATGAGGTGCTCGAGACACAGATGAGAGAAATGATGGATCCCATTCAGAGACGCCTCTCCTATTGGCTTGTGAATGAAATCATCAGCCGCTGGATTCAAAAGAATCCGTAGGTATGGGTCAGTGAGTTAAAAGGAACTCACTGCCTTGAGGGAAATGTTCCGTCAAAATGTGTCTGATATGTGACACTTACAACTTCATTTAGATGAGATTGGTTCCTCCAAGAGTGAAATTAGGATGTCAAAGGTATTGTCGTTCTCAGATAAGTGGGAGACGGGTTGGTATAGCCGGGTTGGGAACAAAGCTGGATCTTTTTTTACTTCAAGCTTTTTTCTCGGTAGGGGAGAACCTAGAGGTTGGTTATGAATTGTTCATTTGGTGATGGGCTAATTCTTTCCGTTGGTTAGCAATTAGTGAATCTGTTGAAATTGTGTTTTTTTTAAGCCAAAAAAATAGATGAGATTTTTTTTTTTTACATGTAACGGCTGGGGCGAAGTGTGAATGGGGCGAAGTGGGGATGGGGCGATGTGGGGATGGGGCGAAGTGGGGATGGGGCGAAGTGGTTAGGGGCGAAGTGACATGGGGCGACGTGGAAATGGGGCGAAGTGTCCGACATTCGTACGCACTGTATGCCACGTTGTCTTAGTGCCCAACAGTAAAAAACGAGTGCTGGACCCACATTTTCTTCAATAAATTGATGTACATATCATCAGGGTAACTGGAAGTGGTAGCAGAGGAGGTTTGTATAATTGTTGGAGTTTCAGGAAATCTAAGCATGGGTACTTGGTGGCTGTGTCTCGTCATTTTGGTGGCTTTTGCTGCCGTGTTAGATGCCACGGAATTGACGTTTGAACTACCGGACAACGCTCAACAGTGTTTCTACGAGGAGGTCGAGAAAGGACAGAAATGCACTCTGGAATTCCAGGTAATATTTTAAAATATTTCAGAAAAGTATATTCAAGTGAAAGTTTACGATGCTTAGGTCATTGTTGTCCAAATCAAAAGCACTAAGCAGCTTTTGTATTTCCTGTGTTCAATATGCTTCCCTGATTTTTTTTAGCATTCAGGAAGTCTGGTGGCCAGACTTTTTTGTGCCTCATTGAATAGGCACTATGATAGAGTACCAGACTAGTTTTTGGAAAATTGTGGGTGGAACCGTTTTGGAAAAAAATTCTTGCGGGCCACCTGCAATTTTAAAACATTTTAATCATATTTTATCTTCACAAATATTTATAATACTATAAAGACCGTGTCATTAGGGTATGATATCTTCCTTTTGTTCGACATTGAGGCCTATTGAACAGTTCAAAGGTTGTAAATGCCAGTAAAATTATACGTGGCAAAACCAACGTTGGCCATATGTTGACAGTTAGTACCAGTACAGAGTAAATTCAATAATTTTCTCATTGGGTGTTTGCTTTATATTTTACTAATTTAATTTACAAATGTATAAAGTAAAGTTGTTTTCAAGGAAAGAATGTTGCATCCTGACACCACTTTTTTCACCATTCATCTAATAAGGTCAGTCATTGCAAAAATGTTGAAAAGACATGAATCTGGGACTGAGAAAAAAAATTCAAATTTTGTTAGAAAATACTTTGAATTTTGCACTCGACTCTCCATAGACTAAGTTTTATATGCACAACCTAAAAAGTGGCGTCTGGATACTCCATCTTTTCCGTTTTCAAATTTCAACACAAAAAATGTTGTTTTATTCACAGGTTGTTACTGGCGGCAAATATGATGTAGATGTCACCCTTTCAGACGCCGACGATAAAAACGTCCTGTACAAAGAGAGGAGAAAACAGTACGACACCTTCACCTTCACGCCCAAGGAGAAGCAGGTCTACAAATTCTGCTTCAGCAACGAATTCTCCACGTTTGCCCACAAAGTTGTCTACTTCGACTTCATGGTTGGAGACGAAGACTTGTTGAGGGGAGTTGGGGCTCACGCTACGGCACTTACACAGGTAATGGAGGGTTGGGATTTTTGGAGAGTTGTTCATTTCAGTGGGATAGACATTTACAATCATTTTTTCTTTTTGAGGAGAGAGGTAGCCACATCTGAATTGCTTGGCTACGGCTGACATCACACACTCGTGCATGGAAATTTGCTCCAGCTGTAGCCGTATAATTCAGATGTGGCCTGACTATGACTGTCCTCAGAGTGATTGGCTACCTAAATATACTATCCGCTCCGTTCACAAGTACCCCCTCACCAGCAAAAGAAGTACAGTTGGGGGTACACGGCCACTGCGTGTACATAGAACAAATCCCCTGGTGTACGCGCGTCACACACAAGGTACAGTGCGCGTCAACCAGCGAAATGTACTGCCCATGGGACGTCGTTGCTAGGTAAAAGGGCGCCCTCTTTTGGTAGCGCACGGAGCTCATACTGTTTTAACCCTAACCTTCCTCAATTCTCCAAAGTCCTCTGGGCGGTTTAGGAGGATTTTGGAGGATTGAGGCTAAATGCAACATATAATTGTGGAGGATTGAGTGCACATGGACATTCAGTATCGGTTGATTTTTGGAGGATTGAGGATGAATGGTGTTTGAAGAAGAGGATTTTGGAGGATTGAGGCTGAATGCATTTTGAGAGGCAGGGCAGTTGCAGGATTATGAAGGATTGAGGCAGTGGGTATCCTTCATTTGAACATAAAATCAACATTTTGGAGGATTTTGGAGGATTGAGGATGGTTCCTAGCAAAAAGGGCCTATGGGGTCAGGGTTAAGCTGTTAATTGCAGTGTGCAAGATTTCCTCAATGACTTTAGTCGCTGAGAATCCAGATTTGATAGAGCATATTCACTTTGGTTTGGAAAAGTATGTAAATTTGCAGAAAACGTCAGTCTTATCTGCAAACCGAGGACATTTTCTGATTGCAAATATTGAGGCATCTTAGATGGTCGGAAGTATGTGTACCTTTTCTTAACCTCGTTTTCGTTTGATTTATCCTCAACAGCTGGAGACCACCTGCGTATCAATCCACGAGAACATAAAGGAGGTCATTGACTACCAGACACACCACCGGTTACGAGAATTCACAGGGAGGGTCAGAGCAGAACACCTAAGCCAACGAGTTCAGTGGTGGTCTGCGGGTGTATTTATTGTCATACTCATCGTCGGCATCGGACAGGTCATTGTCCTCAGAAGTTTCTTTACGGAGAAGCGGCCGACGACAGGAAAAATATGAATCGGTTTTGTTATTTTTTTATTTGTAATGAGTGATGTTCATAAATACCTAGGATGGTTGAGTTGCGATTCTGATTGGTTGAAAAGCTGGTCATGTGACCACGGTGACTTGGGTGGTAAGGGTAAAAGGATTACGCAAGCGGCGGCAAGCTTTGAAACATTCCAAGGGTGGCATGGAGGGTACGGACTTGCCAATCAGATGGCAGAAAATTACAAGACGGGCAGGTGTTTTCTGCTTGAATGCTATGGTACACTTCTGGTAAAAAAAAAAAGTTGCAATGTATGAAGGACTTTCAGAACAGAGCTTGATTCTCCTGAAATAAGTGATTCCTTTCAAAATGAACCAACTGTTTGCTTGTATTACTTTACAGCTGCAGGATCTTTAGCAAGTATTGTTTTAAAAGTTGGTTCTTATTTTTCGTTTCTCGTCTTAAAATTGGTCTTAAGAAAGCAGGATCATATCTTCAGATATGAGTATAATAAATATATTTTTGAAAATGAAATTAGGTGAAATTACCAATTGTGTACCATGGCTAGAACTTCGTGTGAAAAATATGAAGTTTCTGTGAAGAGGTTTTGATGGGGGGAAAAATGAGAAAATGAGCGTCGCAGATTACTTTGAATAAGGTATTTATGAATTCAATAAAATGAAGGTGCCAAGTCAGTATTCAACACAGACTAAGGCTACTTGGAGGTTACTTCCATGAAGGTCCATCCTAAGAAATCATGGAAATACTCTTTAAGAAGTCTTAAATCTTCTGTTTGAAACAAACTTGTCACTTTTACTTTCTTTTAGGCTAGTTCCTTCTTCACACAAATCGTCACCGACACCACGAAGTAACACTCTACCGTAGTAAACCATATTTTTTTCGATTTCAGTTTTTTGGATTTTTAAACATTATTCATGAAGGCCTACCATTGCACAAAGTTACAAAGCTTCAAGAGCTTTACTTTAATAATTACGCTAAGTATCCATGGCAACTTTTGCGCAAAAGTGACAATTTTCGTTTTCACGAAGTAACACTCAAGTTCCATTTACCATTGCAATGCATGGCACGCACTCTGCTCATAAGTGAGCAAAAACGTTTATACGAAGTAACACTCTTCTTGTAATAAGTTGTATGAGTGCGCGCGCGCTGAGCTGAAGTTGCACTTTTCTCGTGTTGAATACATTGAAGAGTGTTACTTCGTGAAAACGAAAATTTACCGTTTCGCAGCCTTTTCGGTTTCACGAACTAACACTCATCTTTTTTCTCTTATTTCTTGTTTATTTAATACACAAACGGGTAAAAAACAGCAGATTTAATAAATTTAATTCATCAAGTGTCCACAACGAAAAACCCAACTGAAAATACTCTGTCGTTTTGACGCAAAGTGTTGTTTTAGAAGGCGTTCAACTTTAATTGCCGTTTTCTCCGATTGCTAGTTTTTACTGGTATGTAGATTGGGGTCACTTCGTGGTGTGGGTGACGAAATGAGAACACGGATGAATTCATTTTCACGAAACTTCATTTATTTTATAGCACAATATTCCTATTTGCCAATATTTGCCATTTGCGTCACAGACTCATTTCGCATTTGTGTTCAGACTGAACTAGTCTTATAGCCCAGTCTGTTTTTTTTCGCTGGTGTAAGTAGCCTTCTGTCCTGTCTTATTTGTAGAAATATGTGTATTTTTCTTAACTAGCACTTCGTGATTGCATTGAAAGGGATTCATTTTTGTTATGAGTGCAATTCCAATTTGTCATATCTTTTTTTCTGCTGGAGAATTAGTCAGTTACAAATTATTCATTGTTTAACATAATTGTGCGTCCTCTCTCGCTGTTGCTTTCACTGCTTTCTAGTCAATGGTGTACATGAAATAACTAGATTTGTATAAAAATGTCATAAAAATATACATTTAGTTGGACCCACTTATAGTTATACAAACAGGATATATATGCAAGATTACACCTCACGTTGCATAGGTAAACTTTGCCTACAACTGCTGAAGCCTATTGGTCATTTTATTGGAAAATCGGAAACTGAGAATTTAGAAATGTAGACAGATACCTGTACAAGCTTTCAACTAGGGGCAAGGTCCAACTCGACGGCACTGCCAGCAGTTTTCATAGGAACATAACTTTGTTCATTTTCGTGATTGTGATTCATTCACAAAAATATTCAAGTCAAAGATCAGATGAATCGGAGTTACGAGAACCTTCTTTAAGTAAACATTGTTTTGGAACAAAAACAGTAATTGCGACTGTAAGTTAAGCAATGCAGGGCGAAACTTCTATGCAAAATATTTGATGTACATGTATTATACATGTGCATGATGGCAGGATTTTGAGTCAAGTACGTTGTTTTGATAATTTGCATGTTTCCTGGTATCTGGCCCTATGTTACGTTGGTTCTTTCCATGTGTTCTATCGTTTCCAAATGGAATACTATACATCCTGTTTATAGTGGGCTTTATACCACTAAAAGGACCTCATTGACCCATTACCAGTATCATTCTTTTGATAAATGCCATTGAATGGGCACAAAGTTGTACCCTTACATGAAGAACTACATTTGTTTATGGTGTAAATCGAGGATTTTCTTTTGTTCCTCTTCCCTTTTCCTTTGTTTGTACCCTTACTTTTTCGCAACAGCTCTCATTGGTTTTGTACACGTTTTCCAACAGAGGAGTCCTCGATTCGGTTTCTGTCCTCGATTTATCGATGGTGTTGCAGTGTGTGTCCTCGATTTACACCAGAAACACGTGCAGTCATACTCAAACTTCCATGAAAAATCAAACTCTTGCGAGAGATATGTCCACATCCTGAAATTCGTGGGGGAAAATGGTACAAATGAAACAGGTACATGACTGGATCATGGGCTGGTATACAAATAATGAATGTGTGTAAGTGCAATGGTAAGAATAATTTCATGAGGGGACAGATGGAATGTTCGCCTCGTGGAATGGAACATTCCATCTGCCACCGAAATTATTCTTGCCATTGCGCGAATGTGAAACATCCATTATTTGTTTTGAACAACGGCTGAATAAATCTGCGTCATCTGATTGGTAACCTTGTAAACTGGTACTATGAATGTACAGCATCAGACCCATAAAAGTGTGTTTATACGTGTATAGCGCAGCCAATATTTTTGCGGTGCAGCTGCGCCGTGCGCTATGACGAATAATTCAGTGACACGTGATTAACGGCCCACCAATCAAATGACAGGGATATATTGAGGAATTCCGCAAAGACGAATAAGTTTCAGGAAGTTGAAAGCTGCAGTGTAATTGCTATAGATGATCTGAAGGGGGAAAGCGGAAAGAACAAAACAACGTACCAAATGTTTTATATAGTGGTCCCACAGCTATGTGATCATTGGCATAATGCATCATACAACCTGTTGGGAACTATAAAGATGGTCATAACGACCTCATGTTCTGCTATAGCAGCATTGGTTATAGTAGTGTTCAACTGTATTGTATATGTTTGGTATATTAAAAAGAAGGGATTATTAAATGACGCCTGTTTAACAGGACCAGTTATTTTTTCCCCTCAGTAGTCAAAATTATACCAACACGAAGCACAGAATAGATATGTGACTAGTGTAGCGTCGGGAAAAAAACAGTTTCAAGCTTTTTTTCGCAGGTTGTTTTTGAAATTGTAACATTTGTAACAAATAAATGTGTTTAATTCCTGTTGAATAAATTGAATCTCAATTTACTATCGCTGTTACATGATTATGTTGGTATTTTTTTAGTGTTACGTTGTGAGGTGTTTAGGTACAATTTCAAAATATTTTTGTAGTGGGGTAATTTTACACTCCCATGATATACCCTATACGAGCGAATTGGAGTGATGTCTTAAAATCAACCCATGAACACCATTTGAAAATCTAGTTTTATATTTTAAAGTCGATCCCATGTTCGATTGGTGGCTGTTCCTCCACAAGTTATGTGTCATTTTATCAGTGGTCTGTTGTGAGTTTTTGATACTTCTTTTATTGGAATTAGATTTCATGGGATGTAAACGAATGTTACCTAACTTTAAGTAAGTCAAATGTTCTTCATCAAATTTAACTATATTCAAAAGATGTTATGAGTTTTTTTTTATCAGATTGTAATAAGCCTCGGTAGTGATGACGTCACACATTGTTTACACGTACATGTATGTTTTTCTATGGGTGCCTGGTTGGGGACGACTGTTTTGTAGCCCATAGAAAAGCGCACTAGTTAACACAGTGTGACGTCATCAGTACTGAGGCTTATTGCTAATAACATTAAGAAGCCATCAACAAACGTCAGTGAATCCCAGAAAATGATTTGAAAGCGCCCTCTAGTGGTTGTGGAAGGCTATCATGTTTAATATGTGTTTGTTGCTTATTTGTAAGAGGTATGTTCGTTATATTCGGTCATAGATGTTAATGGTGCCTGTACATTTTGTGCCCGAGAATTTAATAATAGTAACAGATGTACATGTTGTTATGAACATGTCTTAAACGGGAATTTCAGTTCATGGCTCTATTTGCTTTCGTGTAAGTTGTCTGTTTGAGAAGTTGGAATGGAGAAAGTAAGTTTAGCTTTGAACCATCGTCAAGGGAGCTCATTCCCCAAATTTTGCTCCATTAGTCTTTCTTAGTTCCCCCACGTACCCTCCATTGGCAAACTTGTGTTTAGAAAATGCTAACTTGATCAAGCTTAAAGGGGCACTAGGTCCTGAAATCCCCGAAAATTTCGTGTTTTGGATTGTTTTCTTATCCTATTATAAACATGTGGTTGAAAGGAAACCAACGTAATGTCTTGCCGTTCCCGAGAAAAGACGAAAACCCGGTTGTTTACATCGGACACGACGGAGCACGAATACGTTTTTCTGTCTTTTCCTGTCGTTCTTGGTGTACGATATACACGTCGTGTGTCTCGGGAGCAGCGGTGACCAATCACCAATGCACAAAATAATTGTTCTTCGACGTCCGCAAAAGGCGATCACTTTACGGCTGGAATCACAACTATAGCACACAAGCTCGACTTTTTGGGGTCGCAAAAGTGGACCCCGAAATTCGTTCTCGCACGCATAATACAGGAATAGCACAAAAACACCCAGTTTTTGAAGGATAGTTGTGTGAATGTTTGTTTACATCCTTCTTTTAAATGTTCTTTCCGATTAACATCATTTCGTTCAAAGCGCGTTTTGTAGCACAAATGGGCTGTTCCAGGACCCAGTGTCCCTTTAATATCTTCCCAATAATGAGTCTCGCCCCTAATATTAGTGGTTTCCAACCTTACGAACGAGCACGCAAAGAATTAGGTCCAAGATGGTTTGTCTTTTCCACGGTCTCAGTGAAGATGTTTTAAGAATTGTTTGGATATTCTTGAAGAAATTCAAAAAAAAATCAACGTTGCATCCTGACGCACTTTTTCCATGCATATGTCGATGAAGGTCAGTCATTTTAAAGACATGAATCTGGGACTGAGAAACACGTCCATTGACTTGGTGCAGAACCACAGAAATGGCGTCTGGATACTACATCTTTCAGAACTCCGACTGAACCGAAACTGACTCATGAAACGGTACTAAAAAGGTAGGAAGTGATTACAAACTTTGATCAATTAACAGCTAAGGCACTGTGCTTGTGATGATTCAAGATTCTGAGATTTCCCCCGTTACGTAATAGAAGAAAATACCATTGCCGTTTGTATATACTGCTGTTGTTTTACGTGTGACATAATCTTATATTGAAAAGGATTAGGCTACAATAGGTAAAATATTTTGCATTAAAGGGCAGCAAAAGGTGTTTGAGATTTGAAAGAATGGTTAGGATAGTTTGTTGTGAATGTGTTGAGTTTCTTAGCAGATCAGGGAATGTGCTGATAAGTATAGAGTGCATCGTATACGATAATCGTTGTGGCGCGGTCGTGGGTACGGAAGCCTATTTGTGCCAATGAAACACGACAGTATTGTGGAAACAATGTGACAGTTTGGTATGAAAACTGTGTAACTCAACAAGTTCAATTTATTCACATCACGAGTTAAATGTATGTACAAAATAGGCCTACTGCATGGTACGAAAGTATGAAAGTCCTACTTCCACCAATTTTAATATGATTTTTGAACACACCCAAGGGAGATAAGTAGTTTCAATAAGTACTAATAAAATGGTGCACTATATTCCTTCCATCATGGAAATTAATAAATCTCACATTACATGCCTCTGCCACTCAGAAGGTCCTTGGGATCCCCTCCCAGCAGGGAGAGTTTGTGTCTTTCCAAGTTATTTATCAAGTGTGTTTCTCTCATAATCTCGCTCGGCATCTCTGAATGTACATACTTTTAATACAGTGGTTTAAAAATATGTCTGTGAAGAATCCTCAGACTAAAATTCACATGTTTGTCAATCAAAACGAAAACAGGCACCGATAGATTGTTTCCTTTAATTTCACAGCTTTACGTTAATCCATTGCGAGAAAGGTTATCCAATAGCAACCGCCAAATATCAGGAAGGCGATCGGGTAAGCCCATCGGGCGTATCGGTCCAGACGATCGGCCGTCATGGAAGGCTTGGGTTGGCTCGGCTCTTGAGGGCCTCCTTCAGAAGTCTGCCCTCCTTTGGTTGCGGCATCGGTGGATGCCGGGACATTTCGTGCTGCGTTGGCCTGTCGAGAAAAACGACATGTTTACGACTTTCCATTTTTTTATCGTGTTTGAAGAGCAGTACAGGCAATGCTATTATTGATGTATTTGCTATGCTGTGACTGTCCTTGTCTGCTGCTGTCGTCGTCTGCAGCTGTCGTTCTGTTAATTGCTGTCACTGTCTCGAAGGAAGTCTTCGAGCGACTGAAGTATAATACAGGGTGGATAAAAAAAAACACGAAACCGAGATATTATTGCTAATTGGAACAGAAGTAGGGCACATGTGAATCAAAGGGAGATATCTTCTGTTAGGGTTGAATCTCCTTTATAAAATTACACCCTGGTCATGCCATTACATTCACGGTTGACTGCGCAGTGACCAATTTTATGAAAGGGTCTATTTAGAGACTTGCGCCACCGTTTAATTGTGGTTTTTGTTGTGTCCGTTGTCAGTTGTCACAGAGTGAAAGGCTATGGTTGCCATCAAGGCAGGTGGGGGAAAAAAGACATTTCACCATGAAAAGTGGCGCAAGTCTCTACATAGACCCTTTCATAAAATTGGTCACTGCTCAGTCAACCGTGAATGTAAGGACATGATCAGGGTGTCATTTTAAAGAAAAGATTCAACTCTAACACAGGATATCCTCTCTTTGATTCACATGTGCCCTACTTCTGTTCCAATTGGCAATACTATCTCGGTTTCGTGGTTTTTTTTTATCCACCCTCTATAACAGAGAACGTTTTTCTATACGATTCTGCGTCGATTGAAAACGTTTTGCTATCCAGGTCAAAGTGAAACGAACTTTTAAGGATACTTGTGCGTGCTTCTTTTCCTAAGTTAGAACTTCGGTAGATTGTTAAATTTCCGACGACACAGAAAGTTTCAACGACTTTTGATATTGATCTATCGCCATTTGCGAATTAGCCACGCCCATTTTCATTGAGGTAATATATGACGAAAATAGTGTCGCCAGGTTGCAACATTTTTTTCTAAGAGGCATACAAGAATTCAATACTTTACCTGTCTGACGAGGAGGAAATTTGCCATGCCGTACTCAAGCAATGCGAAGAATACAAACATGAGACACACTACCAACCAGATGTCGATTGCCTTTTGAGAGAAAAAAAATATCACCATGAAATAAAACTCATTGTATAAGCACTTTTGTACACAACAGGCAAAGCAAACGAAATGTATGTAGTTGGAGCAGTTTGCGGACTTTTTTATGCTGCGTGCTCGATTTGGGGCCGAGTTGCGGCACCACCAAATAAATTTTCAAATTGAATCGCTTATTACTACACTACTGTGCTATTCTGAGTTTCCCGAACAGAATCTGCCAGGGATAAATAATTTATAAGGTAGGTTTAAAATGTGCATTTGAGCAGCACTAAATACTGTATATGTGGGGCGGGGCGGGCTGACGTAATTCGATGAACACATCGATTCATTTGCACACCAGTTTTCATCGGTTGCTACGTGCTACCATTCAGCACTCCAGACTCAAGAACCACTGAGTTTCAAGAACATAGGTCTGGGAGCTAGATAAGCCAATGTAAAATCGAGCCCGGGTGTCTGCGCCCAACTATCAATCTTCACGTATATAAAGTGAAAACAAGATTTCACAAAACTAGAGTTCGTAGTGTATAGGAAATGTTTTTTCCAAATACAGTTGTCTTCCATAGGTATAGCAGGATGAAAATAGTTGGGTTGATGAGACAGGCGAGACATTATTTGGGCCACACCTAAATTTTCTTCGGATTTACCGGCGACTTTACCTTTGCGTAAGTGACAACCGGTAGGGTCTCTTGTATGCCAGCCGTCATGGTAGTCACAGTCAGTACCGTGGTTATCCCCAGAGCGACGCGTGCTGGCGCTGCGTTGGCGTCGATCCAGAACGACAGCCATGCGATGCTGACCAGCAACACGGTGGGAATGTACACGGTTAGGAAGTAGGACTCCATCTGACGCATAAAGTAGAAGTAGCAACTCACGCTGCTGAACTTCCCTATTATGAGGAATGAAACAGCAGAGCATAGATCGGTTGCATTCGGCGGCCATCTTTGAGCAGAGGTGTGTTTCGTCATGGTAGCTCATTAACAATAAATGCACAAGTGGTCTTATCATGCTTATTGTCCCTGAGTGAGCAAAGGCACACACCTTTCTTATGGCTACAGTGCGAACGATGTATAAAGTATCATCAAAATGTGCTCTACCGCTACGCTAGACCACGTGCCCAAGATGTAGGCCTATACCAAGTCCTAATTAATACCTAATAATGCCTGTGTGGCTAGAATTGTGCCAATTGGCAATGTAGAAAAAAAAGATTCTTTTAATGTACCCTAAAACGAAAGCCCATCAAAGGATGACGAGATTTCATAACGAAGTCTTAATTTATATGAACACGGTATGAACAGTTTCTTCTGCAATCGAGAATTAGTTTCAATTTTGTAATTGGCGGTGCTTGCTAATTCAAAGCTATTAATTCACAAATTTCTCGGTGGACGAGCCCACTCCAAATGTGCTACCCTATTCCCGGGTATCCTTTGATCAACGGCTCATTAAGATGCATTGCATTTATGAGGTAAGCTGATGTAATATCGCCTTATTGCGAATAGGAGCAATGCATTGATAGTGACGATATTTTTTGTAATACTATATTCAATATAGGTGCGATCGTATGACGTCAAAGTACCACGTGACGTCCGGTTTCCTCATGATCGGCCACCATAGCAGTAGGCAAGCGTTTGGTTAGCAACCCACGTCGTGCATTGTAAATTGTAGGCAGTAGGGCTTTTTCCCACGTGAAATAACCACGAATGCTGTATCAAATGATGGTCACTCCCTGTGCCGTGTATGGTTGTTATAATCGTGCCGACCGAGCACTGGGTGTTGGCTCTGCGTTTTTCTCACACTTTTTGCCATCCATCACAGCTTTGAAGGCTTGCCTACTGCTCACGATGTTGTCACGTGGGTCAGTGAGCGCCCTCTATAATGACACTCACCTAAAGAGAAGATCAGTGTGCCCTGTTTGACCCCCATGCCCGTCAGTGTGAATTTCGAGATGGTGATGTTGGGCTCCATACCGATGCTATGGTTGTCCACGTGAAGGACGACATCCGCCATCGGGTAGGCGTCTGGATTCATGGATAAATAAATGAAGGAAAAACTTGAGATTTAAGGCCAGGGGAAACGACGATATCATCATAATCATCTGGTCGACTCTCGTCGGACTGCGACAAAGGCACGCCATACATCACGCTCTCCCATGGCCGTCCTGATCCCGGCTGCGGAGGCTATAGCACAGTGTCCCGACGCAGTCCACGTAGGTTAACGATATGAGATACACAAACGGAATAAAATCAGATAGGCTATAGACATAATAGTCAAATTGCAAGCCAAATCATAAGTTTGTCACAAAGTGAAATTTCAGTCCAGCTGATATGTATAAACAACAGGGTATGAACCATGAGACACGAACGCCTTGGCCAGGCCTCATTGTAATCAATTTATACTTGACTTGAAATTGGATGACTTTTGATTGACTTGCGATAACTTAACTACTGGCCATAGAAGGCAGAGATGGCAGTGATGTGGCAGAGAGGGTACCAACCTGACCGTTTCTGATAAGTCTATTTTAAATATGCTGGATTCACTGAGTCAACTTAAAACACAACATCAGGCTCAACAACTCATTCAGAAGTGCGCCCGTGCGGTGTTTGAAGAGTAGGTTCGAAGCCTGCTCTATTGTTCTTGATGGGAAAGTCTGAATTTCAACTCACAGCTGGCCATGATGATACTGCACGTCTGTGCATCCATCGGAAACTTGTGCAGTTGCATGTTGCATGCAACCGTCAAACTGATCCTGCATTAAAAACAACACCACGATAGAACGATACTAAATCAGTTTATATGCAATTGAAGTATCGACAGTTTGTACTTCGTTGATATAAGTAATGTCAGGGTCTCGTCAGTTATCTAGAAGTCGTATAGGTTCGAGTCCCGCCTGCTGATATGTGTTTGTATCCGCAGGCAGGATATTTCGTCACTAATTGCTTTTAACTGGAAGAAACGAGGGCAAAAATTGTTGTTGAATCTGATAGCATAATTGCAGCGAAGTGGCAGCTCAGAGGGTCTTGCATTAATTTGAACTATTCATGGCTCATTAATTGAGTAGGGGTAGAAATATTGTTTTTTACCCAATTAAAAGGTCTTGATATTTGCCTCAAGCGGGCAGGGTGGATGGGGGGGGGGGGGGGGGGGAGCTTGAGCGGGGAGGGCGTAATCCCCCCCCCCCCCGCTTTGTTACGCCACTGAAGATCAGTTTAATGACCAAAGCATAGTAGTACGGGGTAAGTTCCGATCTTATCCGATTTAACCCGCAACAGACTACCTCGCACTGAAAGACACCTTCCCGTTCGGATTGACTCGCATCAGCTTGTTGGGTTGCGTCACCGTGTGCACCCTGGCGTTCTTCTCGAACAAGAAGTATATGTCTGGTACCCAGATCTTGTCGATGCCTTGGCTGCCCAGGACCAGACTACGGTTGCCGCTGAAGGTCAGCCGCGTGTCCTGCCAAAACAGCCTCAGGTACAGAGTCACCGAGAAATCCTGAAGGAAAGAGGACAAGAAAACTCGTCATATATTTCCAGTAATATTACTCTTAAAACGCTTCAGATCGAAGCGTTACATTTAAACTATACATAATGTACAAACACATGACGTCAGAAAATTCGCTTTTGCTTGCGGGGAGACCCGTTGATGATAGCAAGATATAAGACTATTAATTCGGTGTTTCTTTGATTGATATAACTGACCATAGTCGATTCTTTAATGCTGTCCACGCTTTCAATGTAGACTTCAACCCGTATTTGCAATGGGAGATCTGCAATCAAAGATAACAAATTCATATCATATTTTATTCAAAATGTCGTAATCATCAAAGGTAAGCGACCTCACTGACAAGAATTTTGAACTCGCCCCATTAATAAAACTGTGAGGTACTACACCGTATCAACAACAACTTACATTTAAACTTGCTTTAATGTGACGACAGACCAAATGAAAAAAGACGTTTGAGTAAACGTTCTATCATTGCCTACCTTGTGTTGCATAGCAGCCGTTATTATATTCCCAAATCCTTTTCCTAACTTGTGTCTTCATGTAAAATGATCATTTCTACATATTTTAAATTTCCCGCAAACCCAAAATCATTTAGTAATTTGGAATCTTCCTGCGATATATACATGGGATATCAAAACAATTCACATACGGATGTATGTGAATTGTTTTCGTTTTGCTGAAAGAACACTTACCCATTTTTGTGATCCGTGCCAGACAGAGGTTTAAGACGGTGTTTGTGTTTACAATTCCGTAACTTGAAAAGTACATGAGTGATTTGAGTGATTCTTGTACTAAAGAAAGCTTATGAATTGGGGTTTTACATCCGAGATTTTGACAGTGCTACATGCAGAACTTTATTCAAAATGGTCCTGCCATTTTTGGTCTCCTGTTGTTTTTACTCAACCTGTACTTCTTCCAGGGGAATTCTATATAATAAACGAGGCATCGTTAAGGGTAGCAGGCGCTATAAATTCTTGCAAGCTCAGCCAAAAATGAAAAAACAAAACAAAAAAACTGCATTTCAGCCTGCGATGTTCATTTAACCTACCTTCGTTTGGTTCATGTGAACCTTCAGCTGTTTCCACTGTAGAGGGAATTAAAAGAAGGAGAAATACATCGCTTAGAGCAAAACAAGCACACAGTTACAAAAAAAAAAATTTGAAATCATACCAGGATCGCTAGTAAAGGCCTTCATCACATCGCACCTCGAAAAATACAGTCGAGCCTAAATGTATAGGTGTCGTTTCCTGAATTATTTAAAGGGCCCATGAAATGTAAAACATTTTAACGAAGTCCTTGAAATTCCACCTTTGTATTCCATTTAACCTTATTTTCAATTTTCATTTTGCCATTTTCAAGGGTATTTTGGGGCCTTTTCGGTTTTTATGCTTATGGAAATTTCCATATTCATGAGCAAAGGTCTGATTTCAGGCAGAAACCTCAATGTAACAGTTATCCCAGTACCAAAAGTTGCCTGAATGTTGGATATTTTGCTGTCGTAAATTGTCTGTTCTTTGATGATTCGTTGTTGTATCAGTACATGGTAGTAAGCCAGTGAGCACTTTTGTCTCAAAGATTTGTTTTCAATGAGCAAGTTTTATGGGTTCACAGTTTGAACAGAAAACCCCTAAATTTAACAGTGTCTTCCTGAAATGACATCACAGCAACAACACCCTCAGCTGTCTGGAAAAGCATGGACATATTTTATAAAATGTTTAAAGAAGTGCACTTTTCAATTAAGTTAACCAAAAAGGGATGTCAACTATTTTTCATACATTTAAGAGGGTTAGAGAGTTGCACAACATAATATGTCCCTTCAGAAAATTATTGCATGGACCCTTAAAACGACATGAAAAAGAAACCAAGTATTCAGTTTGCAAAAACAATCTTGCGCTTATAATTCATCGCTTCGTGGCCTTTCCCGTGGCCGCGACGTGGTCTGAGCATTAAATTCGTGGTCTGCGGGCAATCCTGCAGGTTGTGGGTTCGAGTCCACCCTGGGGTTATAGTGCATGTGCCCTTGGGCAAGGCACTTTGTCACTCATTGCTTCTCTCCACCCAGGAGTAAATAAAAATAATAAAAAGTTCTTTATCATACTGACTAGCTTCCGTATACTGACCTACGCCGTCCGGCCTGATGCGGTTGTCATAACCATTCAGTATGCTGTCTAGCACGGCCGTCCTGTTCACACTGGCACTGGTGAAGCTGAATGGACAATACAGAAATTAATTATAAACATAAACCATGTATATTAGAATCAATACATCAGCGTGGTAGAACCCGAAGTAAATAATCTTCCGGACTCGGCAACTTGTTTTGTAGAAGTCAAAAGCCGTTGTCTCCGAGGAAGTATTAACAACATAGGCAAGCCTATAGTAAGGCTGGTCATCACAGAGTGCACATATATAAAATAAGTACTGTAATATGGGATATAATATTCGTACTGCTTTTGTAATCCAAGGGTGCAAAATTGATAGACCGTTCTCCATTAAAGGTAGACCCCCCAAAAAAAACCCAGGAAAGTTAAGAGAGAGTTATTTTATTGATTTTAAATTAACAAAAGAATATGATGTTAGTCTGTCCTTGACGGGGGTTGGCAAAGTCCATCATAATGAGTTGCGGCAAATAATCTTTGGCCGTTAATATATTTATATCGGCATAGCTGAATATTTTCCTGACAATTGAACAAGAGAGGACTCCTCCCCCCCCCTCCAGGCTTTATACTAGAACACTCACCGTTACACAGGCATAGAAGTGGGGTACTTCCTTTGTTCTCGTGTACTAACATTTTGCAATGTCGCGCAATTTCAAAATGCCTGTTTTTTTACCAGAATTAATTTCCTGGGCTGAAATTCGGATTTCCCTTTTCTTAAACTCTTCCATTTACGACAGATCAACCCACCTTGGAAAATTCCTTTTTGAGTAAAATCCATATATCTTTTCGTGGTACCACTTTAGTACCCCACAGGGCCACAAAATGGCCTTGTGGGGTACCTCCCACGGTTCCGGTACCCCATAAGGCAGTGTTTATACACGCACTTCTTCTGACATATTAAGACACAGCACAAAAAGCTCGTTACAATGCTGTAGTCGTTAGTGAATAACAAATTTTCAAGTGGTGTTTTTTTTTCCCAACGAAAACAAACCCTATTTCTTCCCAATTTTTTTTAAAAAGATGTCTGCAACACTCTGAAAAAGGGCTCTCATTTTGCTCACATCGAATGAACCCGCTCTCCGGGAGCCAAATGATTGTCAGGACGCAAATAATTCGAATTTGGCAGACAATTCAGAAAATGTCGTTGGATTGGGGATGTCACACCGTCCGGTACCACCCTCGGCCATCCCTCAAACCTGCAAACTCATATCTCTCTAAATGTAAAAAAGTAGAAAGGTCACTCTCCAAAAGAGTGAATTCCTTATAAAAACCACTCCAATGGAGTGAACCAGTCCAAAAGAGTTAAAACCACTCCAAAAAGAGTGAAAATCACTCGGAAAGAGCCAAATAAGGGACCTGTCTAAAAACAGTTGTCCCTTATGGTTACTCGAAATTTTGGAGTGATTTTTACTTTTTCTGGAGTGGTTTTCACTCTTTTGGAGTGTTTTTTTTGTTTTAGAGATTCACTCTTTTGGAGAGGATTTATGAGAGATTCACTCTCTTGAAGACCTTTTCATTTGTTACATTTAGAATCACTCGGAAACACAAATATTCACGCCAAAAACAAACGACATAAAACATCTATACACACAAAATATACGTCAGAAAAAGTGGATAAACTTGGCTGAAGTAAACTTGCCAAGCCTATACTGCAATCCGTTACAAAATATATGGGGGGGGGGGTTAAATACCCTTTGTACCCCCCCCGCCTCCGCTGGGCTACGCCACTGGTTTTAATTATTTCTCGCTCCTGAAAATTAATTGCAAAACAAGCGTTTGGCACAAATTGCTTTTTGTATAAGGACCACTGCCTAAAATCCACGTGAAAATATAAGAGTTTCCAGAGCCCACAAGGTGCGGAGTAGTGTTTTCCGCAAATTATTTCTCAGTTTTAATTAATACAAGTAGAAGTTTAATTTGATATTTGAAAATCCAAAAGATGTCATCAACGAATTTCCGAAACACACGATTTGCGGAGCAAGCGTGTCGCGCAAAATTACTTCTATTTTAGGCGACTGCTTGAACTCCAAATTGAAAAGTTAATTGATACTAGATATTCCGTAAAATTTGTTTTCTTGTTATACGTTAGTAACAACAATCAGGCACGTCCATGCGAGCGTCACGCGAGAAAGGTTATATGTCATTTTGACAACTATAGAGTCATAAACAAACTCAAATTAATTTCCACAACCCGCAAAGGGCACAGTAAGCAATTGCTGGCAAAAACAAAATAATTCTTGCTTTTGAACCCTGGCGAAATCCAGGTGGTAAATGCAATAAATTGACATTACAGTTTCTCGAGCTCGCAAGGGGAGGAGCAGCGTCTTCCGAAAACTAAAGTAAAAGCAAGGAGACGAGGACTACATGACAAGGTAGGGGGTGAGAGTAGGGGGTAGGGGTGGGGGTAACTGAGAACAACCTGAAGGAAGGGGGTAGAAGGAACAAGAAAAATAAACAACGGCAAGGATGACATGACTTGGGAAGGGGACATAATATGAAAACATTATTAGCTTGGACGAAAATAAATCAAACAATCAATTCTTGAAAACATGCAGGTATATAATTAAATACATCAATAAATCATTGAGACAAAATATGGCATAGGCCTATACATTGAAATTAGGAATGACGATAACATTACTGGGGAGGGGTGAAAAAGTAAGAGTAAATCAATGAAACAAATACATCATTGTCCAAATGCTACGCAAAAATAATTACAGAAGTAACTTCCTACATCAACGAATGGTGCTTGAATGAGCACGGAACACGTGTTTGCGGGCAGAAGTAAGGGAAGGTGCACCGAACACATCACATTTCCCGTGGAGTTACTACTGGAAACGAGGTTGAAAATATAGCAAGCCCTATAGGGACGAGGTTGGTGAAAGGCCATAATTATTGTGAGCGACAGACAACACTGTTGCGACCACATTTTAGTGGAACAGACTGAAGAAGAGTCACTTTAATGTAGCAAATTTTCATACTCATGTACGAGATTGTCGACGAAATGCAATCGGCAAATTTCGGACTTTTTCGGATATTGAAGGCATTCCTCCCATATTGGTCGCGTCCCGAAATAGTCGGAATCTTTTGGTATGGGGGAACTCTTAGGAATAGAGGCTTTGTCACAGCGCCCCCTTCGCTCAAATATGACCAACTGTCATTTGATAATTATAGAGACATGCATGGCGAGTACTTATTAACTTATCTTCGCAATTACAAACTACTGAAATACACCAGGTACCTGGTGCAATCACGCGACATCCACGTGAGAGTTGAATTGATATTGCACGAGACAGGTTGGGCACCGACCTTAACGAGCAATCAATAAAATTAAAAACAACAATTGAATTCCCAAACACACAAGGTGCAGAGCATGTGGCTTCCACAAATTAGTTCATTTCTTCTTAATATATTATATTTTATGACAGCTTCGCGCACGCTCAAAAAGAGGGGTGACTAGCGCTCCAGTTGCGAGCATGTAGTTGGTACAAACGAAAGCACAAATTTGAGGGAAAGCGCCCGTGCCTTACCAGGACTCACTGATTCGACGTGAACCAAAGAGACAAACGACTTCTTTTGCGCTGAAAAAAAAATAAATAAAAGCCTCAGAGTTTGGCGTTCGACCATCAAACGCACCTTAACGCCTCGGTATCCACAGACCTCAGTTGTTAATTTTCGTCAATTGCTCCGGAATCTGTCAGTCGGGAAAGTCTTGACATCTCAAAAGTGGATGATATGAAAACCATGAATCTGTCATCGTCGTTTCCCGGGCTCCAATCCACTAACAATGAGTCCTTGCTGGAGGGCATCTGTACGCCTGCAAATACCCTAGACCTGAGTGCGAGGGGGGTCGAATTTATCGAGAGTATCTTGTATACTCGCTTAGATATCCTTAATATTTTCGTCGTGATACCAATTATTACAGCACTGGCCGTCCTCACCAATGGCAGTTATCTGTATGTTGTTGCCAAGACTAAGTCAATGCATACTGACATTAACATCTATCTGTGTAATCTTGCCGTGGCCGATATTTTGTTTTTGATTTCAACGTGTGCGTTGTACATCTATACTTACTACATTTCAGGCGGAATTGCTGGAAACACACCGCAAGCCGGCATTTTTATCTGTGTTGCACTTATTTCGCCAAACGTTGTCTATTTTACATCAATGGCCCTCGTTGTCGCGGTTACTTTGGACAGATATTATGCCGTGTGCTACCCACTGAAGCATCGTTCGTTCTCCAAAACTCGCACAACTAAGCTTGTAATTGCTGCATGGATCTTTGGCGTCCTGCTTACCTCCAAGTACATTGTGGATACAATATTCAAGGCGACGTATTGTGCCATTTGGCCAGATTTACCTCAATATTCTGAACTGCCAGAAGTCTTGGGAAGTTGTAGTAGTGGCATTTATACACGGGAAACTGATATAATTATGAATTATTTTTTCGATGTCTTACTCTTTGTCCTCATGATGTTAGCAAACTCTGTCATGTATTTCAAAATTGTGAAGACTCTAAATAACCGACCAGCACAGCGAGATGGCCAGCACGGGTTGAGTGACAGCGCTGACCAGACGCGTCGCAGAGTTACCCGCATGCTACTCACCAATTCCATCGTTTTCTTTGTTTTTACAGCTCCCGAATACTTTCGTAAATTAATCTTTGGTCTTGAACAGTTCTTAGAGTTTCCAACAGCAATACAAAAGGTCGTGGGGTCTCACGCCGCATATATTACTACGAATATCCTGGTCTTTATCAACTCGATGGTCAATCCGATCATCTACAACGTCGTCAATTCCCGATACAGACAAGCCTACCGAGAGGTATTCCTATCATGTCGTCAAACCGCCGATCGTCAACGTCGCACACCCTAAAATTGATAACTGCATGAGCAAATCATTAACTTAACGTTGTTGTCACCGATAAGAAGAGCACCAATCCCACCGTCGTCATGGCAGTTGAACTCGGGCATCTGCGGCCCAACTCTGACGGTCGCAACCTCACTACCACAGAAAAACAGGAAGAGCAAGGACCATCATGGTTAGACAA